TGGTCAAGACAAGCCTGGGCTGGCAGAGCTGTAAGATCTCAAGGAAAAGGGTCTGGTATTAGCCAACAGATCTGAAAACTAATCTTCCAACCCGTTAGAGTAAAAGTGTTTTTGAGTTGCACAGTCTTCTCCATAATAAATAGTTTAAGTGTAAATTAATTGGTAGATACTGACAGCAGTTAAAATTCAACCTTTTATGAGTAAAACCTATATCTAATAAGTAATCCCTTTTGAGTTTTGGCTCACAGATGTTTTAATAGTGTGTTTTTACATACTCTCACCAACGCACTGTACTCTTAAGACATGTCACACGTATGTCCAAAAAAAGTGACTAAGACCAAAAACTTTTGGTAGAAAGTTCTACAGAGAGAGCGTTTTGAAGCAGTTTGTTCAAGAGGGGCCTGCTAAATAATGCAAATTTACAAACAACATTTAAAATGCCACTTTTTAACCATTAGGCTGGCCCTAGATCAGCACTCTTTGTAACAGCTCTGTCCTTGCTTGACTGATATGTCAAAGTTGAGGACACGGCGAAGAGGAGAGAATGAAAATACCACACAGGCGCTGACACAGGGATCAATCCGATTGGAATGATTTAGCATTTCTACATTTTGAATAAAAATGAGTGCGCTAGACGGTAGAGCAGTTTGATTAGTGGGATCCTTAAGTCCCTCCAAGCCTTCACAGCCCTTTCTCTCTTCTGTCACTGCCAGAAGAAAAGTCCTCTTTCTCTCTTTTCACAAGTCCCTTGGTACCCCGGCTTTTTCCTCACTGTTGGTATTACAAAATCCCCATTGAAAACAACCCTTGTCACCTGTCAACTAAGCCTGGCTGGTTTGCTAGGTCTTTATCCTCAGCACATACACTCACACGTACACAGAGGCTGACTCCCAGCCCCCTCCCCCATCTATGCACATATCCCCTACATTCATAGAAAATACATGGACACAGACACAACAGCAAATCCCAACCGCACACACACACGCCCACCCACTCACCCATGCTCACACACTAAAACCACATGTCTAAGATCTGTTACTATAGCAGTTTAAAATTCATTACCCTGTTAGCCCCAACAAACGTCCACACTGGGATGGACTGCTTTCAGCTACAGGAAGACTTTATGTGCACTAAGACACAGACCTGTGCAGACAGAAAAACACACAAAACAAAGCTGGAGTCAGATAAATATGGGGAATTAGGGCAAAAGTTAGAGATATAGTTTAAGGTTCTGGACATGAAAATCTGTAGAAACCTTGTAAATGCTGAAAGGACTGCATGAATATCGCTCAGTCTTTAGTCTTCTGATTACTTAATGCACTTTTACATGACATGTCACAGTCAAACACTCTGATGCTGCTATGTAGAGCTCCCATCAGTGTTTACTAATCCCATTCTCACACCAGTCCGGGGTTTGAGTGTCTTGCCCAAGGACACTTCAGCATCTGAGCAGCAGGACCTTGGATCAAGACGATGCTTCCGTTTAAGTACTACATCATGATTATTATTTTTTAACCATTAGTTCATTAAACAACATGAGCCAGAAATGAGCTACTTGTGATGACTCATTTAGATATTTTTCAGACCTGCTGCTACATCCACGGGCGAGAAATTCTTGACCAATAGTGGTGATTAATAACCTTTGTAACATACACACTGGTAAAATTATTACTCTTGTATAACCATAAATGTAAGTGTGAGCATCCCACTGAGCATTTTTTTGGTCTAATAGATGTCTAAATGTAGCCTGGACGACTGGTCTAAAATCAGGCTACCACAGGTCTAAAAATGAACATTTTTTAGACGTCTAAATTTGGACGAATTTTAGACCAAGTCTAAATCTGGTCTATATCTATACTACACTGTATATTGCTTAACGGCCATCGTAATTGTTTTGGTGAAGTACTTGGAGATCTGTTATTAAACTCACAGTTGCTTTTTAAAATAAATAGTTATCAATTAATGGAGTAAAGTGCAACGTCTAAATTCTGTCTAAAAATACACAGAATCTAGATGGTTGAAATTAGGTCTAAAAAAAAAACTGGACGTCTAATAGTCGTCTACTGCTTAGTGGGATGTGGTTCAAAACAAACTTATTAATGCAGACACAGCCTGATAACAGTCATGACTATAACTACAAGTTAGGATGTATCTAAACTGTTGGTCCAAACACACTCTAAGTTTTTAACTCTTCTGTGAAGGGTTGGTAAATGTACAAAAAAAGTTAAAAATTCTTTACAACACATTTGTGTTCTTTTGCTGCCAAGTTTTACTTGACTGCAGAGTGTAATATGCTTCTCAAAATACAGTGAGTTATGATTGCTGAGAAAACATCAAAAACGAAAAGAGGACAACAAAAAAAACAGATACATCTGATTCAAATTGTAATGAAAGAGAGATTATTTGTGGTAATTTCAGTAAAGTGTAGGGACGTCTGCGTTTTCTATTATAAAACAATGTGCCTTTATTATCTTTGTGTGAGTATTGGGAGGAGCATTTCTGCATCCCAAACTTGTTCAGCAGCTGAACAAACCTCAGCTTAAGTCCTGAGTCCTAGCGTCACTTCAGGGAAAGAACGGGTTAGGAGGGAGGACAAACATGGCAGTAGGGTAGCGATGGTGCTGGTGGTCAAGGGTTATTAAACTGATGGCCGTAGAGAGCCAGAGCAGAGGGTGGTCATCCGGCTCAGTCACTTAGCCATGGCCCTGCATGCCCCGAGCAGCCGTCGCTCATTAACCCGCTGACAGGAACTCCGGACACCAAGCACCCAAAGATCACGGGGTCAATCAGCCCTCTCTCTGGCCATCAAATCAAGATGGACCCACAAGCGGAGACTTATCCCCCAATCTAAAGGTCAGAGATGCATTGTCCTGGAGCCACACACACACACACACACACACACACACACACACACACACACACACACACACACACACACACACACACACACACACACATAAATAGATATATAAAAGGTGTTGAGCCTTTTGGAGACAAATCTACTCTTCGATTTTCCGATGATCCTAAAGTGTGTCTCAATAAACACAAGTATGAAGACATTACATGTAGTCTAATGTGTCGAACTTTCAGATACTGTGAATGTGTTGGATAGAGGATGATTGAATTATATATTTCTCATAATATAATTTCTCATTTTATTTAGTATTAAATAAGGCAGGAGTTTTTAACCTTGGACCCTCCTTTTATCAGGGTCCCTGTTGCCCTTAGTGATAAAAGTAATGCATTACTGTCAGAGCAATTTTAATAATCTTATTTAAAGAGGTGTAGAATTTTATTTTTATCCACAGGCAAAACTATGCAAACCATGCAGAAAGTGTACTACAATGACTGTTCAAGCATCTTTGCTGTTCTCATCTCTTCAATAATTTTCCTGATCGCTCCTCAGGGTATAAATTTCATCACCTGAACCCTCTTGCATGCAATGAATTTTGCAGAATATTTCCAGCTGCACTTTCAGCTCATTTCCAGACTGTTTGAAAGACTTCTTCTGGGACCAGCAGGAAAAAATCTGATTAAATGGAGGTGAAAATGTTCTTTTTGTGCATGTCTGTTCACTTGCGGGGCTAATCCTGAACCCGAACATTTCTGGAAGTTTTCAGGATTTTTGCGCACGTTCAAATACAGCTTTAACATGACATATACATTTATGATTCCTCATGAACGAGGCTCTCCAGCTGCCGGACGGTATCTTTTTTCAGTTGCTGAGTTGTTATTTTGGCAGACTTTTAAGTCTCCTAGTCAAACAAAACACGTTCCAGATAAAACGTCATGTAGGGCTTTACTTAATTTTCACAAACACCCTCTCATGCTTTAACTTTTGTTGCTGAAGCTAACATACTTTTGCAGATAGTGTTGATTTAGACCACAAGAGTAATGTGCTATTATTGAATTTTATCTTTTTGAAGCATCGAATTGGAGCTTTTTTTTTTTTTTTTTAGCCTTCTTGTGTTTAATTGGGCAAAGTCACCTTTTATTCCACCTATCTGAGAGTTTTTACTTAGAATAAAACATAATAAAAGATGTCCTCTCTACAAGCTCTCCACAACACAATGCTTATGGTAAACCCAATACATTTACATACATACCAGCTCTGCTGCAAAAAAGAGAGACTGCAGGTTAAATTCTTGAACAGTTTCCTCATTACACACTCTAATCCTAAATGAAGTAAAATGACCCCTCTAATTTGGGACTCTGGGCTGTTGAGAGGGCTCAGGATCTGTCTTAAATGGCTCTGAATTTGAAGAGGTTGTCTTTCATAGGAGAATGAAGGATGTGTGAATGAAGTGCTCACACTTATGTGAGGGGTACCATCATCTTGAGGGTGCTACAAGTATATTACTCTTCTCCAGCAATTATTTTGTCTTGAGTGACCGCTGGTCCGAATGGAATTCCTTTACCGTGAGGGAGGGATGAGTGCTGCTTTTCAAAATCTCCAACACTTTAGTCCAAAGAAAACAAAATAAAGGAAGGTGAAGGAAGCAGCTTAGAGATGAGAGCTTTGGTTCTGACCTCAGGTTGTGTTGCAGGGGTCAGTATGCAAATTACATGGCTGTATTATGTGCTGTCTATCCAAAATGTACAAGACATAATATTCAACCGAAATATGATGAGATATTTTTTCTTTTAAATGTCTGAAAAACAAACAACCATGATTCAAAAAAGTTGGAATGCTGTAAAACTTGTTGATAAAAACATAATTTGATGATATGTAAAGAATTTAAACCCTTTATTTGACTAAAACAGTATAAAGACAACATATTAAAAGTGAAAATAAAAGTTTTTTTGTGGTTGTTTACGAAAAATATTTGCTAAATTTAACGCCAGCAACAGTTGCACTGGTGCGATGATTACCATTGTGTTGCATCACTCCTTCTCCTAACAACACTTTGTCAACATTTTGGAACCGAAGAGACCAGTTTCTGGAGTTTCTGGAGTGTTATACTTTTCTTGCCCAACACAGGACTTCAGCTGTTCAAAAGTTCAGGATCTCCATGTGTACACGACCCATGCCATGGGCACTCTTGCATCCCTATACCACCACTGATGCTGGCTTTGGTGACACAGTCCCAATCTCACTCTACTTTTAATCCTGATTATTTCATTCCACAGCCTTCCAAAACACTGAAAATGGACTAAAAGCAAAGTTTACTTTGTCTAATTTATCCAATTTAAGGAGCTTAATCTGTGAATGGGGCTTCCTGCTCTGCAGCTTTTCTGTGCAATCCCCACATCCTAAGTTTAAACAGTGTGGCACTCTTTAACCGTGGAAACTCTCAAAACTCCACTGACAAAATCAGAAACTGCAAAACTGTATCCGTTTGCTTTACAGAGATATGCATTATCAACACATATGTATGTATGTGTATAGATACATAAAGTGGTTTTAAAGTACATATTTGTCAAATCTCGTGATTCAAAGCCACTAAAATGAAGTTACTGGTTGGTACCTCTGAAAGCCTGGCACCACTCTAACCAATTTATTCAGTGATAGGTAATAAAGCCTCTGTAAATAAAATAATATAACATTAGGTTTTTGAATTCTACTTCTAATCTTTAATACTCTCTCCCTCAACCTCTTTGTCTCACACCCTTCCAACCTTGCCATGTCCATCCCTTTGTCCCCCAATGGCTGTGTGTCTCTGGATCTGCCTGATTGGTCTTGGGGATTTCTTCTTCTTCTCAACCGTGGCATGCTTAAGTGTTTCTGTATATGTATGTTTGTTCACCTTGCCAGCCCTGGGATTGGCACTACCCTGGGTAAAAAAAAAAACATCAGCCACTGGACCCTAAAAACACACATGGTTCCTCTTCATAACAGTCTCTGCCAGCGTCTCAGAGGTTCCCAAAACAGGTCAAAAGCCAATAAAGGCACCAAGAGGGGAAACACTCAAATAATCTTCTTCCCTCTGCGCCCTGAAGAGCTCATTGTTGAACTCAGTGTGCATCCCAGTCAGTTGGGTTTGAGGGAAGAGGATTGGCTAAAGATTTGACTTAAAACAGGACACTCATGGGATCGAGCATTGTGGAGGTATAAACAACCGATATGATCTTCCTCCAGGAAGGAGCTGAGCTTTTGTTGCTGCACAGCTCTTTTGTACTCCTGGATTATGCTACTTGTAATTTGGCACATATTAAAAAGACATGGTTTTGTATTCACTGTGAGCTTAAAACATGCTTTAACTTTCTTCAAGATCTTTCACTCCTTACTCCTGCATAAAAGAGCACCAAACGTCTATTAATCCACCAAAGAAAATAGTCCTTAACATTTTTTTACACCTTTATAAGTAGTGTGTGCTGAAGGTTAGAGAGCACAGGCAGAAGGAAGTTGGCCAGACAATTCAAAAATAAAACTATGTATTTATTACATATTATCATTCAGAGATACCTAAAAACAAGGGCAACGGTAAAGTAATGAGGGTCAAAATATCATACTGGTGCTGTATTTTTGGTTGCTGTAGAGAAACATGTAAAAACTTTAAGTATGTAATGCAGTATAAAAAATTTTAAAAGATAGGCTCATTATACTTAAAAGTATTTGACACATTAATGAAATTTGCCTTTAAAAATGTAGGAGAAGTCTATATAAAATGTGCTGTTTATCACTTACTACCTTCCAGCAGTGGTTTCAGACATTAAAAGAAAATTGTTGTTGTCACTGATTGACTTATTTGCTTTCATAGCTCTCATAAAGGCATCAGTTTTAACTTCAGTCTGTTTCATAGCCACTTTCTAGTTCCCTCCAGGAGCTTTAAACAGTAGATTTTTTATCGCTATATTAAAAGATTAGAAATTATTGTTAATATTCAATGAAGAAACTCAGTATGAATCACAAGCTTGAATCTGAAGCAACCAGTGGTCCCATGCTGGTGAGTTTTGATCCTAATATCTGAGGTTTTAACCCTGTCTGACATTCATAATCTGCATTATCTTTCAGTCTCTGCTGGTCAAAGATTTAAGGTCTGAGACAGCGGGGGACCATGAGAATAAAAAGATGTCTGTCACAGTTGCTTCTTAAGAGATAAAATCAGCGACTGTATTGGTGTCGGAGCTGTTGGTGAGTATCTGCATGTTTGTGTGTATGGTGGGGGTCTAACTGTCTGACACCTGCAGCTCTTCACACTCAAAATGCAAATCCAGGCCTTCGCCCCCTCCATGACCCCTCCCTCAATCCAAGGTTACTGAGCAACGACTTTCACAAATCTAGATCAGATTTAAATAACAGTACAAAAAGAGGTTCAACGGCGCCATACAAGGCGTCATAGCCTTATTTTGGACAAGTCGCACCAGTAAAGTTAGTATGGTAAATTCAATGTACTGTGCCAAGCCACCTCTGCTAAAAACAAATTCATTTATTTTTTCATATTTTTAGATTCTTACTTTGATTAAATTTGATGATCAACAACATTAAACTAAATTAGGAAAATGAGAAAAATGACACATCCAGCTCACAGTAAGTTAAAAAAAAAAAAGATTTTTAATTAAGTAAGGTATTATGTGATTGGTGGTAAAATTTTAAGAGGCAGTTTAAGAGGCAAATGTAATAGATGTGAAAATTTAACTGTAATCTTAAATAACACAAAAAGTAATATTCATGATATTTCGAAGTATACATTTGCAGATCTAAATGCACTTTTTTAAAAAGGCATCACTGAGTTTTTGTGAAATCTGAAAAACTGCGAAAAGGAAAAACAGTGTAATTTGCCGAAAAGCAGGTGCAAGCCCCCAGCATTAGCCAGCATCTGCCTAACTGAAGTGTTAAAATGAACACGATCCTGAACCAGCGCTTCGGCTGCAGCTGAGCCTGACCTCTGACCCTGCTGCTTGGGGCTTCTTCAGAATATTTTCCCGTGGGGAACATGTAAAGTGTTGCATTATTTGTATTGTTGCAAGGAGGTGGAGTAAAGGAGTTAAAGCACCTGTTTCACTGGGTACCACTGTTGCACTCTGGGGATGTTAGTGATGCTCCATGTATTAACTTCAGCTCTCTAATGCCACCCACTGACTACCAGAGGCAGTACAGCAGAAGATGGACTGAGCTATAGACTCTGTAAGGAAGCCAAGACCAACTTTTAGGCCTACTCTGTACATACACATCACGGTGCAACAACACCAAAAAACAAAAGTATGAAGGAAAGTCTAAAGACTGCATTTTGGTCCAGATATTTGCTAGTTTTTCCATCCCAGTTTTTGCCTATCAGTGTTACCCTGATATCTTTATTTCTTCTGTTTTCATGTATAATTCTTGACCTCTGCAATTTTCTTTTTGTTTAATGTTTTATAAAAATTGCATGGAAATTATTTGCATGTGAAACATTGGTACTAAACCCATCTAAAAATCCTTCAAACTTTGTAAGCCTGCTTGTAAATCAACATTATCTCAAAGCGCCATCAAGTGGTCACAATATAGAAGACACAGTTGAGAGGAAAGAGATGATTTGGACCAGGCCAACCATTTATTTATACAGTAAAATTACACCTGTCCTCTAATTCCATTAAAACATGATAATATTAGACAGAATTTTCACAATATTCATTCAAATAAAGTCATCAGACCCCATCCCAGGACAGTTGCAATATGTCACAAATCCATTCAGATTTAACTTTTAATTTTGTCTCAATGAGCATATTGGTCTAACAATATGTATTATTTATGATATTGTAATGATAATTGAATATACCAAATGTTAAAGTATTATTTATTAATTAATCTAATATCCAATATTGAGTTTTGTTTCTTTCTGTATAAAACAAAGCCCAATTTGAGTCAATGTGCAGATGTTACAGATTTCAATATTCGTAAGTCGATTGTGGATTTTACAAAAATATGAATAAAAATCTTTAAGCAAATTGTAACACTGCATATCATGCAACACTAGCTTGGGGACAGTTTGCAACAAGTGTTGCACACTAACCATATAATTTAGAAATCAACTAAACAACTAAAACTAACTAAGTTGTGATTAATTCATGCAAACAGTCAAGACAGTATGATAAAAATGAACCACCATTAAAACATTTAGCTTTTAAATATCAAAAGCAAGTTATTTTTCCCCCTAATAAATCCAGAGCATGATGCTAAATGTGTCTTCTGTCCTGCTGGTTGGGGGGAGGGTCGAACTGAGCATCTGCAGTATCAGTGTCATCAATCTAGCATGTCTCTGATTGGAGGAATAAGCCTCGATGCAACCGTCCCTTACTGCAACTGTCCCCAGTCTCCCCTACTTGTCTGCGTTTGCTTTTGGGTCATATCACTCATAGCACAAGACCTGAACGATTTCACAGTACACTATCGATGTCCCACAGGTGGAGTGAGTCAATCTGCTGTAATAGTATACATCACAACAAAACTGACTGTAATGTGTGTCTTTTGGAATAATACTTGCTGCACTTATTTTGAAAGGAACACAGTCTTTCCTGTTATGCTCCATGCTAACCTGACACCCCAACAGGTGCCAAGAATGAGTGTGCTGCAAAACTGCATTGAAAGAAAATGGACATTCAGAGATGAATTCCAATAAAATGTCAAGTGGGGGGTGTTTCACAAAAACCTTTTTATGCTTACTTTACTTTCAAAGAGTGCCCCACAGATCAGACTTGTAAGACATTAAAGTAACATCCTTCTTGCTTGATAAACTAGGCTTTAAGAGTTCATTGACTTGAAGCTCCTTCAAGTGTGATTATGTGTGATTCTGATGAGGTCAGGGGAATATGTTGTGTGTGTGAGTTGGTTGTTTCTGTCAGGGTCAAACAAAGCAAAGGCTGTGAAATATTGGAAAAATGGTCAATTATGTAGTATGAACATGACATATGCTGCACAGTTAAAACCATTCATTCATAAGAACATGACATAGAGGTCTTTTCCCCATTTCAGACTTTCTGATGCTATTTTGACCTTTCAAGTGTACATTTGGATGATGGTATGGGGAGGATTCACAAGCAGAAATTAAGATAAAATGCCTCAACATGGCTGGAATTGGATTTTATCACAATCAAATCTGTGTTTTAATCATAAATAACAACACATATTGTGTCCTTTAAACGTCCCCGGCTTGGCCGACTTTTCATATCAGGAAACATGGCGCACGTCTTGAACTTTAACCTCGGAAATTTATTCAGCCTCGTTAGGCTGTTCGACAAAATGCAAATCCATCACTCAAAATTCTCGCGATAATGCTGCAGATATATTAGGGCAGATGAGGGGGGCCTCGTCCACTTGAAGGGGCGTAGGGTTTCTTTGGAGGACCTCGGACAGGTTTGGAAAAGCCAAGGGTCTCAATCTGCAGCCATGTCGGACGCGGTGGTCAGTTTCTTAAAGGACTTTTTGGCAGGTGGTATTGCCGCTGCCATCTCCAAAACTGCTGTTGCTCCTATTGAGAGAGTCAAGTTGTTGCTGCAGGTAAATCGTTGAAATGATTGTTGCCCAAAGAGTGGCTGCATGTTAACTGTACTGTGCGTAAAGTGTGCGTAAATGTTGAGTTACGGATGAACTGTAGGCATAAATGTATATCGGTCAGAAAGATTACAATAAGAGGACTTTAACTGGACTCTTTATGAGTTAAAATGGTCAGGTGCGTAAAGTCAGAGGGCACGTGAGAGGGCCTGCGTAATGCGCGATGTGGACACGGTTTTACGCACTGGACTTTGCGGGGTTGCTGCTACGGTGGCAACGATTGTTAATATTAGAAAATAAAAAGATTGAAATAATACAACTTTATGTGCTATTGATAGGTTTATTAAGTCAACACTTTTTCCTATATTACACATGACCGCTATAATATTTAGTGGAACTGAATTGCTATATTTAACTTCAAGCTTGTAATCTAATACACAGCTGATTCTCAAGTGACAGGAGTGTCCACTGCCAGGCCTACAACTACACACAGAAATGCCGGGACAGAAAAGTTTAAACACTTCATGCGTTTCTCTGTAAATACAGGGACGTATTGAAATTTTTAAGAATATCATTGTGATTTATAACTTTTGCACGAATCTTAGCAGGGAAAGCTGCATACTTTGAGGTAGTTGAGGTCTGTATCTATTTTTTTTCCCAACATATTTTAAATACATCTCTTGACTGTCATTGGTTTTAGGTCCAGCATGCCAGCAAACAGATCACCGCAGAGATGCAGTACAAGGGCATCATCGACTGTGTGGTGAGGATCCCAAAGGAACAGGGCGTCATTTCCTTCTGGAGAGGCAATCTGGCGAACGTGATCCGTTACTTCCCCACCCAAGCCCTCAACTTCGCCTTCAAAGACAAGTACAAGAAGCTCTTCCTCGGTGGTGTGGATCAAAAGACACAGTTCTGGCGTTACTTTGCTGGTAACCTGGCATCCGGTGGTGCTGCTGGTGCGACCTCACTCTGCTTCGTCTACCCTCTGGATTTCGCCAGAACAAGACTCGCCGCCGACATCGGAAAAGGTCCAGCCGAGAGAGAGTTCACCGGTCTTGGAAACTGCATCTCAAAGATCTTCAAAACCGATGGCATTAAGGGTCTCTACCTGGGCTTCAACGTGTCCGTGCAGGGTATCATCATCTACAGAGCGGCCTACTTCGGATGCTTCGACACAGCTAAAGGTGCGCACATCTGGATGAATGTCACCTTTGCCGTCAAATTACCACAGTCTGTGTATTCTCGTGATTTGCAGGTGACTTGATCTGTCCTCTCATGCAGGTATGCTGCCAGATCCCAAAAACACGCACATCGTCGTCAGCTGGATGATAGCTCAGACTGTCACCGCTGCTGCAGGTATCATTTCATACCCCTTCGACACGGTCAGGCGTCGTATGATGATGCAGTCTGGACGTAAAGGAGGTAAGCGGCACGAGGAAAACACAGTAAAATCATGTTGGGTAGGTTGGCACAATTACGCATGCGCTCTTGGACATTAGGCCTCACTTTGTGTCTTAATCCCCACAGCTGACATCATGTACAAGGGCACAATCGACTGCTGGAGGAAGATCATGAAGGACGAGGGAGCAAAGGCTTTCTTCAAGGGTGCCTGGTCCAACGTGATCAGAGGAATGGGTGGTGCCTTCGTACTGGTGCTGTACGACGAGATCAAAAAGTTCACATAATAAACTTTCTTATCTCCCAGCCCTCCCCCAAGGAAACCCTTCGCTTTGTTTGAGTCTTAATTATTGAGATAGAGTGATAACAGCTTGTGATGAATCATAACGTGGGCATGTTCTCCTCTGAGATGACCTGGGACAGGTAGGTTCTGCATACCTAACCCGGGTTCACATGCCTCCCCAGAAATCTGTACATACACACCCCATCCATGACGTGCCAAAACGCACAAAACAGTCTAGCAGGTTGTTGAGTGGAGATGTTGTGATATGACATTACGACCAGGCTCCTCATGTTAGTGTCTCTTTGTCAAGCCGTGATGTTGTGAGCACTCTGATCCATGTATCTTATCTCACCTATGATTTTACTAAGAATAAAGATTTATAAGTCTAACAGTCCTGTCTTTTTGATGCATGATACGTTGTCATGGTAACCTGCCAGACACTGCAACACACACCTCTTTAAGTCAGACACCCAGTATCTGGCTCTGGAGAAGCTACATGAAGCATTACACTTTAACTACACCCCGCCCTCAGCAGGGACTATTATAAAGCACAATTTACCCCCATACCATATATGTAAAACTGTAAAATATTGCATTGCTTACGAGTGAAATAAGCAGCTTGATTTTTAAAGAAATACAAAATATTCAATACCAAGGTAACATTGGTTTGTTTATTTATTTATCAAATTAATATGCAGCAGATCACACATTGTAAACATGAGGATAAAGATGTCATCAAAAAAGAAAGAACGAACCTTGCTGGTTCATTGTAAACTATTTATTTAGTCACAATCAATAAAAGTGCAACTGGGGGAAAGTTGATAACTAAAGGGTTACTGCAATATTCAGAAAATACTCATTAATAAATAAACTGTCAGCTCATTCAAATCAGGGCTGAAAACATGACTGTTTACTGCAGCTTTTCCTTTAGCATCAATTTCTTTGACTTCCACTTCAATATCAGCTCTTCTGTCATTTTCAACTGTTCAACGATTTTAAATTACATTTTAATATTTGATTGATTTTAAGTGGCCAAATGCTTCCTCTGTTCCAGGGAAATAAAAACCAAATAGGGACCTAACTAACGTAAAGGGTAGAAGAGGTGAAAGGCTGGGGAGCCCTGGGTCAGGGACCCACTGTGCACTGAGGTCTGAAGACCTGTTGAGTCTTGGAGACTCGGGCTGAGTGCTGGGGAGCTCCGGGTCTAAAAGCTTATGACAAGCTTATGACTTGTTTCATTTTTCTGGGAAACAAAGGCTTTTGTAAACAATCAGGGCAAACAAAGTACAAATGAAATTTTTGTTTTTGTTTTATTGAATTTAAATTGTTTTAATCTCTTTTTTTCATTTGCTTGCCTCTATAAAGCACTTTGAATTGCCCTGTGTATAAATAATGCAATATAAATAAACTTGCTTTGCTTTGCCTAAATAATTTACAATGGCTTTTAGCTTTGAGCACACTTAGCATTATTTCTGCCCCAGTTGTCTCTGTTTAATGATCAGCCTGACAGTTCAAGCACTGACTGGTTGAGTTACTCAGCTAAAGATACACTGATTCTATGCATGTATAAAATCTTTGCGCACGGCCCCCTCCAAACTGATCACCTGGCATTGGGTGGAAACCAACAACTGTAAAACCAACTTCAGAAGGGAACGTGCAGATTATTTATTTATTTTTCATAGACCAGATGCTTACAGTAATATCAGCACCAAGCAGGTCGGGCAGCACTTGTTTTTTTCGACCTCACAGTGGGTGTGTTTCTGGAGTCTGGGCTGGTGGACACTGATCTGGGGCTGTGATGGACTGAGCTGATTGGCCGAGGACCTGCTGATGTGGACAACAGAAAGATAGTTATTGATGATATATGACAGATGTGCAGTCAACATAAAAAGTTTTGTGCATGGAGGAACATACAACTTAAATTTTTACATTTATACATTTTATCTGTCACAAACCCCCTTTTCACTTTCAATTATAAAATAATTGGGTATATCAATATTGCAGGGTGTAGCTAAAGGAACCATTCAAAACTACTAAACCTGTGTTTATTTAAATCAAAATTAAAAAACATTCAATGTGACAAGAGGGACACCAAAGCATGAATGGGGGATTCTTACCAGTTTTCTGTCATCCACAGCTGTTTTTATAGCTGGACAATCGTCTCCTTCTCTTTGTCAAATCGCTATAGCCATTTGAAGCCAGCAGATCAAATACTTTGTGACAAATCTGCAGCATTCAATCCGACAGGAATGTTGCAGAGTGGTGCCACATGCTGATCCTCTTTGTTTATCTTGTTTAGATGAACACAAACCCACAACACCAGGCTGCTACAAAATGACTGTACTGCTGGTGTGACTGTGTTCTTCTTGAAATGAATGCTCTGCTAGGATGCACAGATGCTTTTAAGCTGTGCAAACACCTCACAAGATGCCTTAAAGTGATATTCACATCCTCTTGCCTTGTGGTTGTATAGTTTCATAATGGCTGCACACCATGTATGCACAGATATTCAATCACTTATTTTGAATATGATTAAGCTTCAAACCTGAAGGTGTCTTGCTGGAAGACCTCTCCTTTGTTGTAGACAAACAGACGGGGTAAGAAGGATTTCTCTGGTATGAAGTCAGTCGTTGGTAGTCTTCCAGTTGCTGTGAGCGCTTTAGTCCAGGTGTAACTTTGACAGACTCCAGTCTTTTCAGGATAGCCTAGCATAAACAAAGTTGAGAGTTTTTACCCGGCAAGATATCATTCAAAATATGATGTAAACACTCATAGTGCACTGTTAAAGTTCATGGGCTCAACATCTGAATATGTTGAGATGTGGTCGTATCGTAGATGTGATCAGTGTAAAAGCTTTATGCATGCCTCATGTGCAAAAAAAATCCTTAACGAGCTGAAATGAAGCAGTGCAACAAAAGAATGCCTATAAGTCAAAAAAGTTTTTCCTAACCCTTTAATGCCCTTTGTATCATATTTGATACATACTTTTAGGTAACTTCTATCAAATCAATATGATCAACAAATTCCTAAAAAAAACCTGAATATAGTCCGAAAAATGTCCTCTTGTGGTTTATCAGTTTCCAAAAAGGCTTGTTACATTTTAAGGACATTTTGATTTTTTTTTTTTTTGGTTTTCAGTAGTAAGTGAAATAAACATTTCAGCTCCAAGAAAAATTGAATTTTCTGGCCATAATTTGTGGTTTCAGGCATTGAAGGGCTAAAGATTCAAGGTTCTCTAAAAGGTTGTAAACAGGCACTGCTGTCCTTTCATAGCAGTCAGTCTGAAACCCTTTCTGCATTTCAACCAACACTTCTGAAATCTCTTCAAACAAAACCCAGCCGGCCAAATCAGAAACAAACAGGAGTGTTACATGTGTAATATATTTTGTGCAATTAACCAATCTTGACATTTCAACAACTTTGTCATCTTGTCTTACACATTGATGTGTGGGATGGGTACACTGATCACAAGGCAGATTCAATTACTGCACCCCAAGAATAGATAAGGCACAGAAAAGCACTCCTGACAACACAGAGATAGACTTCTGAGAAAGAACAGTCTGTCCTGAAAACGATCGGAGCCCATTTCCCACAACAATCAAGATCTTTTGTCAGAAGATACCAGAAATAAACATGTCAACATTAATGAAGGAAATATTTGAAGTTCTCTAGTTTCATATCAAAAATCTGACATATTGCACTCAGCTAATTAATAGTTCTCTCTGATCATTTTTACACTCTCCTGCTTGTCTCTGACCCTTGGTTGCATTCAAAGCTTGGTCAAGTAGATATATTGATGTGAGAGGCTAAAGCTGAACAGGCTGATCTGTCTTATAATGTCACTCTGTGGTGCTGCTGCAAGTCTGCCACCTGCTGCCATCTGTCCAAGTCCACCCGTGTCTGCTTTCAGGGGAGGCCCTCTTCCTCTGACAACCACTCACTATGACAGCCTTTCGCACTACTTACTACCTTTAAGAAATTTAGGGAAAGCAGAAGAAAACTGCAAAATAGTTTTAATTACAAAAGTAGCACAGGTTTAGGTTCCCAAAAGGGATCTTGGGGACAATTTTGACCGATTATTTATTCTTCTTGCATGTGAAGTCTCTTGGAAAATGTCTGTTTTTCTACAGTGACGAGAAGCTAAATGTTGGGTGGGTTCATTGTCCTTTTTGAAGAAAGTGAAAAATGAAAAAAAAATGAAAAATTATAGAGTGGTTATTGAGAAGCCAGCTTAAATGGTCATGTATATTTTATCAAAATATGTGCTGCTATCATAAAGAGGAAAGTATGATGCGGTTTAAATAAAAACTTGTTGCCAGATTTACACAGAGAAACTATTTGTCTCTGTAAAGACATAAACAGGGACACATGCCATGTGAAAAAGACCTCAGAAGTGACTTTGACATGGACTTCATAGATAGATGGTGAACTGCATGGGTATAGAAGTCAGCGCAATAAATCACACATGATTTTTCAAGTTTGCCCTAGAACTGCCACCGGACCTAAAGTGTGAACAACAAATGAAGCTTAAATTGCATTCCTTATGTTCCTTATGTTAAAGTCTGGAAATTGCACACTCTTATCAGGATTACCAAAACATCTAAAACATTTGGATACAGCTAAAACCTCAAACATTCAGAACAGAGAGATTTTCTGTCAGTCCCATGGGTAGTTTTTTGAAGCAGTACAATAATCAGAAGTAACAAAATGTAGTAATCTGAATGTATTGTATCGGAGTGTATGCTATGGCTACGTTTATTATGGTAAAGAGGGTGGATGCACACAGAAGGTGAAACTTACCAGGTTCTCCCTCGCAATGCGTTGTTGTCCTCGCTGCCTGTTGAGGGCGCTGTGAGAGGGGCGAACCAGCTGTGAGTTCATGGCTGTATGAGTTTTCTTCCCTGCTGCACTTCCTGGTCTAGGCCCTGCAGTAAAGCGTGAAAGTTCCCGAAGAAGCCGTTGGTTTTCTCGATCAATTCCTCGGACCTGATCATTGGTGAACGAGTAGTTCTTCCTGCGACTCCCCCTGTACTTGTGGAAGACCAGTCCACCTCCAAATTGACTCCCTGATCCGAGGAAGCCTGTTCGTTATTGAAGACAATTTTTGCAAGTTTATATATTCATGCAATATCAGAAATTTGCACAAAAGAAGGGTGTGTAATTATAAGGATAAGTCCAATTGGTCGACCTGGTAAACAGAGAATGAGATCTCTCATACAGCAGATTACTGTTAGCAAAGGTATATTTTGCAATCATTTAATATAGTAAAAAATCTTTTAAATCAGGATTGTTGATAAACATGACCTTTTCAGTGATCTGTTAGCATTATATTATGATGTGGGTTTGCAAGCATCTGCTGTTTCATAGAAGAAAAATAAAATCAGAAGCCAAAAAGGAGATGGAACTACAGGCATTAAGCAAAAATACCATGGCAGACTGAAAGACATTTAAAATTACTCACAACTATCACTGTCCTGATCAGAGTCCTCGTCTTGCTGTGCACTGCTAAGGCCACTAGATGGCACACTTTCCTCCTCCTCCTCCTGCTGCTGCTGCTGCTCTGTGAGGGTTCTCTCCTCATCCTCTCTGGGATTTGCCTCCAATGACTGCCGAGGGCTGAAGTCAGGGGAGGAAAGGGGGCTCACATCCGTCACTGTGTCCTCAGACTCCTCTGTTTGGTAAACAGGCCCACCCGGAGTTCCTCCCAGGCCCATTTGTGTCCTTCTCCCTCCTGGGGATAAAGAAGTCTTCTTGGGCCTGGGAAGGGTGGAAGACTCTGAACTACTTCTCTCTTGGACACTGCTACAGGAGCTCTTGGAGTCTCCCCCACTATAATCTCCCTCTTTGCTCTCACCAGACAGAGATGATGATGTCCTATTTGGCCTTTGAGAGCACAAATGAATGTCCTCCTCACTTTCACTGCTGCTGTCAGTTAAGACTTTATCTGAAGTATTTCCAACATCTTTACTGTTGCTGCTATCATCACAGTCACTGTCAAAATATGAATGATCTACTTCACCATCCAGTTCGCTGAGGTTAGACATGGCAGTGTTCCTCACACAGCGGCCTGTATGAAAATGAAAAAGATTGATATGTAAATCATTTAAAGGTTAGAGCGATGCAGTTTTTTTCTTGTTTCAATCCATCTCAACAATTTGTTTACAATCCATGCAGCTCAATTTTTACTGGTAATATTTTGAGTCTCCTAGGTTCCTCTGGACTGATGCTACAGACCACAGGTGTCAAGCTCAAGGCCCGGGGGCCAAATCTGGCCAGTGAAACAATTATATCTGACCCACAAGATCATACCATATTTGTATTATTATTGGCCCACAGTATGAAGTCTGCAGATTTCCTCCAGTATAATAATGTAAACTTGAGCACCATTATTTAAAATGTCTTTAATCAACCACGAAAAAATTGGAATAAACACGAAGACAAAAATGTAAGAAATGCTAATCATGTTATGCAGCCTAAAAGCTATAACATTCAAGTTCAATAAAAAAAAAAAAACATGTCCCTATGTAACATCTGTAGCTCATGGTGCGAGATTTAGACAAAATAAGACAAGAATTTCCTTGCGGGAACCTTCCCAAAAGGATAAATCAAGTTGTATCTAATCTAAACTAATCTTATCTAATCTAAGAAAGGGATATACCAACCAAGACACCCTACAAGGCAAAGTTTGTGTTAACACCTGTAACGAAAACACAAAAGTGGAGTTTGAACGCCAGCAGAGATTGAGCTAACTAAACATAGACACAGTGACCGAGTAAGCGAACTTACTTTGGCTGTAGGATAGCATTCCTTACGCGTCGAACAACCACTCAATACGCCTTTTTTTACCTTTACAGGAGTATCTTCTTCTTTAAAAGTGTGTGGCTCACGTCGGACAAACAAATACCAGGCCTACAAACCAGCGTTTAAACCAAAACATCGCTACGCGGGCTACAGCAAGCTATTGTGGGCGTCGCTTGGAGCCTTGTAACTATGCGACGTCACTTCCTAGCAACAGTTGCTAAGTTGTGGGCTCTGGGGTAACCGTTTGCGTCAAGCGTTTCTTTTACAAGACTGTTAAGTTTATCAGTTTACATTACTTTTATACTTGTATATGAGCCCATTAATGTCGGCAGATCTTTAAAGTAGTGTCTCTTTATTCTTTGCAGACATTTTGATCTGTAACTTGGCTCTGTAGCAGCGCCATGTAGCCTTCAAGCATTATCTTTTGTAATGAGTGACTGACCCATCAGTCTGTTTTTATCTGTCTTCTCAGTTGAAGGTTTAAATAATCAAAATTAATCAAAAACCAGAAATGCTAGTGGCATATACTGGAAGTAATGTAGTTTATCCTTGGGGATCTTATTCCAAAGTAGCTGCTCCTCTTAGTGCAAACTCTTTGAACAAAAAAGGGGATTATCTGAAGACGCGTCCCCTGAAATCACAATTTGTCATGGGTTTTCTCTTAATAACAATGTCAGACATAGAAGTGACACACACTAATGAAATGCCCATATCCCTTGATGGATCCATCACATAAACCTGTCTGGTCACTGTCAGAGAATTTACATGCCAATACAGGATGAGCACAGATGAGGGATAGTTATTTCTTCTGCAGTACCAGACTTACAACAGCTTTTATACAAGACATCACAAATGCAGAACGTTTCTGGGAATTTACCCAATAGTCTAATTTCTAAGAAAATGCACATTGTATGAAGATTTCTGGAAGAAAGAGAAAATGATCCATTTGACCGTTGTGAAAGAAAGAAAGGGAATTGCTGGTCTCCAAAACTAAAAGATGCATGAAGTGTCTTAGAGTTTGTCTTGTAGTTAAATTCAACAACTGTCTTTGTAATTTCACTGTCATTTGTGCATTGGCAAATAAATTTATGTACAGAGTTCTTTATACCTGTCAGAGTTCAAATTTTAAGTGAATACAAAACAAAAGTGCTTAGGAAAAGGTTGACCATAGGCGAGTGTACAACACAGCACATAACGTTTTCTTTATCATTTATTTATTTATTTTCAGAATAACATCATCACTGTGCTGCAAAAGTAATGTTTCAAAGCAGATTTCAATTGTTTGCCTCTGAGGAGAGTCAACCTTATTTAGCATTGCTGATAGATATGGCATTTACAGACCTTTTTTTTTTTTTTTTTACATGGTGCACTGTATTCATAAATGACAAGCCCATGTAGTTAAAAGTATTTATATGTATTAATTAAAGGTTAAAAATGGACTTCATAGAAGGATTTATTTTTGTATTCACTACAAAGTTACATCCATCACTAATTTGGGGAGTAAAAGTTTGACTCAACCAAAACAAGGACAATAAATTACAAGGATACATAACAGCAGAAAAGCATGAAAATTGCAATGCTGGATGAATAGACATGATTCCTCATTACAAAAAAAAAAACGCCAAATGACATCTCTGAGGCTGTGAGCTCAGATGACCTTTGGCCTCTGAGGCAGACACAGATTATAATATGCAGTCTGATCCCAGAAATCTGGTCCTTTCCAGCCACACCAACCCTGAGAAAGATAAAAATCAACATTGAAGATAATGAACACTCATATGGAGACATGTAGCCAGGGTAGATGCTTTTAATTATCACCTTGTCTGTGATGAGTTGTAAGTCCTCTGCCCCGGTGTAATGTGGATCTAGGATCAGATAACGGATCTGCCCTGTGGTTTGGCTCCATGCAACACCTAGAATAGTATGAGCAAGGACTCCACCTCCTATATCATATGAAAACATAGTAAGAAAATATGCCAACCTTTAAACTAAGGAAAACATTCATCACGGTCTTATTAGGCCTGCAATAAGGGCACTTGAGTTTGTTATCTTTGCTTACCATCACGAACATTGATTTTTACATTTGTTGAAGGTGCCTTTTTACTCAGTTCGCCATAATAATACGTACATTTTTGGTAGAAACTCTTGGGAAATATTAGTAGTAGTAGTAGTAGTAGTAGTAGTAGCAGTAGTAGTATGGGTAGTAGTAGTAGTAATGAAACGGGACCAGTTTCACACTAAGTTTCAGTTTAATCAAAGGGTTTGTAACATTGTTCCAAAAAAAAAAAAAGAGATTTAAAGTAGTTCAAACATCCCGCTCACCAATCATGATAGGAGTCCCTTCAGTTTGGAAGTGATTTGCCAGTTCTCTGCCTTTAGATCCCAGCTCAGAACCTTGACTAAAAATGACAATTTATCAAAGATAAATCCAAATTATCACAAAATGTGTGACCGTGACATTTTTGATCACACTACAAACCTAACAAACATGATCTTGGAAGTGACCCCTAGCAGCTGGTTTAGGACAGCCTGAACCTCGATGGACCCAATCCATTGACGTGACCCAACAAAGGATGCCTGTTTGTCTCCAACTTCCACTAAAGCCTGGAGAGGAGAAGAACTACTATAAGCAAACATTTGGAGTAATGATAATTATGATGAGAAATTATTTTATTGGTGCTGGTATGTCATGTTTATGTGGCCTCCGGTTCACCTTTTGGATCTCCTTGTGGGTGGGCACAGACTGCTCTGTGAGGCCCTGCTGCTGGAACCAGGAGCAGATGGTCTGGAGGGAGCGATAAGCGCAGCCCCAGCCGTTGTCATCCATGCGGTCTTGCATATAATGGTGATAACTGTAGATCCCCCGGACCAAGTATACCTAATTAGAATATGCAAAACACGTGAAAAACATAAAAGCTATTGAAAAAGTCTCAAGATCAGTTTTGGGAGAGAAGATGGAGTGTTGACTGAATTTGAAGATTGGTTGTACCTCTCCATTGTCCAGACTTGGATTTGTGAGGACTACGTGAGGATTTCGAAGGTAGCCATCTTTGTAAGGTTCATTGGGAAAGTGGTATGCATTGGCTTTTCTGAAGTATGGCCAGTCATCAGGTAGCTCAAACTTTTTGTGCAATTCCTAGTTAGAAAGAGAGATTATGTTAAGTTCAATGAAACGCTGCAAAATAAATCAGATGTCAAACAAAGACATGTTCTTATACTTGTGTTTCATGTTAACACCATAAGTTCAGTCCACCGATTTAACTCTTGGTCAGAACAATCTGAAATTCAAAACCCTGTCTTTTACATTTCACTAACTAATCTTTCATTTATTGCTGTTCTTTTTCATTGCAGTACTAAATTAACATGTTCTAGAAACTTTTCAAGATGACCTGGACCAGAACACACATGCACAGTTTAGTCCATGGTGTATGAGCATTTAGGGTGATAAACACAAGACACTTAATGTGTAAGACGTTTGTGTTTCGAACCTGACGCTGCTTCTCCAACTGGCTGTCAGGCATCCCTTCTGGGTAAACAACAGTCACGAGTCCTTTAGGCTCTGGAAGGAGGAAGTGGTGTGGCTCAGGTACTGGCAGAGACATCCCCTTCATGTGCTGCAGCATCACTTTCTCCATTTCACAAAGCTGCTGAGCCAGCGCTTCCAACAGGCGTTCAAAGGCACTACAACACCAGAGCAAAAGTCTCATAGTATAATCTCAGACAGAAAGTTACAAACATTGATGCAATAAGGATCCAGAGTATGACTGGAGATATAAAAAAGAAAACATTTGTATGTGGGAAAACATACTCTTTGATTGTTTCTTTGCAGCTGGTGCTGACAACACAGTCCATTGGAAGAGTTGTAGATAAAAAGTGTGACGGCTCAACAGTTCGGATCAGGACTGGGCCTGGGAGGGGGCCTCCTTTTGTTGTCACTTCCATCATCAGTTGAAGGTTAATAACATTCTGAATGATAAGTATGAATTTACACCCAAGACAAACATTTGGAAACATGATCAGCAAGGGATAAGTAAATATTGAAGAATTTAGAAGTGGAACAAGTGGATCTTCAATTCATCTTGAAAATAAAATTCAAACTAAAATGTCAAAAACAAGCTCAAGTCCAGACTTCTCTAATGTGAAGATTTATTGTTTTCTTCTATTGCAGTAAACTGAATATCTCTGGAATGACTCTGGCTATGACTAAAGCATAAAAAACAACATACTGTATTTTAAGACTCTTATTAATGTACACCTACAGAGCAAAACTGTGTCCTACAGTAATCTTTGTGTATAAAAAAAATCTTCATACTGCAGTGGAAGTTTTCTTGGTTTTCTTTTTCACAGATCTCTTGCCAGCGCTCTCTTGTTCATCTGTCCTGAAATGAATCCAAACCATAATTCCACTGAACAACAAAAAATTAGTAACAGTATAACAATCTTCTCTAGGGAAGTTAAAGGTACACTCACTGTATCCACTGTTGTAAATCCTCACACTGTGTCTCTGGAGTTATTTCTCTGGGTGTTGCATGAAAATTTTGGTTCGGCCAAATGAAAACAGGGCTGTCACAGACCCTCAACACACAAGATTCAGATTTCACCTGGGCTTGGAGCGTCTCAAATGTGTTCGAGATGACTCTGAGTGTTTTTGGTGCTGAAAATAAACAGACAGATGACAGTCATTTACAGTTAAACCACTGTTTTCACTTTAGATTTTTCTCATTGATGTAATGCTGCTGCCCGTCTTTTATCAGGTAAACGAAAACATGATCACATCACCCCATTTCTGGCATCCCTCCATTGGCTTCCCGTTCATTTTAGAATTCCTTTTAAAATTTTACTGTTGTTTTTAAAGCTTTAAACGGATCAGCACCACAATACATTTCTGAATTTCAAATAACAGAATTAACTGCCTTATTTCGGTGAATTTTTGAAGAAAACACACTATTTTCACACTTTTTACAACATAACTTAAACTTCAGTTTGCACTGACACAGCTGCGTTAGTCATAATTATACTTTAATAGCAACTAACAGTGTTTTGCGTACTGTGCAAATTATCTGCATTAATGACTATTAGCTGATATAATTTCCTAATTGTGATATAAGACAGATAGAATTTAGATAGATAGAATTTTATTGTGTATTTTTTTACAGTCAGTGCATTAAAAGGGGACAATAAAACATTAGACAGTAAAACAATAAAACCAGTTCAGAGTTAAAACAAGTAAAAGAATTAAAACTACACCAATAAATACATAGGCAACACACTTTTACACAGGTATGACTTTTGTCAGTGCACTATAACAGAGTATTTTATTATTATGCTAACAGAACTGAGGTTAAAGATCTAAATACTGTACTTTAACTTCTTTCCAGTTGCCAGTCTGTCCAAAAGATAATCTGACTGAAGTAATAAGTTAAAATGTCCAAGAACATACCATCTTTACTTTCCAGTAGACATTCGAACTCCAGCGGTCCCCTGACACGCAGGATGGTCCCCGTGTCTGTGGACTGCGAGTCAGAAACAAACTTGAATCAAACAACATAATTTATCTCGGATTAGATGAGCTGAGAATAGAAGTTTGGACTTTTTTGTGCGAACATTAAACGCACACAAGCGACCCAGGAGCCGCTGTCTGCTGTTAGCTCGACCCCTATCTTCGCTGCAGCCCCAAATGAAAGCCAACACAAGCGTGAATGTCAAAGAAATGAGACGTTTTTAAGATGAATTTGGACTAAACTCACCATTGTGGAGTTAAGATAAGCGAAATCACTGAGAGAGCAGCAGCTTTCTACTACCTGCAGGCTGACATGTTTGTTGAAAGAAACGTGTCTCTGATGGCTGCCTTCGATTGGACCACACTAGCTCCGCCTATTTGTGGTACGTTCACGAGAACTCGTAATTGAAAAATTCACAGACCACAAGCAACACTGGCAAAAATATTGGAAATTGTAATCGAAAGAGTTTACTGGATAAAATCAAAACTAGAAAAAATATTTTGAAAAAATTAAATTAAAAAATAAAACAGAACATCTAATTACTATTTCTGTACAATTTCTTGAATACCCAGGCAAATTTCTCATCTACAATTAAAACCTGACTCTCATTTGGTTTTTAGCTACAAAGAAAATGGGAGTCATTTTGACACTTTTATAAATTGAAGGGTTGAATGGAACTAAATAGAATTTGTCTAGCATTCAGATAAAATTTCAAAAAGCTGTTTTTTTGTTTTTAAAGCTCCTGTGAGTAGTTTTTGATGGGTTATGAAACAGACTGAATCAAATACCGAGTGTGTTTACATGCACAGCTTAATCGGACGAAGCTTATAAATCATATTTTTTTTCGCCAAATCAGACCTCTCTCCTTGAGAAAATCGAATAATTGATGTGAATGTGTCCTCCTCCCCAAAACTAGGGGGCGATCTGGGTCTTTTCAGTGGCGCTGTTTCCGACCCCATACCACAGCAGGTCCGTGCCAGACGTCAGAAGTGGCTACAACTGCTGCTGGGACTTTTCGAGCAAGAAGATGGAGCATCATACAGCGTTTTTTTTTTTTTGTACATGATGTATGCACTACTTTTTCTGCAGATGAGATGTACACTACTCCTCTTCTCTGGTGTTTTTGTTCCGGGGTTACGGGGGCGTGGCGCACACGCACATGCATTGTCCGATCATACTCCGACTGCGCTGGTTACATGGTAGCGAAAATCTATTTCCAATCACATTATCTGGGTGTCTTAATTGGAGTTCTCTGACTCCAATCGGGGTTTGAGAACTCCGATTATAGTCTGACTAAGGTGTTTACATGCACGTCCCTGTAAACCACAAGAAAAAAGGAGTTATTTAGAAACCAGATTGGCAATTTTTTTATTGTAATTTTTATGCCTGCAACATCTGTGAGGGGATAGATACACTGAAGAAACAGCATTTGTTACTATTCCCACAGCAAATATTGACAGTGAGTGATAAATCTCACAAGAATTTTTGTACTTAAACACCACTTTCATTAGAATAGTAGGAATCAGTGACGGTAAAAGGGTTATCACTTTATCTTAAGAGGGCGCCAAAACCAACACAGACAGAAAGTTTCTTACAGGAGCTTTAATACAGATGTACTATATGATGTGAATGTTGATTACTAAGTATTATGGAGTATTTTGAGATGATTTATAACATTTTGTAATTTAAAGAGACAGAGGGCTAAAATCAAACAATCAGGAAGGTTATGTGCTCAAATGCAAACATTAAAAAAAATCGATGAATATATTAAAACTGCCGTGGGTGTTATGGCCTCCCTGCAGAAATCTCCAGGCTCACTGCTTTGAAACAATTCCCATAATGGAGATGCTACCACAGAATTCATTATGTGTCTGCTAGTTGTGCTCTACCAGGACTGAGTGATGCATACCATATCTCATTATTCTAGCATCAGTGCTCATGTCACCCATCTTATGCATCACTAGGTAAAATGCCTCCACATTATCATTTTGTTTCATCCTCTCTTTTCAGCAGTTTTGGGGGGGGGATTATGTTCACAGTTCAAAAAAGTAAAACAAGAATGGTTACAGTAATATTTTACTCAAAGGACAATAGAGGACCATGTTTTCCTGTGCTGTGCCTGCTTGCTTCAGGCTTCAACATGGCAGCCATGCGTGCTGGGCAAGCCAGCAAGGGTGGACACACACTTAGAGATGTTGTATGTGGCTGTCATGCATGCGGAAGTGTGTGCGTACTCACTAGCAACTATTGTGCCACCACCAAAACCCTGGCCCTAAAGACAGAGAAACAAAGTAGCTACATTTTCAGACAGATAAGACACCATGATGTAACCATTCCATTATCAAAAGACTATTTCAGCATGAAACTAACAAGCAAAGACACAAGCATACCAATGTGAATAACAGGACCTGCTGGAATAAATTCACTCCTACAGTCAGATTATGCTTAAAAAAAGCCGTGCTTCATTACTGCAAAGTTAAATAAAGCACATGCCTGGAAGCAGAGTTAAAATGAGGTCAGTTTTGGGTTGTTGGTTTGCTTTAACATTGTTGCTGGACTCAGTCATAAAGGGTTTTGCAGGATTGCTGGGTAACTGAGCTGAAGGGGTCCATCATAACGAAACTGTAAGGATCAATGACCTCTCTGAGGGAGGTGTTAGCTGAAATTTCATGTAACACACTTAACAGACCCGCTGTATGTCTAGCTTGTGGTGTAAGCTGTCAGGAGTATGCAGAGTGTATTTTCCCTTGACACAAATGATGTTTTTTTGGAGATAATTATTTTTTCGTAAACTGGCAAATGGAAACTTTGTGTCATGGTCTCCTTGTCTTTGGGCACAAAAGTTCTGCTGAAAAAGAAAACCACTCAGGCACTTTAGTGCAACCTAAACAATGAAGGTTTATTGTAAGTATCTTTTGAAGGTCTGTGTGTACCTAAATGTAGTAATCTGAACTTAGCTTAAGGCAGTGGATATACACCATGACTATCGGACGTCACGTCTGTTAAGACCCTGAGGATCTTATGTTCTTTTTGATGGTGATGAGTTCAGGTATCTCTCCCAGTGTGTGCAGGGACCAAATATATGACAGAATCTATAAAAACTTGCATTAGAAATGCACATGTAACATAAAAAGAAAGAAAAGTCTATATGTGGGAGTTATTCAGTTGGCAGTTATATGGTGCTGGGGCAGGCCCTACAAATGGTAACCATATCCTGCCTTGTCCTCTTCATTTTCTTGACCTTCAAACTTGCTGCAAAGACTACATAAAAGACCCTCCAACTACAACAGATAAAGGATGAGTTCATAACTTTTGCAGTCAGTAAGAATGATCCAACCATTTTCTGCTCTATTCTATGGCCTGATACTCTTCTCAAAGCAGAAGCAACATCTTAAATAACAGCATCTATGAGGGCCACCCAAGAGCCTTTTAAAGTACTCTCCATTCAGTCTCTAACATAAGCTTTGTGTTATCGTGTGGTCCCAACATGCTTGTTCTCAGTCTTAAAAGATAACCAACATAAGCGGTGGTCTTATCCAGAGTTATCCTGCAAGAAACAAGGAAACACTCAAATGACAGACCGGTTCATTATTTAAGTTCTGAAATGGATTTATTATGTCAGATAACTAAAAAGCCTCCTGTAAGACCAAACAAGGCTACAGAGCAGTGAGTGATGTGGTCTAATTTGGCCTAATAAAATCTATTTTTAACACAAGTTTTTATAAATGATCAAAAAACATGTGTAATCAGCACTGAAACATTCCCCAAATAGTGTTACATTAAAAAAAATCAGATACACTTCACGATGCACTTAAACTCACCCACAAAAGAACAGAAAATGTTTCACTATAATGGCTGTTATATAATTTAGTTTTAGAGATAAAAACACATTACTAATCCTCATTTTTCTCCTGATAATCCAGTCTTGGCTGACTAAATAGCCAACCATTACTACAGTCCAGCACAATGTCCTAAAATCATCTGTGATAGTATAATATCTACAAAACACATACCGACCCTGTAAGTGTTACAAAAGAAACTCAACTACAGTGAAACATCAAATATAAATTCACTCATCAGAGCAGCAGAAATACTGATGATTTAAAATCGATTTTTACTCTATAATATGACTACCAAGTCATCTGACCACACAGTATGACATTATCACATCAAGCATGGAGTAATTTGACAAACATTTTTTTCTGTGATGATAAAAAATTAATACAATTATTTGCCAGTTTGACTGTAAATAAAAAAATAGAATAAAAAAAGTTATAGCACCAGTAAAGAGCACTTCCTCTTCATTACTTTCCATAATGTGGTTGGCACTGAAACTGGTCGACTGAATCACAATTAAACCAGTGGAAGCAAAGACACCACCTTTCTTTTCTTTTTTGCTCTATCCATCCACCTGCCTTGTCAACACCTTATATTAACTTTACTACAATACAACCAGACTGATAAGGGCTGGTAAGAGATTCAGGAACATTTGCTAGCAGCAGCTAAGTTAACTGAGCTATGCCTAATGCCGAGTTAAAGCTCCTGTGAGGAATTTTTTCACTTTTATGAACTACACTGAAATTCATACTGATGCTTTGTTACCATACACAAAAGCAAACAAGACCATCAGCAACACAATCGAGGATTTCTATATCGTAATTTTGATGCGTAAAACAGTTTAGGGGGGTAGATGTCGACCAAGCAGCTAAAGAAAAAGCCTTGAAACCTGAAACATCTGTAATAACACATTTTGCTGTCAACAGTCATTAGGATGAGGTCAAGGACAAGGTTAGCAAAGACAGTTTGATCCAACTGACACAAAAAGAAAGTTCCTCACAGGGGCTTTAGAGTTATATATGTCCTTCTGTATCTGACTGTTACAGCTGAATCTAAAAGCTACTTGACTTTGAGAACACGTATATTTGTTGTTATTCCATCAAAACATGGTTTGATAAGTTTTGGCATGGCACACTTTGATATTCTTGAATTGTGGGCCGTGGAAAAGAGAAGCCAGTAGTCTGCATGGATCATGGATTCCTGCTCACATACCCAAGGGAGAGGTTGGATCTGTTTATGCATTACTGGGGAGGTGTGTACAGAGGTATTTGTGAACGTGACACTATAGAAGTCAAAGGTACCAAAAAAAAGAGGACGCCTGGTTGCAAACAAGCCCATTGGACATACTAGCTAAAGGTCTGGTGAGCTAATGTTTAGCCCTGGTTTTAAAACCAATCTGAAGTTGACTATGATATCAGATGAGGCGGTTTGTTGAACTTCCCCCCTCTGGATCAAGAAAAAGCCGACTTAAATTTGTTATTGGTTTAAAAAAATAAAATAAAATGAAATAATTGTTTGTCCTGATGCTAAACAAGGAATCTGGAGGTGATGGAGGAATTTTCTGAGTAATTTATCACTTTTCAAAACAAAATCTATTCTTCAAGTTAAAAAAACTACATCCCTCAAAAATAACAACTCTTTTTCCCCTAGGACAGTAATGAACCCTCTTCGAGAAGCTCTTGAGAACCCTTTTTTTAAATGTTATATGACACAAAGCGTTTAACCCTCCTCCCCAAAACAGTCAGTCATCCTGGCCCTAATGGCTGGAATTGTAAGCCATATAAATTGCCTCAAAGAGGAATTTATATGCACAGCTTTGTAGTGTTTGTGGTCTTTGAGGTGTTATCAAAAGAAGTGAGGGAAACCTTAAACATTAGATTAGCATATTTCATAAAGAAAATAGAAAGAGATATTAAAGATTTAGATATGTTATAACAGAAATGAAACATTTTAGTATGCTGATGGGATAAAGTGGGAGATCAGTCTTACAATGGAGACACAAACACACCTTTGAGTACCTGAGGTATACACTTCACAGGAGATATTTTTCTTGATAAGATAAATTTCTTGTTTACGCTGGGACTATTTCATACGATGGGACTCAGTATGAAATAGTCCAAATGCTGTTCTAAATGATAAAAAATAGAGTACATTGCATGCGAGGAGTCGGCTGGAAATAATTTCTTCTTGCTGATAGGTTGTTGAGCTGCACCAGCCCTCACTTGCGCATGGATTGGCCTACTGCTCTTTTTTTCCTCCACTTTCTCATTGGCTTTTGGCACTGATAGTTCCCTGCCATCCCTTTTTCAATGAATATTGTATGTGGACTCTCAGCCTTTGGTGCTCATCGTTGGAATCAGCTCGTCGAGTCAGAGGAAGAGGGCACCCTGGATGAGCAGAGCACCAGATGATGGAATTTATCCCCGAGATCACAGCAGCTGCTCGACCAACACTGTCTCCCCCGTCCTCCGAGAATAGATAAGAGAGACAGAAGAGCAGTGGGACTGATACAGCGAGGGGAAGGATGTTCTGCACGAAGCTGAAGGAGCTGAAGATAGCAGGAGAGTGTCCGTTCTCCAGCGGCGCCCCAAATTATCAGCTCGGAGACTTTGAGGAGCGCTCCACTGACGCCGCGGATTTACTGCCCGTTTCTATGGACATGCATGGAAAAACAAGCGAGGATCTACCTCCAAAGAAGACCAGCAGAGCCAAAGTTAACCTGCACACACTTGGGGAGAGCATCAGAAAATTGGCATGTCCTGATGTAAGTTAAAATACATGTATTAGTATTCAATTCACGCATCTTCTACAGCTTTCAGTAGAGATTTGTCCATGCACTTGGATCTGTCCACCTAAACGCGCACACTCTTTCCACTTGACATATAGGTCTCTTTACATGTGTGGCCGCTCCTGTTATTAAAGCGATTCTGATGGCAGATAACCGAACACTTTGTCATACAGTTTCAGAGGCTGCACACTGCCCTTCAACGAATGATGAGACTGTCAGATCACAACAGGGACTCTGAAAGGTAACACGTGTGTGTGTTTTTAAATTCAGCTCCAACCAACACATGAATAAACATTGCACTACTTCTGCTGCCGATGCTACCGCTGTTGGAGATGTTAAACCCTCACTGGTTTGGTTATACAGCTAGAATTCCTCAAAATGTGACAATATTCTTGTAGCCTAACCCCTTAAAATTTTTATCTTGCATAACCCTCACTGCCTTCAGTGAAAATCCTGATGAAAACAAGAAGGTGCGAGGCAGACTTTGGCTGCTATGGAGACCAGGGCACTGAGAGAAATCCTCCTAAATCTGCTGAAAAATACAATACTTAAAAAAAAAACGTCATGTAAACGATGAAACATTCTCCATGTATCCCCAGCATCTTCAGCCTATTCTGATGTAAATCTAAATGTCTCATTGGAAGCCTCTGATTTTAACATTTTATAACAAACATTTAGCTTTTTTTTCTGAGAAAACAGTTAATTCATTGAAAAAAAACAAAAAAAACCCCACATTATTTTATGATAAAAGTAGGTACTCAGTGCTAGTTTGGTCCACTGAGCGTGTCTGATATTTATTGTTTGCAGTCAGACGATTTGCTGTGCAGACTGTCTGAGTTGTGGTGATGGCCCAGAACATTTAATTGAAATGATGAACATCTACTCAACCAAAAGAGGTAACATCATACCCGTTGGTAAAATGATTGAATATCTTGATTTTATTTCAAAATGAAGTATGCTCTCATGGCTTTAAATGTTTCCTTTTCTATGTTCCTGATAGATATCCAGATGGAAGCTGTAAAAGTCACCCTGGGCGAAGAGGTCTTCAACATGTGCTTTGAGGAGGACGCTCACATTTTAAGGGTGGTGGGGGGCGCTCTTCATGACTTCCTCAACAGCTTCAATGTCTTGTTGAAACAGAGCAGCATGCCGCCCAACCGGGACAGAGAGGATTGTGTAAACGAACCTTCGGTCTTGTGCTTAGATAAAGATCTGGGTCTGCTTACTGTCTATTTCTTCAACCCTCGCCCGACCACTGAGCTCTTTTTCCCTGGAGTCATCAAAGCTGCTGCCTCTCTGCTCTATCACACCACCGTGGATGTGTTGATGGAGCCCTCCGCCGCAAGAGACAGCGTCCTGCAGTCCAGCCCGCAGCCCAGTCTTCTCTACACAGTTGTAGTCAAGGATGCTAAAAACCTGAGTCCCAGTCCTTTGCGGGCAACGTCAGCAGGGACTCTTCCTACCTCTCTGTTTTCCACCATTTTCCCTTTCCACCTGATCCTGGACCCAGACCTAGTTCTGGTTCAAATAGGACATGGGCTCAGGAAGAGACTGAGCAGGAAGGACAGCCTGAGGCGGTCCACTACCTTCCAAGAACACTTCTCCATTGTTTCCCCTCAGATCAAATGTACCTTTCAGGGTATTCTGACCATGCTGAACACACAGTTTATCATTCGGATCAAGCATGGATGCTCCTCCACGGATACCACAGGGAAGGTATGTCCCCATATCTGAGGAATAACCTAGGTACAAGTGTGACATCACTGACTAATGAGAAGGAAAAGGTCTCCCGGTCATTGAAAAGATAGAGAAAGAAAAACCAGGCTATTTATAAGCATTGGTGCTTGTTAGTGGTGTACTACTTGGGTGCACTTGGCCTGAGGAAGGGATCAACATTATACCCCCAGTAGAGATCAGAAGCAAATGTCAAACCCTTTTATTCATCAAAGGCACAGCCATGCTTGTGCTATTTATGAGAGGGTACACAGAAATCGGTCGCCACGATAGGAGAAAAAAAAAACGTCAGTGGGTTAACATGGCATTGCTGTAATGACTCCTGACATTCCTGACAGTGATGCTTCCTCTACCCCAGAAGTTTCACAGTTAAAGCGCACAGAATAGTAAGAGATGAGAAAACACACTAGGTAAAAACAGACCACGAGTGAAGGCCAATTCAATACCATTACTATCTCCAAATGTGACCGAAATTTCTGCTGTCAATTAGTCCTTGTAGGAAGATGCGATTTTCCTTAACAAGTAACAGATCTAACCAGCCCCTGTTAATCTGTGTGGCCTTGAAATTTTGTCTAAACATGAAAATGTTCTGCAAATCAAACCAAAATTGGTCCGCCATTGCACATGTCACATCCATTACCAAATCAACTGCTGTGATATCTTAAACGTTAGCACCAGTATGATATCAGATTGTATCTTTCACTGTAAAATCTTTGGTCAACAGTGTGTCTAAGACTTGCACAGATGAGGCTCCCATGTGATCATCACTTACTCTGAAGTTTATTCACTTACCTTTATACAGATAAGACATCAGATAGAGTAGGAAACTGAAAAGAGAGAGAAGAGAATCACATTAAGCAAAGGGCCATGGCTCAGGATCAAACCTGGGCCACCAGCTTTGAGGACTAGAAGCGAATGCAATGTCTTGTAACTTTATTGGCAACACTGCTCGACACTGACCCATGATTTGTAGTGGAGCTGTTATGTTTGGTCTGTGAATGTAAACTTACAGAAATGTGGACTAAATGAGCACAAAGTCTGCACAGAGGGCTTGGTCTGTATCCATATGCACATCTTAAGTAGAGCATAAATGAGCCTTAAGCCAAACAAGCGCTCCTTATTTTCTCTGATACTCCTTTTCAGCGTGTTGCTTTTAATATTATGGTTTCCCTTTTTAAAAAACCTAACATGCACAGTCCAGAGTGAATGGCGCAAAGTAACTGAGGGCGTGCACAATATGTTTGGCTAGTTAGGTGGCACACAACCTGGGTGCTAAATAAGGCCAGAACACAAAGAGGTTTGGTTAAGTCTTTTGACTTCTAAAACGTGTGCTTTAGGCATAAAACAAATCAGTCGAATCAGTGCGTCTACTCTCATACCCTTTAAGAGCCAGGTGCTTTTACAGGCAGGTGCGTTACTATTTACAAACCAGCATATCTTAGTTCTTCTTCTTCCACTGCGCCTTTAGAAAAGCAGAAAACAAACAATCACTGTAAAAGTTCTGTTGGTGCATGGGTTGATATTTCACCCAATGAACAGGGAAACGGTGTGTACTTTTATGTACAAAGCACACCAGTGTATTTTCATGAATTATTTAAAACTCCAGACGTGTTGAAAGTATTTGATAGGCTCTGCTGTTAACCACTAGCTCATGTGCCTGACGGCCAAGAAAGGAGAGCTTTTTTGTGTGTTTTTTCCCTGCTGAATCACATGGATGTATTAGCTATGTGCTACATTCACACTGGATACAATCTCTATTAATATTGGCACTAATAGCAGTGAAATGAATTACTCCTTAGTTGTGTGTAAACAAGTGTGTGTTCTCCGTATATTGCAATGGAGAGAGCTTAGTGACAGTCCCCATCTGACATTTGCTCTGCATACCAAGATGCTTTACACCAAGTGCAAGATCTATATATTCTATATATATATTTATATATCTCTTTATCAATATCTTTATATACCATTAAACAAGTGATGTCGTGATGATCAGCTTGGACCCTTTGTTCAAAAAGCGATTAGATGACCTGAATAGAAGCTAGACTATCAGCTGCTTCAGACAACGTCAGCTCTACCACGTCATTCACCTTGTTTTTACAAACTCGGACATAAGCACTATTCTTGGTGTAAGTGCACACTTAATCGTCAGAAAGCCTATTTATCTCTGCACTAGTCTGAACACGGCACAAATGTATGTGTCCTTCTGCCTGATATAAGTACCTCTTACGATCCCACCTCAGTAAAAGAAACTACCTTTGACTTTTTGATGAATTATGGTAATATAAAATCACAATTATGTCTGATTTCCAGCCCTGTGATGTAGCTTAGACAAAGAGTTTTTAATGTAATAATACAGGCTTGTAATTAAAGGCTAAATATGGCATGATCAGAAAAAACTCACTTCTCAGCCAAAGGCCTTGTCTGACAGTCAGTGGATCATGAATAGCTTCTTCTCTGGAAACCATGAAGTTCTTTACATTTTGATAGTTGCAGTAATGTTTGGCTGTGGTTGGTGAAAACCCGTACTTAGTTATATGGGATTTTGTTTGTTTAATGCATTCCTGCTCCACTGGAACATCAACAAACCCTTTTTAAGCGTACTGTTTTTGCTGACAGACAGCTGCGGACAGCTGTGCTTTTATAAATGTCACACATGAGACAAGTTTGCTTTTCTTTAAGATCAATGCTTAAACCGTTCACATATGCCCTGTAAGAGTTTGTACATGTATATGTTTTATTTCTAAATTTAAATGCATGGATGCTGCTGACCATAACATTACTTTTCTTTGATTTGCCGTGGGAAATTTGTTGTCAAAGTAAACTTAAAGAAACCTCTGCTCCAGGATGTTGCCAAGTACAACTAATCAGCTTTCAAAAAGAAAAGTTATAGAACTACAAATACAGTAAGGCATAAGTTTACCAGTTTTTATAAAAGTCAACTATTCTTGTCATCCATTATTTCTTCCAGCTCATGGACCTGAAAGGTCAGATGATCTACGTGGCAGAGTCGAACGCTATCTTGTTCCTGGGCTCACCATGTGTGGACAAGCTGGAGGAGCTGACAGGCCGTGGCCTCTATCTATCAGATATCCCCATTCATAATGCACTTCGGGACGTTGTGCTGGTTGGTGAGCAGGCCAAAGCACAGGATGGTTTGAAGAAACGTTTGGGGAAGGCAAAGGCAGCATTGGAGCACGCTCACCAAGCTCTAGAGGAAGAGAAGAAGAAAACAGTAGACCTTCTCTTCTCCATCTTCCCTGGCACTGTGGCACAGCAGCTGTGGCAGGGCCAAACTGTGCAGGCCAAGAAGTTTGACAGAGTTACCATGCTCTTCTCAGACATTGTAGGCTTTACTGCTGTGTGCTCACGCTGCACCCCGATGCAAGTGATCACCATGCTAAATGAGCTGTACACCCGGTTTGACCACCACTGTGGAGAGCTTGATGTTTACAAGGTAGGTCAAAGCAATTTAAAGGCTTACTGCTGAGCAATCTAAATGATACGCCTGATTTATGATGCTCCTTAGCCTGTATTTAAATTGATCTTTGTGCAACAGCTTGATTCAAAATCAGTGACAGAACAATGTTAAACACATTTGGTATTATCACAGTATATTATTCAAGATCTACCTCGATTGAAAAAAATTTAATAAAAGGATCTTAAGCAGGTGGACATAACTTGTCGCAGGGCCTGTGTCCATTAATGCCATTTCTAGCGCAGGCAGTACCCATGACTAAATTTTTAGAGCAGTTATTACCAGCCCTCACTGTTGCTAAGTTATGAAAGTTGTCTTGTGACACAGACAATGAAAAAGTAACTGATAGATATGTTGCAGAATTACCAGCAGCTCTCTAAAATTGATACCTTTGCAAAAAGAACTGGTGAGTTTTTACGGGGCTTTGCAGCGTTGTTGAAAAAAGTCAAAGTCGGGAACTCTTCACCCTCTAGATTTTAATTGGTTGGTAATGGAGAAACACAGATGAGTGTGATGGATGGTCTTAAAATTTGATTCTTGTCAAGGGACAAAAAACTGTGGATGTGAAGAGTGTTTTGTACTTCAGATGCAGAGTACTGAACTGCTCTGATTTTGTATTGGAAGGAGGGTCTTCCAGCCCAAAGGAAGTTGTCAGTGGACATAGGCCCTTCTGTGAAACTACAGTATTATACTTTTCAGCACTTGGTATAATTAAGGGTCTTGAGGCTCGCATCACTGTTCAGTACACCTCTTGTTGGAGTATTTTAGTTTCAAGCAAACACTGAAATTATTTTTTCATTGATTATAGAATATGATATTGTGCAGTCAGAGACCTGCTGCAATCAGTATAGAAAGAAACCCAAACAATTCAGACTTTGTGTATTAAGTGTGTGATTTCCCCAAAGGATGTTAAAGAGCTGTCTTCACACAGTCATATATTTGGAAAATCTGAGATTTATATCCCATCAGATTCAATCAATTGAAATATTTTGACTAAAAAAAAAAACCAAATCAGCCAAATGATGCAAAAAAAGTAAAAGATCTCAAAGGTGAAGCAGCTATGGCCTGATCTTTGGCTGACTAAAAACATCGTAATCTGCTTTTTAAGTTTCTGTTTGGTAAATGATGGTGTTACAATCACCAGACAGTTTAGAGTTAGATGATCAAGTCCAACTGGAGCTGAAAGACTGAAAAACAAGTCCGTTTTTTTATGCCTAATTTACTATGTAACATGGTTTGTTTTAACATACCATCTTATGTCTATACATTTTTAAGTGATATGAAAACAGTACATTTTTCTCAACAAATTTCACAGAAAGTGACTATGGCTCAAACAACAACCTTGGAGTCTGCCAAAGGCCGCTAATCTCTAGGGAGGTTGGACAATGTAATCAAAGTGTCAAGGAAGCTTAACAGAAAGAGCAGCATGCATGACAAATACCTCGTAAAACGCAAGGAAGTCAGAGGTTCCTTCAGGACCCTGTTTCCACTCCACATGTGTTAGGGCCTAAAAATAGTTTCACTTTGTCTCTGCCACATAGCGGCTGAGTGCTCTCTGGGCCAGATTTACAAGAAGCAGAGAAAAAAGAAGAAATACTTGTGGACTTTTTCAGACGACCAGGGATCAAGCACCATCACAGTTTAAGTTTTATTACTCTTGGGTATTCTGCCCTTTGTCTTCTCCTGTAAGATGAGAAGTGTGTCAGATTGTAAAGGGATTCTGATGGATATCCTCTTCACATTTGTAATTTAAGTCAAGAGGTATTTTCTTGATGTTTTTCATACAGTTTAAAAATTCACTCTGTGTAGACTCGCTGATAAGGAGGCTCTTGACTTTGAGTAGGGCGGTTCACAATCAACCTTCAATCCCTTTTTCTATGTCAGGTTAGAGATCATTTCAGTTATGATCCACTCTGCAGGTGGAGACCATTGGTGATGCTTACTGTGTTGCTGGAGGTTTGCATAAGGAGAGTGAGATGCATGCCGTCCAGATAGCACTCATGGCCTTAAAGATGATGGAGGTCTCCGATCATGTTATGACGCCCACTGGAGAACAAATACAGGTGAGGGTTATGAATAGTTCAATGCTGTTCACATAAATTTATTTGAAAGTGTAAACTCTGAGGGAGTTTTTTTCATTGAGATCCCCTTAAAATGTCCAATTTTCAATGAATCTCTATAAAACTCTATAGAAATGTTAGAAAATACTGTGCTGTCTTCGCTATTCCTATTAGCATCATGATGTATTAGCTACTAATGAAGGAATGAAATGCAACTGTATGCCACAGCTTTACCGTCACTATAATTTTTACTGAGTCTTCAGCTGCTGAAAGCACTGAGAACAATGCATGCAAGAAAAAGGCTTCAGAAAAAAAAATGCAACTGCAGTAACACAGACCCATAAGGTGTTGACATCAAGTGCTGCTGAGAGAGACACAGTTTTTCTCATTTGGTCACCAAGAAATATTCTCAGTGCACTTTGCCTCTCATACACTGGACCTTTACCTTTTATAATATGAAGCATCAGCAGATCAATCTTTTCAAAATTCTTGTTTTATTGTATGAAACTAGAGAGCAATGTGACTGTGCAAACGAGTGGTCAACTGTGGCCACTATACAATAACAGTATCACTTTGTTATTGAGGATTTGATCAAATACAACAGTTTCAAAATACCTACACCTACCATTTAATGCACATCAGAATCAAATATACATGGTTATCTTAGAACATATTTTGGATGGATTTTTAATAAATTCATGTACATGGAAAAACACACTAGATTACTTTTCAGATGCCAGAACATGACAGCTATTTAAGTCAGGTTCAATATTTAACTCCAATCTAGAGACTGCCTGCAGTGTCTGCAGACATTATTTGTTAATTTAGTGCAGGAATTGTTTGCTGCTGATGATTTAGGCCTTTTCAGTGTATTTCCAGTGCAAACGCCCCAATCATACATGATAGAAAAGTTCATTTTTTCATGCACCCCAATCGGACGGCTGATAAATCAAGAACAAAAAGAAATCTGAAGCATTTTAAATATTATTTTTTTCTGCAGATGCGCATTGGCCTCCACACTGGTTCTGTGCTGGCTGGTGTGGTTGGGGTGAAGATGCCACGGTACTGCCTTTTTGGAAACAATGTCACGTTGGCCAACAAGTTTGAATCTGGCAGTCAACCCAGAAAAATCAACATCAGCCCAACAACCCACAGGTGAAGTTACCATTCCAAGTCCAGGTCCATCAAGTAGTTGCAAACAGATTCACTTGGCAAATTATTATTGCTTTTAGAGCCATTAACTTCCTTCACCCAATAGCTCAGTCTAGAGAAAGCAAGTAAAAGTGAAAGAGTTTGAATATATAAAGTTATATTCAAATAAGTCAGTGCTGTATGGTATTGTTTGTTTCCTACGGGGAAAAAAGTAGTTCTCTCGACAGGAAACCTAACTTTTAGAAGAGCTCTGCGTTTCCTCTTGTGTCAAATAATTTGCCACATTGTTTTTAGTTCCATGTTTTATTTGTGTGCTCTGTGTCCCAGATTGCTGAAGGATCGCCCTGAGTTTGCATTTGTTCCCAGGAGCAGACAGGAGCTTCCGGCCAACTTCCCAGAGGACATCCCTGGTGTTTGTTACTTTTTAGAGGCATCCTTCAAAACTTCAGAACTGACTCTGAAATAAAGTAAAGCCTTCGCAGAGCCACAAAAAAATGTTTAAACATAGATGTATCTAGTGAAAACAGTGACACCACCTTGTGAACTTTGGTTTGGGTTGTTTAAATATTGATGATATTGTCTATGTGTCAAGCTCTTGCATCTTTTTGATTACAGAGATGTCAGTTTGCTGTAAAACATGAGTGTCTTTTCTTTACAATGTCCATTTGTACAGATGTAGCACAGACAAAAACCCACTTCATTGATTTTTCTTCCAGAATGAGCCGTCTTGGAAAACTCCTATGTACTGAAAATGTCTATATGCTGTTGATGGCAAATTTTAGACTGTTTTGTTCATTTTCACAGGTGTATGCTTTGGTATATGTAAAAAACAAAAACAGTTAAAGTGTGGGCAATTTTTCAAAATGATTCTGTAGCATCTGATTAGCAGTAAGGAAAATGAAATCATCTTCTTGTATAACGTGGATATGATAAAAACATAGTTTGGGTAGTATTGCTCAGTAGAGAAATAAATCTGCTGATGTTTTTTTGTAAATATTTGATCGGCTTATTTACGCCAGGTAAAGCATCTCGGCCTGTTGGTACAAGACTAAATCGAGTTTTACAGATAATTTAAGCTAAAGTTAAGAAAAAGCTTCAAAGATTATGCAGACAAACGTCTTGAGCCGAGATTCAGGCTGTATTTGAATTATGTATGCAGAGAAGATTTAGGTGCCTTATGGATACTGTACTGGCAGGATCACAGATATTAAAAAGTAGTAGTGGTTGCTTTTTGTTTCTTTAAGTATTCAGTTTGAACATATGTGTTAATAACTTCTTCCAAAGTTTTGTGGTTCCAACTCAGTACTATATATTTGTACTAACATGTAACTTGGACTTCCATTTATTGGACATGAAACATTCTAAAATAGCATTTTCCTACTACATGTAACTCAAATGTATTTTTTACTTTTTCCACCCTACACATGTTTGTTCTATATTTATAACATTGGTATCAATGCACACCTTTGCTACACAACAGGAATACAACACAACAAATATCCAGTGAATGTTATGTATTATCAGGCATAATGATGTATTTTAATCATTATTGAAATGTAATAACGCGCAATAAAAATTGGCATTAATAGACTAAAATGTGAAGGACACAGTGTTTTATTAAGAATGATAATTACTGTTTTATATTGTAATATAAAACATGTTTTCAGTCATTTACTCTCATATAGATATGCTATGTTTAATACGGTAATACTGTGGTTTTTAAGTTCGTAGCAGAAAACGTGATTTTCAGCACTAGAACCCAGTGGCTGCCTGCGGTGGCTTCCCTCACCAGCATCATTTTAGACAACAACACGGCTGCGTTTTCATTGGTCGAGAGTGTTTACGTAAGACGCCATCTTGCCTTCTATTGGCCTTTTTCGCTGTCACTCATTAGGAAAGGGGGAAAAACGGGGAATGGACGCAGAGTCACACAGCATCTGTACCAAACGATGAAGGCTGTGTAGGATTCAACGATTTCTGCGTAAAATAGGAAAACAGAAGCGCAGCTGGCATCATGGTGGGTATATTATTACATTGTTTACTGTTTAAAGCTGGTAATATTGATTGTGTTGTCGTGCGACAGGCAATGTTTGCATTTGGCGGTTCCTGTTAGTGAATCGTAGCTGGTATTAAATAATTTCCTGGGTATAGTGAACCGTGCGTCTTTACGGAATAACATATTACAGCCTACATGTGTTTAAAATTAAGATTGCATGTTTATGAAAAAATGTCATAATAGTTGTCTTTCCCCGGACGTGTCATATATTGTACAATTCCTATCGCTTGTGTGTTTTTTCCTCCATATATTTACAGTATGGTTTTGTGAATCACGCCTTGGAGCTCCTCGTTTTGAGGAATTATGGGCCGGAAGTGTGGGAGGATATCAAGTGAGTTCATGAATAATGTGTTTACTGATGGGCCCTGTTGGTATCATAGGTAACTCTGTGGACATCCAAACTACGACAGGGAGGTCTGCTGTAGAAAAGCCCCGCTCACTATCAGCACAAACACACTTTGACATTTGCCTTTAGTAATGATTAACCTTCATCTTTGCAGCACAGCACTAACACACTAACACACAGTATGTTTTGTATTTATTAAACTTCACGTTTGCTCAGAAGCTTAGGTGATTGTGGGCATTAAATATATAGATATAAATATGTGTAGGCCGCTAAATAAGAGATTTAGGGAATTAAATTAGAGAAACTCCTTTACAACACATCTTACTGTAAAATATAATAAATCAAAAGTTGTTACTACTATGTAAAAAAAAAATCTTTTTATTTTTTTTACAAATAGGCTGTATATCTTAGGACATCTTCATCCCCAAACAAATAAAGTAGGATTGAAAAATACTACATTTACTTTTGGTGATTAATAATTGGACTTAACTGTTTTGCAATTATTCAATCAACTCTTTCATATATGTTTTTCATCACAAAAAAATACACCGTATATGTGCAGTCTTTAACACTGTGGGGTAGTGACCCCTCAAAAACCCTTAACACTTAAAAAAGAAGATGACTGAGATGTGGGCTTTGCTCAAACTAACAGATTTGTTATCTGCAAACCTGTTGAATTAACAGCAGAGGCAAGCCCAGGTTTACTGAGCACATCTAGATACAGTAATATGATTTATGTTGTCCACTCTGATGTTTACATATCAGTTTTTCATATATTGGATGTTGTTTACTCTCTTTTATTTTAATATAGTCTTAACTTGCTTAGACTTTACCCTTTCCGAATAAAGTATGATTTAAAAATATTAAATTTATCTTTCGTAATGAATAATTTGACTTAATTTTTTTTGCAATTATTCAACTGACTCTTTTATATATGTTTTCATCACAAAAAATACACTGTATTTGTGCAGTCTTAAACACTGTGGGGTAGTGACCCCTCAAAAAACCTAAAAACTTAAAAAAGAAGATGACTGAGGTAAAGGCTTTGCTCAAACTTGAACTAATAAAGTTTGAAAAAGAGAGATTTTTTTTATTCGATCAAATATACATACAGTACAGTTTTAGACAAGAAATTCACCTATTTTAGGAGTTTGAAAAGGAGTAGGTAGAAGCTATTTAGCTTTTTTGTACCTACCCTCACTCCTTCCTATGCGTTGACCTTTTACATGTCTCTAGAATTTTAGGATTTCTTCAGTCGCCAAAAGGTAACCAAAGCTCCAAAGTCTAACGTGAATATGTAACAAATCATTAATACTAAGACAAAGACCTGATACAGATTTACATCCATACCTATATACACGTATATACACACAAATATGCACTTCATATATGTACCTATGAAACTTAAAATCTCTCATTTGTACAATGCCCATATACAATATAGTAACTGTGACAAAACGAAAATCACTTGTATAAGTATTTTTTTGCTCATACTCTGCTCTAATTTACTTTTAAACTGTGCTATTGTTTTGCTTTGTTTAAGTTCATCAGATAAGCTGTTCCATAGCTTCACCCCCACAACAGAAAGACACATGCTTTTTAGTGTTGTACGAACTCCTGCTTGTTTTAAATTCCGTTCCCCTCTTAATAAATACCTGCCCTCTCTTCCACCAAACATTTTCTGTATATTACTAAGTTGTGTTTCAAGCTGTGTTTTAACAGATTTGTTTTCTGCAAACCTGTTGAATTAACAGCAGAGGCAAGCCCAGGTTTACTGAGCACATAGAATAGATACAGTAATATGATTTACGTTGTCCTCTCGGATGTTTACATGTCAGTTTTTCATATATTGGATGTTGTTTACTCTCTTTTATTTTAATGTAGTCTTAACTTGCTTAGACTTAACCCTTTCGGAACAGCAAAGATTAATGCAAACATACAGTCAGCCCAGCAGCAGCTGCCTTGTGAAATTGTTCCTGAAGTGGTTGTTCTGTATCAGCCAGTCCTCTAAGCACATGAGTCATTGTTATCTGTTACAAAGTTTATTGTATTTGGTATGTTTTCAGACTTTGATAAGTGGAATTGTTTGTACAGTGATTTTTATTTTCTTAAAAAAGATTTCAAGGCCCAGAATGTTTTTTCAGCTGTAACAGGTTCTGATAATATGGTGGCAGCTGGTCAGGCCTGTAAATCATCTCTGTTTTTCTAGCAAAACAGCAGTAATCAGAATCTCATCAACTTTTCAGATGATTTTTTTTATAAAGTTTTGATCATTGAATCTATAAATAGCAAAATTCAACCTTTAGCTTGGACCTTCATCTTATTATCCAAGCCTGTTCAACAGTGTAGTTTTGTAAACCACATAAAAACTTCACAATATGGCAAAATAGTTCTATGTTACACCACAGACTGGCCACAAAGAAAAACAATAGGTCTGTTTTTTCCTCTCTCTCAGGTGATCACAATAAACTGTGTTGAAGACTGCACATATACTTTGGGCCAACAAATACACAACATCACAAAATATACATCACATAATCAATTAAATGATAACAACTTTAACTTTGCTTACAATGATTGTCAACCTCTGCTGCGAAATGTTCTCATGAATGACTGTTATTTGTTTACAGGAGGGAGGCTCAGCTTGATATCGAGGGTCAGTTCCTCGTGAGAATCATTTATGAAGATGCCAAAACATACGATCTTGTTGCTGCTGCAAGTAAAGTTCTCCGTAAGTGACACTTTGTCTTTTGTAGTTCTATGAGTGAAATTGGTGAGTGTTTAAAATAGAGCTTTACAAGTTCAAACATTTGTGTCTAAATTACTGACAAGTAACTTTCTGTATTTCAGAGGTCGATGCTGGGGCAATCTTGCAGATGTTTGGAAAGATGTTTTTTGAATTTTGCCAAGAGTCTGGATATGACACCATCCTGCGGGTGTTGGGATCAAACGTTAGAGAATTCTTGCAGGTAATTCTGTTTTCTCCTCATTTCAGAGTACTGATCAGGAGGACCCCGTTACTATTTTGACAGCTATGAAAACTTGCCTGAGCTTCGCCAATTCTGAGAGAAAAAATAATCATAGCGATGTCATCGAGGTCATTTTAGTGTGTTAGAGACTTTAAAATATTTTACAGAAAGCTTAGTTTGTTAACTGGATCGGATATCTGATGAATGACACTGATCCAGTCATTTTTTCTTTTAATCAATTTTTCTCCTAATACATGGAAGCCTTAATTCTTTTGGCTGTGTGCTCATGTGCAATTTGTTATTTGTTAATAGTATTGTGTAAATTTATATCTGTGTTAATTTGTTACCTTTATTTAACAAGTCTAATGTCAAGCCATACAGTTCATTCACTCAACAGTAGTATTAGATCAGTATCGGATATTGGCCGATACGCTCAGCCCAGGTATCGGTATCAGATTGGATCGGAAAAAAAAAGATTGGTGCTATGATAGATGTGCAGTACTAAAGGGCTTTACTTCTCCAGTGTTTTATGTATTATGTACATCAACTCATTGTGCTTCAGCCTTGTAATTGTGGATTTAGCTTTAATTTAAACACTGTGTATTTCATGTTGAATCCAAACTTTCAGAACTTGGATGCTCTGCACGACCACCTGGGTACCATTTACCCTGGGATGAGAGCTCCCTCTTTCCGCTGCACTGATGCAGAGAAGGGCAACAATCTGATTCTCCACTACTACTCAGAGAGAGAAGGCCTGCAGGACATCGTGATTGGCATCATTAAGACTGTTGCCCAACAAATCCACGGGACAGAGATAGAGATGAAGGTCTGTTTTTAGTCGGTTTTGCTGCTTCTTTGCGTGAAGCCACAGTGAAGATAAATGAGCAATTTTTCATCTTCCTTTTCTTATTTTCTACAACACACAATTAAATCCTCCAGCCCTTGTAATGTTTGTGCCTCTGAAAAATGTATAATTAAAAGGTCAAAGGTTATGACTTAATGGTTAGACAGAAAGTTTGAAAACACCCAAACAGAAAGAGAGCTGTGCTGTGCCAGTTGCAGTTCAGCAGGGAGATTTCGGCTAATGTCTGTGAGTCAGAGGATATTTTTAGATTCAAGTTTTAGCGTCCTGAGCATGGAAGTCTTGAAGAGTTTTTTTTCCCACAGTTTATTTTAAGTTTGTCTCACCATGGATGGATTTAAATTGGACTTCTCCTGTACGTTCATCAGATTATTCATCCAATTGAAAGATAGATGCTGGCCTGTTTAACATAAATGTGAAGTATACTCGTGTGAAAAACTTCATGTCAGTTGTTTTTTTTGTATCTTTGTGATCTTGCAGTCCACTTTACCTCAGCTTTAGTCTAAACCACAGACAACTACATATTATTCTCTAAGGTATACCCTCTAGTTTGCTCATCACCCTAAAGGCAAACATTAACTCTCAAATATAATCATACTTGTCCAGGAAGGATTTTGTTTTTCTATGATTGTGTAATGAAAGAACAGAAAATGGCAGACGCTCCAAATGTGACATCCAATTTCTGGAAATATTAGCTTCTGTTGCTATGGCAACAGGGTGCAGACACAGTAGCTTCACGTCAGCATGCCTTATGCCATAAGCCCACAGAATAGTGTGGTTTTATACAGCCTCACTTCTGTAATAGCATATAAAAGATATATATTTCTGTTAATGGTTTGATTATAAAACACTAATAATGTGTGGGTGAGGTATTTGATAAATTTTGATGTTATGTAATTCTAACTTAATTATGTATGTTTTGCAAGAATAACAAAGTTTTGATTATTCCACTAAATTTTATGCAGATGATCCAACCGAAAAGCGAGGAGTGTGACCACATCAAGTTTTTGATTGAGGAGAAGGACTCTGAGGAGGAGGCGTTCTACGAGGACCTGGATGGCTATGAGGAGAATGGCACACAGGAGACCAGGATCAGCCCATACACGTTTTGCAAAGCCTTTCCATTCCACCTTATGTTCGACAAAGACCTGGTGCTTACTCAATGTGGGAATGCAATTTATCGAGTCCTGCCCCAGGTATGTATTTTTCATGCTAAGTCTGACTGATGCAACAATTACAGTTTCACCAGTCAGCCGCTCATTCTGCTCAGGAATGAGAAATCGATTGCAAGAAAATATAATGCAGACTATTTTAAAGACGGACAGATTTAGTGTTTTTTTCTTCAAGTAAAAGTATTTTGCTTTAAAAGCTGAAATTAGCAGATGTTTCAAAGTTTGCCTGCTTGTCTATGTCTTCAATGATCAACAATGTAAAGACTTTGGGGTTTTGGCGTAATTTAAAAATACGTTGAACTAAAAGAAATTAAAATAAGTACACAATTCATCTCCAGAATCTATGTCAAATTTTAAAATTGTAATCAACATATGGGTCAGTTTTTTTTTTCTTCTTAAACTTTTACCTGATTCAGAAGCTTAGATTGCAGCAGTGGTTTGTACTATTCTTAACAAGCGCTGTATTCCAATAGTAACTAAAAAGTATCTTTTTTTATTTTTTGCCCATCAGCTCCAGCCTGGTACCTGCAACCTGCCGTCAGTTTTTTCTTTGGTCCGTCCTCACATTGACTTCAGTTTTCATGGCATCCTCTCCCACATTAACACTGTCTTTGTCCTGCGAAGCAAGGTAAATATGACATAATATTCATTTTTTCACTTCACTATTGACTTCTCAAATGAATACTTTATCATGTTTGATGACTTTTCATAAAGAGGCATAACACCATACCAAGGTGAAGATGATCAATAAGTGGTTTAGTTCTATAATATACATGACAGAATATGATGTACCATAGTTTATGTAGCCACACCACATGTCACATGTCACAGTTGGGGTATGTCACAGTCGCCATCACAAATTTGCCAAGTTTTACCAAATTCCTTGTGAGATGCGCATGGAGGCAATGCACTCAAAGGGTGTTCAGATGCGCTTAAGGTGAGAGTGCCAAGTGTCACTAAAAAGACCAAGTCACCCAAATAAACGGTACAACCCTCCAACCCAACAACACGGTTCTCAACTGTTCTGATTTGATTTGGTTATTCCGCCAGAGTCTCCGGTATTAAGTTCGTTTTCTTGCTTGTGTTGGCAGTTGTGGCCAACGGAGGATTCAGACAATTTTCTGTACTTTTTTGTTGGTTTCTACTATCTGATATTGTAGCACGCTAACTTTTGTTTGGGCTCGTGAACAACACGGGAGAGCAGCGTCCGCCTCGCAACCAATCAGGTTGGGGGAGGTGGAGAATGGCTTTGTTTATAGTCAGAAAGAGCGGGCCGCTCAAAAAATGTAAAATGTTGACTACACAGACATAAGAGAACACAGTGATATCGTTATATTACCAAATGTCATCAATAACTAATAACTATTGACTGATATTAGACGCGGTTTTGTATTTACACCCAAAAAAGATGCTTCTTTAAGAATCCTGCCTACCCCACCTTTAATCTCTGACATTTTCAAATTATATTCATAAACACTACCGATTCTACAAACTAATTTTATGCACAATTAGGATTGGTCGGACACTGCAAGACTTCCCTGTGCACGCTTGGATGATCACCCCCAAGCCAGTATGGAGCTTCCCCGCTACCTAAACCCTAGTTTTCATGAGACTGCTTACGGCGGGTTCTTATGCACTGACCCCGATGAATCATTCAGGCGACTAGCAGACTAGCATCCCTCCTGAAACCATGGCATGCTCCCAAGCAACCCTTAAACTGCATATTTTTTATCCTAACACTGCCCCCCCATCAACCCGATGAGCCCAAAGGGTAACACTGCTGCAGCCTACAAGGAAAAACTCCCCACTACTATGACAACTGTGGGTGTTTGAGCACAGTGTAGTGAGGGTTTGTGAGGATTACACTGGTGTAAGGTCAAACTAAGGCAATGGTGTGACGCTGGTCTGGAAGGGGGAGCATGAGAGAGAGCCAGAGAAAGAGAGAGAGAGGGACCAAGGCCACCATAAGCTGCTTTTATGTCCAGTGTGGAGCACCAGGTCCAGGTGCTCAACATCGGAGTTGATACAGCTAATCAGCTCATCAGGCACCTCGTAAGAAACACACAAATTAGTATGGCTACCAGAGCAACATAGAGGCAGGGGCTGTGACAACTTACTACTACTCTAGTCTGAGCAAATCCTCTCCAGTGATGAGGATGTCAGTGATGCATGCGAGACTTGAGGTGAAAAACATACAGATTTAAAAATTGTGAGCTGAAGTGGTGCCCAGTTTGGAGGCAGATTTAGACAAGAACATGTATTGAAATATTCATGTGTGTGATGTAATCCTGACAGGAGGGCCTGCTGAATGTAGAGACGGTGGAGAATGAGGACGAGCTGACAGGGGTGGAGATCAGCTGTCTCAGACTGAAAGGACAGATGATTTACTTGCCAGAGGCGGAGAACATCCTTTTTCTTTGCTCACCCAGGTAAACCCATGGTACTGTCTGTCCTGACCGCAGCAGAGCAGACAAGATGAATACACACACACACACACACACACACACACGCACACAAACCTTAATAGAGTCTCTTTTAACAATCGAATGGGAGCACACCAATTACTTGCAAAGATAAAAACGCTGTAATTTTAAATGATAAGATGCTCATTTAATGGATTTATTGAATGCTATTGTCGTTCTGGGCATTCAGAAATCATTTTAAAAAATCACTGTGCACAATTTACTGAATGGGCAAAAATTCAGAGGTTATTTTAATCTCTTATCCTTGTGAAAAATGGCTTTTGTTTATTGGTTCTTCATAAGAGAAAAATTAACCCTTTTTTTAATATAAATAATCGCTGTTACTTAATGACAGATACTTTTGTAAAGGTGCACACAGACAAGGTGAAGGCAGGGCAGACAGGGACTTGAAACAGAGACACTGGTGAGTGATCACAAAATAAAACAGAAAGCACAAGACATGAGGGGAAAATAAAATACTCAGACACGGACGGACATGACCAATATACTTTTTAGGTAATTAAGACAGACTTGCTAACAACCACTAATAGAGAGGCTAACAATCTGAAACTTCTATTTAAATAAACGCTGCAGATTTTTAGCCTCCTTTTCTCAGTACATTTGTGAAAGGACTGTTTTTATATATATAGATTAAAATGTAAATGAAAGTATTTATTTTCAATCCATTTTCATGTTGTAGCAGTAAATAACTACAACAGTTACACCAACTCATTGGTATGAACCAACATGGTCAAAAAACGTGTAACAGCACATAAAAACAGCAGGCTTGTAATAACATGGGTTCCTCTGTTATGACCTCCAAAGGGCCTCTGTGGCCTTTGTGTTGCCAATCAGAGATATCTATTGAAATATCAGATGCAAGAGAGCAGGGTTCAAGAGGTCTCATCCTGCAGGAATGAAGACCCTTAGCTTGAAATATTGTTGCCTGATAGTAAAAAAGGGAGTATGAGACATCAAGTATGTAGTCACCCTTCCAGAGAGCACACGTGCAAAACAGTGTCTGACCTCACCACACTGGAGGAATATTAATCTGGAGACAGTAAGCTTGGTGCCAAGAGAATGATGGTGTTGTCATTGCTGGTGGTGTATACCTCATCTTCTGTTTAGCTCATACAGACTAGAAATAGAGTCTGGAGTTTACCCTGTAGCCCCAGACAAAAATAATCATGAAATAATAAAAGCTACACAGCGACTGCAGCAAAAATCTTTAAGTTACCTTTAGTACTTTCTCCTTCATGTTTTTTTAGTGTTATGAACCTGGATGATCTGACACGGAGGGGGCTATACCTGAGCGACATCCCTCTGCATGACGCCACGCGTGACCTGGTGCTGCTGGGTGAACAGTTCCGTGAAGAGTACAAACTGACCCAAGAGCTGGAAATCCTGACGGATCGTCTGCAGCACACACTGCGGGCCCTTGAGGACGAGAAGAAGAAGACAGACAGGTTAGACTATTTGTGAGACTTTAGATACACAATTTGAAATCTTGGTTTAATTTAGGTATGAGAGTCAGAGTATATGAACCAGATAGAAATGCATTATATATTATCCCTTCAATGCCTTTTGTATCATATTTGATACATGCTTTTAAGATACTTCTATCAAATCAACATGATCAACAAATTACTAAAAGAACACCTGAATACAGTCTGATAAATGATTAAAAAAAAGTCCTCTTGTGGTTTATCAGTTTCCGGAAACATCTAATGTATCAAACGAGATAGAAAAATATATTTGTCAATTTTAAGGACATTTTAATTTTTTTGGTTTTCAGTAGTAAGTGAAACGAACACTTCAGCTCCAAAAAAAACTGAATTTTCTGGCCATAATGTGTGGTTTCAGGCATTAAAGGGCTAAGTTTACCAAAAAGGACCCTCTTTTACACTTTCATTAGACTGCTGCAACCTTACACACTAATTTGGATCACAAATGCTTTGCTTGTCTGTTATTATTCTTAATAGCTTAAGGTTGGGAGTCAAGTCACTTCAATAAAGGGTAAGGGTCATAGACATGGAGGTAAAGTAATACAAATAAGTATCAGTCACATACAGTAAAACCAAGGTCTGTGGGTGTAGATTGTAGACCTGGGCTAATATTAGCTATTTTTCAGCCCCTCTGTCAGGGAAGAAATATTAAAGGCTTGTCATAGTAATTTAGCACAGCTGGAGAGGAGCACAGAGGTGGAGTTTGGTCTTTTCTAAGAATGATGTAGTGGCGCTGTAATTTCACAAGAGAAGGTTCTCCTCCAGACAGTGGATCCATATATCATGATTCTTATTCTATGGCCTCCAAGTGCTCCAGGCACCAGACACTGATGAGACTTCATGTTTTTTTCTTAAGATATAAATAGAATTACCTCTGCACCATCTACTGCTCTTTCAGATCTTTTTATACTCAAAGAAAAACAACTCTGAATCGTTCCTGTATGTGACTAAATAAAGATATCATGGATTGATGTTTAATTGTCTCAGTTTGCAATTGTAGAGTTTTGTTTGGGGACAACTATCTGCTCTGTGTCTGCTATGTGTTCTTAAATTATGATGCATCATGGAAGGTATGTTTTTAACAGGCAACCATGATCTACCCAGTTACCATAGAAACACCACCCTCCCATCCGAGAGCAGCATGCATAGCCAAAAGGTAGTGGGTGAGCAAATAAAATGCTGATCCGAAGGGTGGACTCTCGTCTGGCAGCCACAGCCCTTTTCTCTGCTGTTCAAGCGCATCCACATTTGAGCTCAAAATGTACATTTCTCTCCTTCCTTCTAGATTGCTCTATTCTGTTCTGCCACCATCTGTTGCCAACGAGCTGCGTCACAAACGACCCGTCCCTGCTAAACGTTATGACAACGTGACTATCCTCTTCAGTGGCATTGTGGGATTTAACGCCTTTTGCAGCAAGCACGCCTCAGCCGAGGGAGCCATCAAGATAGTCAACCTGCTAAATGATGTTTACACACGTTTTGACATCCTCACAGACACTCGGAATAACCCTTATGTATACAAGGTAGGAAGCAAGAATTTTTGCTGTGATAGTATGCTGTAACCATGCAGCTGTGTAGTAAGGAAACTTGTGCAGCAAAATCAAAGTATGCACTAACACTCAAGTGTACACTGTCACACACATACATACAGAGAGTCTTAGACTAAGAATTTGGGTACATTTAACTCCTACCTCTTACATGGTTCTTAGGCTTAAATGCACCAGTGAAACGTATCTTCTCTCTTGATGAATAATGTTATGCAATCATGTATCATCAAGTCAGAAAGATAGAATTTATACCAAATAACTTGAGTTTTTCCTCCATAAAGAGCAGCGCTACTTTCTAAACACAGTGCAGTTTTATAGAGGGGCTGCAGCCCTTTATAGGCCTCGTGCAGCAGATTTACACTCCGAGCTTTCAGACAAGAATGCACTTTAAGAACTCAAACAGAGCTCTGAACTTACAGGGGATCAGCTTCAGGCACTGGGTCACCAAAAGAAGTAATATTTACTCTACAGGCCGTATGGGTAGGTGGTCCAGGGGTTATAGTCGGGCTCAAAGAGGCCCTGAATGTCTTAAAGCTGATGTAAGTGTTTGAGTGTTTATCTCAGGGTGTTTCAGTTTATTTCTAGCAGCAAAGGGCATTCATTTAGCACACTGGGAAAGGATTATTTTAAACCAAAGATTATTTTAAACCAAAAGTAAATCAAACAAGAAGAGCTAATGATATAATTCCTTGTTTTACTGTATACAGGTGGAAACAGTAGGTGATAAGTACATGACAGTGAGTGGCCTACCGGAACCGTGCACACATCACGCCAAGTCAATTTGCCACCTTGCTCTTGAAATGCTGGAGATTGCCGGACAAGTAAAAGTGGATGATGAACCAGTGCAGGTAAACATATTAAACTGCATGACAAAAGAAAAAAAAAATTAGTTTACTAAATAATTCATGTCGTCATCCTCTGCTGTCCGCACCAGAATTGCGAGTCTGCCGAGTTATCTGAGTAAATGATCCTTATTTTGTCATGATGCCTTATTTTGTTGTTCAGCATTGTTTGCTTGTACACTGTGATTCCACGTTAATGCATGTTAAATACATTTTGACTGTTTTCTGATCTTTAGACTAGTCTGTTTGTCAGAACTGAGATATCCATTTAAACTAATTGAGCCCCCCCTCCCTTGTAAAACTATAAAAACCATGCTGGGCAGTGGCCAAATTACTTCTACTTACACCAGATTTTAAAATTTTATATTAGCACCCTTGCACCTACTATGTGCAACGGAAAAAAAAGTATTTTTACATCGACAGATGGTCAGTGTGTTTACACAATTCATATATTTTTAAATACTGCTTATTTGCGCTGGGTCTCATATGACCCGCATTTTACCCTCAAAGTTTTATTTCTAATAAGTGATTTTGAAATAACTGTATCCATAGATCTTGGCATATTTCCACGCTGAAGTAACAGGCTGTGAAATGTTGGATAAAAAACAGCAGACGTTTGTTTAACTGACTGGTGGACATTGTTATTGTATCATAGACTGTTAAGATCTAACTTTGGAAAATGATGTCTGGTTAACAAAAGGCTGTTTATTTTCTGGACATGGCACTGGCTGAAGAGGAGCCCGTTTAAGCTGCAGAAACAGACTCAAGTCATCTCACGATCTTGTGTCTAAAAATAGATTCCCATTTATCCTAGACGTTCACATCGTGTTCATGCACTGAAGACAACAAGCGCTGAAGTGCCTACAAGATCCACTTAAAAATTCCCCTGCAGATAACCTGGAGCTACTTTAGTTATCCTGCTTTCATGCAAACTTAAAAATACAAACCTTATTTTGTGCTGAGAGTGTTTTCTGGCAAAGTTTATCCACCCACGAAATATTGCACCGCTTCAGTCGATAGCTTTACGAATTTGTGCCAACAGACTTAAAAGCTTTCATTTAAATAGCTGAACCTCGCTCTGTGGAGCACAAATCTTTCACCTTGTCTGTGATAAAGCATTTGCACTTTCCTCAAAGTAGTACTGCATTTTCAGCTAAGCGAAAAACAGCTTCTCCAAGTAATTAATTGTCTGCATCTGTTGGTACATAACTAATGACCTGTGGTGTGGATACAATAAATATTTAAGCTTGCCTTTGCCAGTATTTGACAGGAAAAAGCAATATCTTTGGCATGTTTATCAACTTTGGTTGAATTATAAATGGCATACTGTAGAATTACAGTAGATTGCATGAAGCAGGCCTTTATTCTCATTCTCCTCTGGTAGATAACCATTGGAATCCACACGGGAGAGGTCGTGACTGGAGTGATTGGCCAGAGGATGCCCAGATACTGCCTTTTTGGAAACACAGTCAACCTCACAAGTCGTACAGAAACTACTGGTGAAAAGGGAAAAATTAACGTCTCAGAATACACTTACAGGTAAGAGTAAATTCCACAGTGATTCTAGCTCTATCTGTGTTGCAAAACTGTTTGGGCTTTGCAACATATTAAAAAAGCAGTAAAAGTTTTATGGAAGCCATCATCATTAGTCCAAAAGTGATATCCTTTTTACACACATACACCCTTTTAATAAAAACCAAGAAATGTATAGTCTTGACCTGTCGATTTGATGTTGTTTGCTGACACAAAAGTGACATAGATTAATTCCCTCAGAAACCTACAGCAGTGCTGGTAATATATGACGGTGTATGCTTTTTATTGCAGGTGTTTGCAATCTGCTGAGAACGCTGATCCTCAGTTTCATTTGGAGTATCGCGGACCAATAACCATGAAAGGAAAGAAGGAACCAATGAAGGTGTGGTTTTTATCCAGGAAGCCCACTGACACGGAGTCTACTACACTGAAAGCATCATAAAATTCAAATCCAACACTAAAACATGATGAGTGTGTAGAGATAGAGCTTTAAGTGTTGTACTATTATAGCCTAAAAAATTGTTTAAGAACATTCAGTTTGAAGCAGGACGATCTATTCACAGACATGCAGATATTTCTGTTTGAGTACACACAGCTGTTTGGACAATTTGAGCCTGTGAAGTTCCTCTCTGTGTATAACAGCTTTGAAATGATCAATCATGACTCCTTTTTTTGTTGTTGAAGTATTCACTTAAGTGAATAGGTCCTTGATGGGTTGAGTTAAGTGATGTCTCAAATGGTACCTTCACTTTAGGTACGTTTTTGGATTGATTTTTCTCACGGTTGTTATTGTACATAAAATCACTAAAGGTTTTTATAGGCAGAGAAATTTACATCTATCTTTAATGTTTTTAGCTGCTACATTTGTCATATTTTTGCAGAAACCAGCCCTCAAAAAAAGTTTAATTTTTGGCCAGTTTCTGTCCAGATGAATAAAATCTTGATTCTAAATGCACTTATATGATAACTTGATGTAATGTTAGTGCAAATAGATTATTCTAGCAGTTTAAAGTTTCTTCTTTTCCCTTACTGGATATTAGAGTTATGAAGTTTTGCAATCATTATCTATTACTGCTATCAGGACTATTAACAAGAAAGAATAGATAAAGCTGTCGTATTTATGTAGATTTATAGATTTTTGTGCTCACTTAACTTTTAAATTCATTTAAATAGATTCTTAAAAATCACAAATTAAGATGATGAGTATTTAAAGTCTTATAAAAACTAGTACTGTATACTACTTTATCGAAGCTATTTATTACACCTTTTTTCTTATTTCACAATCAGTTTGTGTGGATTCTTTCAGTTCTTCTAAAATGTTAAGATATTCTTCATGATTGACATATTTATTGTTATTATTCAAAATCATATTTATTCCTTTTTAATCAGAAATTTTTTAAATCATAATGACCTTAAGAAAACAGGCTATATATTAACCAAATACATTAAAAATACACAAGGTTAAAGGTGGTTGAGACTACTGTTTGTGCCTCTACATGTTATGTATGTGATGTATTAATTTAACACAGAAAATGTACCACACTATTTTTTTCAGAGTTATAACTAAACCTCTCATACTGTCCTTTCCATGAATGCAGCTTCCTGTGTGATTTACAGGTTCTAGTGTATTTCTGGGCTTATCGGACATGATCACTTTATTTTGACACTGCTTCATTTGGGGGGCAATTAATAAAATTGTCTTGTGAAATGTTTGTGATTTTATTTTTCACGTTGCATTGCTCCTGTTTTGCAAAAAAATCTATAGTCTTTTTAAAGAAATTAAAAAGCCAATAAAAATGTCTACACCATCTTGGCTTTCACTGATGGTACATCACTAAAAGGCAAGTGTGCAAATCTAGAAGAAACAGATAGATGGCAACAGTAGATTTCTTTAGTGAAGAGCTCTCTCTAGTGGCTGGTCAAAATACAGTGTATTAAGAAAGAATACACAACCCTTCACTTTGCTCACATGGTGTCAAATTAGATAGCCTAACATTACATAAAACCCTAAACTACAGATTAACAAGGCAAATATACACGTGTAAGAAAAATTACTCTAATCACTCATATTTACATTAAAATAAATTCAAGAAAGAATACAATATTTGCAAAAAACAACTATGTTTTACAATAATGTAAAAATTTCAATTTATAACACAGGCTGTATGGACTCCTTCAGCGTTTTTTCAGGATTACAGAATAAAACGTGAGTGAGCCTCTACACCTCTGAAGAGAGGAGCACACCTATCCCAGGTAGATTGCTTTGCGCATGCGTGCAACTGCCAAGATGGGTTGCCAGATCTCATGACAGAAATCTCTCATAGAGGTTTAGGAACACCCGTCTGATCACTATCGTCGTGGAAGATCATCGGTAGAAATAACAGGGAATACAGTTGAATTACAAAATAAAATAAGGGAAATTTACGGAATTGCAGATCTGATCATCTAAACAAGAACACTCGTATTAAGAGCATTTGTTTTTAAAAACCCACTTTGCCACATTTGTTAGACTGAAATGTAAATTGTTTCAAATAAAGACCAAATAAGTTAATAAACATCTTCAGACACTTCCATCAACCCTTCATAGAATTGTAACTCACATTACATGTAATCATCAGGATAACAAGGGTTCAAGATGGGTAAATATGGTATGAGGTTTAGGCCTAACTTGCTTTTGCAGCTAGCAGCACATGTGCTACATGTTAGATCCTCACGTGTTTTTCTCTGAGCGAATCACTACTAAAAGGGCATCAAATTTCCGTTTTAGTATTTCATATTTTGAGACATTTTAGTGCGCATTTTCTAAAGCTGCTCAAACCAATCTCCGCTCGCGACACACGTTTCCCACTGAGGTAACTGAGTCGATGACTGGCCCTAAGTCGAACACAGTGCATTAAATGTTACTGGCTGCCAGTTTAAAGTAAACTATCTGCTAGCCTCATTTTGTGCGTTTTGTTTAGTGTCATTTGAACAGCAGAAAATACTGAATCCACTGTTGAAACGTCCAAATATGTAGACACAAGCTTGAAGTTATTCTTACCATCTGTGCCGGTGAGTAATTCGGTGAACTCGGCTGTTCCTCAAGCGTCCGCCATTTGCGGCGGAAGTGGGCCTACCTGGGAAAGAGGCGCGTAACTCCCGGGCCTACCTGGGAAAGAGGCGCGTAACTGGAAAGCTGATTAGCTTTCCTCTGAGCAACAAACATTTAAAGACGAAGTTTACCTGGTGGTCGTCAAGGAAAGTTGGTGATAAAACCCGTTATGAGAGAGTGAGAGAGAGAAAGAGATGGGTGGAAATTTAGAAGGTGGCTGTGAACAAACCTCCGAAATTGCTGACGATTATTTCTTGAGAAGGTAAGTAAGATATTTACTTACAAGTTTATCAAAAACATCAAGGGTTTGGCAAAATGTTCATAGCAGACATGTTGACATGGATTTTACGCATGTGTTATGGATAGCTCCATATGCTCACATGCACATTTACACACAAACGCAACAACCACTGCCGGTGTTTTGTTATAGAGTATAATGGCGAAGGGTACAAAACTCCTGACAAACCGTGCTTGTACTCCAGGCCCGTGATCAAAGTACACTGGCCCATAACGAGTAGGTCCTCGTGATCAGGGTGTCTGGGGCGCAAGTAGGCTATGACAGTAGTTGTTTTCCATAGGGTTGGTAAAGATGGAGCTCTGTGGCACAGTTCTTGAGCACCCATGCCAAGATGCCATCTGGTCCGGGAGCCTTGTGTGGCTAACACCAGCGCAGCAACCTTTTAAATAAAAGGAGCAAAGGTGTTTAGGTCTGTAGCCATGAATCACGATCTGTTATGGCAGGTAACTTAAGTTTGGGGTCATAACCAGTGAGCGCTCTTACTTTCTTAAAGACTGGTTTGGTGGTCTTGGCGCTGAACTGCTTTTCAAGTTTTCTTAACGAGTCTGGCCTTGTTGATGTCATTCTTTGTTAGACAGTTTATTATTTTAAGTGAAGTACAGATCTTCCTTTGAAGGTTCCCTGCCTTTGCCTGAAACTGGGCCTAATATGTTGAGTGATCCGGGGTGTTGAGTTGTCATGTAATTTGAAAGACTTTACAGGGATTGTCATAGCCAAAGAGACTCTATCATTGAAACTGTTGTCAAAATGTCCCCGTCTGTGCAGGCCAATGAGCCCTGCAGTTGCAAGCAGTTAGAGTCAGCATGTCCAGGTTTGGGGCACAAAGCTAGTTGTTAACTTTGAAGTCAGTACATCACCCTTGTTGATGCAAATGCAGACCCCTCCACTGCAGTTCTCACTCAACTTTTTGTTGCTGTTGTTGTTTTTTAAGGAAATGTATACATGCAGGTTTGAAAGTTGTGCATTTTTTCCCAGGAAGCTGCAAATGAAGATTAAAAACCAGACTGCTGGAGGTAGATGTTTTTTGTCAGAGACCACATGATTTGCACAGGTCGGTAAGATCAGATTACAGAGCATCATTGTTTTAAAGTAGAGAGTTATGCATTTAACCAACTTTACAGTTAAGTTCTTGAATCTTTATGCTTTAACTTAAGACACTTAAACAATAAAGTACTGGTTTAAAGCACTCTGCAAGACTCTACAGTAATCTTACACTGTATACTATATTCTATTGTAGAATATGACTGTGTTAAAGATAAACTTCTGCAGGCTCAATCAAGTACAATAGATCTCTAGTTAGACTGTCAACATCATGACAGCAGAGATAGTAGAAAAGGTCTTTTTACTGATAAGAGGCAGATTCAATGAAGGGTAAGAAAAGGTCAGGCAAAGGTCTCGTCTGCCACAAACTAAAATGTGAAGACACTCAGATAAGAAAGATAACTGACATATGCATTGTCTTATTCCTGTGAACCTCGGCAGAGAGATACTCCTCTATGTGCAATTCTGCTTTCATTAGGTGCTTCAAAAAACATCCTTTTCATGTTAAAAAAACCAGACTTGAATACAGCTTTCAGAATTTTCTAAGCAATAAAAAAAACCCAACAAAGCACATTTCCTCCTTCACTTGGACTTTGAGTTTAATCAGAGTGGTGACCATAAAAGACTTTAAAATTAGTTGATTGGAACTTGATAACTCAAGGAAGATAAAACAAAAAAACAGTAAATGATGACACCTGTGCTTGTACGATATTAAGTTCAAATATCAAAGGTCTACTTTATCAACAATAGCCAGATTAAGGTCAAAGGTATGATTGTAAATGCTATCAACGAGTATGGTCACAAGTGTACAGAGCAATTCCATCTCTCTAGTGCATCTAGAGTCTTAGCTGAGTGATAAGAGTGTTAGAAAATTACATCAGGTTTACAGTCAAGTGTGCAGAATCAGAGTATGTATTTACATATCCCCCTACAACCTTGTTTTGTCTCATCTTAACCTCAGGAGGAGACACTGTTTTTACAAACATGCCAGTGCATGTAGTTCAGTGTGAAAGCATATTAAATCTTGTGTCATGCAGTTACACTCTGAGTACTGTGGTTGTGTTTAGGCTGTTATATGACCAACACCCTCTGCAAACAGACTAAACATACAACAGGATGTCAACTACTCAAAAAGTATCATAAGTCATATTTCAATAGGGTATGGCACTATTCTTTGTAAAACCAAGGCATTGCTCAACCAGCTGCAGTGGTGGATATTACCTTGAGAAAACGTAAACTTTAAACAGCCACATCAGCGTTTAGATGGATGAAGAGATAAGAAGGGTGTGTGGTATAAAAGGGCTGGCAGCCTTGAGTAAGTCACTCCTTGCTGCAGAGTCATCCTGTTCAATCTCACCCTCACCGCCACCATGACCTTCAACGGCTCCTGGAAAATTGACCGCAATGATAACTATGAGAAGTTTATGGAGCAGATGGGTGAGTGATATCTAATTGCTGAATTTACTGATGAAGTCATGAACTTTCTTTTTTTTAGCAAGTGAATAGATTGTTAGGAAAAAACTAGAATGTTACCATGGTGAGTCTCTATGTTTATGATATGCATAATAAGATCACGACATGATAGGGCAGTTTGAAGTAATACACTACTGGTTAGCAAGTTACAGTAAATGAAGATAGTTGTTATGCAGTTTAATTGTTAGTTATACAGAAAACTGATACTCTAACCAATGTCTTATTTGATTTATTTAATTTGTTCAATCGTCATGTAAGTAAATGACTTACCAAATAGATAGCTTAACCAAATACTGGAGCGTGGGTCTTGTTTGAATTCATTTTGACACAGGATGGACCTACTAAACATGTTGTTTGGCTCATGTACTCGCTCCTCTTCTCCAAATAGACAAACAATGAAACAACCTGTGCATGAAAAGTGATTAATTTATGACACCCTTCCTTTGATTGTTCAGGGTCTGTTGAACATATTCATTGTGTCCGTTGATAGGAATTAACATGGTAAAGAGGAAGCTGGCTTCTCACGACAACCTCAAGATAATCCTTGAACAGACTGGAGACAAGTTTCATGTGAAGGAGAGCAGCAATTTCCGTACCCTGGAGCTAGACTTCACCCTCGGGGTCACCTTTGAGTACAGTCTTGCTGATGGAACAGAACTTTCAGTAAGTTTGAGCTGCATACAGTGCAGCACATTATCATAACAAAGTGCTTTTTTAAGCTTATTTAAAACAATTTTAATTCGAATTCTCCATGCAATCATGCGTTTTGTCCTCTCTGTTAAAACCTTCACCTCACTTTAGACTTCGAACCTTTTAGCTGCAAGTCCATTTGTTTACTAAGTACACAGGTCATGTGTCAGTGTCTAACTTTTATAGTTGTAACTTTTGTGCCAAGTTGATTTAAACTCTTGGCTCATAACAGTAGCAGCCATAAAACTATCCACAAGCACGGCCTACTCTTGCACTCCTCCGACACCTTTCCCATGAAGTTTTTCACGAGTAATTTTTATGTTTGTCCCTGCAGGGCGCATGGACCATGGAGGGAGACATGCTGAAGGGGATTTTCGTCAGAAAGGACAACGGAAAGCAACTGACAACAACCAGAATCGTCCAAGGAGATGAACTCATTCAGGTAGGTTTAATAATTATGCAAAGGAGGCACTCTTTGGGCACTTTTCTAAAGCAAGTAAAACAGCCTGATGTGTTTTGTTTATCTAAAATATAAGCTGTTATTCTGCCTGTACATCCAAGTTAAATGTGTGAAAACAGTCACAGCTGATGTTTATATATATGTTAATACACTTAAGATTATGACCTAAAACTTGGTTAGAAACCCAGTTTGTTTTACAGATGTAGTCTTGGATGATTTTTATGTGATGTCTTTTGCCAACAGAGCTACAACTATGAAGGTGTGGATGCAAAGAGGATTTTCAAGAGGGCTTAAGACTGAATCCATCAGCTGAAACCTCAAGTTGAGACGACAGACTCAGGAATACATACAGTATTGTTTTATCTATCAACAACTTACACCTGTATAACTTTAAAAAATGTGCACTAGTTGTAATGCCTGTACAGTTTCTGTAACCATTTTGAATTGGACAGGGTTTTGATAGCTGCGGTAATAAAGCCTTCACTTAACTACCTATTTTCTTTGTTTTTTTTTTCACCTCTGACATTTAAATTCATTAGATAGTTTTGATTGAAGCAGTGGAGGTCTGTGTGAATTAAAAAAAAAAAAACATACAAGTAAGTATTTTAAGAGTGATACAATAATTTAGACTTTATTCAACAATGAATAAAAATAAAATATATATATAATGTACAAAAATATAAAGTGTAGACAGATTTCATATTTTTCTTTAAATTCATCTGTACTTACACAAGTCATGAAGCATTCAATGAAGCACCAACAGCTCAATTCGACAGCAATGTCAGCCTGAATCCTAACCACACACAGAGGTGTATGACACCATGATACAATTCCTGCGCATCGGAGCCACATCAGCCAGTATTGGATAAAATCATTGACAGAAATGAAGAGAGATCTCTTTTGTTCTTGAGTGTTGATGTGAGACAGTGTAATTAGGTTCTGTCCCTGTTTAATTAGCTCAAAATAAAAGGTATGGATTGATGCAATGCCAACAGCAACTTATGTGACACAGGACAGAAGACCTTAAGTCAAACAAGCCATTCATGTACCATGACAGGTCATGAATGAAAGAAGAAAACTAATCATGAGTATGTTTTTTCCAGACTCACAGATACATAGGCATGCATGCACATTCAGTGATAATTAAGCTTAGCACTGAAAGATATATTTCGGTCATTATAAATTAAGGCTCTTTCACACTGAGAAGCTTTTTTTTGCAGGGTGCAATTGCCACTTTAATCATAGATATTCCCATCGACTGCTGCTGACACTTAAGTATGCCAACTTTCGCCAGTTACTGTTGCATACAGAATAAACTGAGTTTGCTGCTTATCATTGTGGTCCTAGCTTCCAAGTCTGAAAGTGCATTTAGGGATACCACTGGAAAACTGGACCTGGCACAAGTCCAAAGCCCTGAGCTCCATTTCCAGGCAACACACACAAACACCCACCTACACTCTCGCTCTCTCTCTCACACGCACACACACAAGCACGCATACAGTACAATGTTGGTCAGATATGTCACTTTTAGCATTGCATATTTAAAAGTTTTTCATGACATCCTGCAACCCTTTTCATTCATCACCCTCATTCCATACCGTGGTTTTGCAAACAAAAACAAGTCCCACTGAAAATGTCAAGGCACTCTTGATACAACTAAAGACACCAAAATTCAGAATTTTCAATACAGCTCAAGAGAAAATAACAAAGTCATTGTTTTACATGTGAAGAAAAGAAAGAATAACATGACAGATGCTGTGAGTAAATCCTAAAACAATTTGTCACTACAGAAACAAATTGAAGGAAGACAACACTGAACTACCCCAGACTGCTCCTGATCTAATCCATTAGTTTAGCAGTTTTTTGTTGTTTTTTGGGGGTTTTATAAATTTATATTATACCCTACAGTAAGAGTAAAATGAGTGATTTTAAATTACTACATCACAATCGACATGTGTAAAGGCATCTTAAAGTTACATAAGGAATTGAAATAACTCCTAAAATAATGATTTCATAGGACAGTCTCATTGTATGTCTTCATTTTCTTCAATTCAAACAGTGTCTATAAATAAACCATGACAAACAAGCAAGCAGATGCTTGATAGATCATTGTAGTGTGGGAACACACACAAGTTTTACACCGTCTTTTGGTGTCAGACAGCACAAGCACAACATAGAGAAAGAAAGCAGATAGTGATTAAATGTGTTCAGTAAGAATAGTTAAGAAATACCCAGGTAAAAGTTACTGTGAATAGAGCAAAGTGCTAAGTGGAAAATAATTAACAGGGTGTTTAGGAAAGACTTGGCAATCGAGTGAGCATGAGAGAAATCAGTATTTATCAGTATTTGAAAATGTAACAACACTGATTTATATATCATGTCTGGGAATGTTTGATTTACATAATACAAAGCCTTAAAAGTACCAAAATCTGCTGTAAAGCAATCTTAAGTTAATTTCAGGGAATAATGCATAGTATGTCTTGGACAGTTGGTTGCTTTTCCAGCAAATCATTTGCATCACACACACGCATACACACACTGGATGCATAATCGATGGATGCATAATTAAAAAGTATGTGCCCTTGCATGGGCAAGAGAAGAGAAAAGGTTCAAGTTTCCAAAACTATAGTCACAAATCACTATTTAATGAATTTAGTACAAATAAGTTATATCTGATAGAATTTATGTCCAGTATCATCATGCTCATGCTTATGCTGTACACGGAGCTAGTAAGACTTTGTAAAGGCCACATGCAGGTTTCAGAACATTAATCTTATGACCAAGAGTAATTGTTGTGTCGTATCAGATAGGCATATTAGTTATATTGGCATTGTTATGAAAATACCTGCAAAGAGAGACCTATTTAAAACTGTCTGTTTTATAAAGAAGACTGGTACAATTTGACATCACTGGGAGTTACAAAGAAAAAGAAGGGTTACAAGAACCAGCACAATAGAAGGTAGAGTACAGAAGGAGATATAGTAGTGCAGTACACAGTAGTGACTTTTTAAATGACCCGAGTGCTGCCCCAACCACACAACATCATAGTTATTAAAGAATCTGTGAATGACAAGAAACTGGACACAGACCAGCAGAATTAGATTTTGAGAACCATTGTTTCTCAAAGATTTATATATCTATTAATCGGACCAAATATGCCTGTCATCATCCAGGAAAATGAAATTAAGATAAAAAAGAGGAAGGATCTTTGTCACCATATTCTAACAACCAATGAGGTGGGCTGAAATGGGGCAGCCCTCAGTCATTCATTAACACACAGATGTTGTAAAAGAACTGATAAATGATAACAGCTGAAAGAAATCAGTAACTGAACATACACAAATGTTGCAATGTCTCTTTCCTGGTCAACTAAATCCCTCAACATGCATAAATAGATTTGGCTGTCCTGATATTAGTCCTTAGTTAGTATTAAATGAACGATCTTAAACCTGCTGCTTCCTTTTTTGTGTAAAATGACATCATATCCTTATAAAATATCATTAACATGTAATTTCATGTCAATATGTTCTGATTTTATTTCACACTTTCTTCATCTTCGTGCAGTAACTACATAACACACTTAATCAAAATGTGGCTCCCATAAACTGCCATGCCTTCCTCCCTGGTAATAGAAAAGGATACCTTCATTCCTTAAACACTTATTTAGAGGTACTTTATAAATACAAAAATAAACATTTTTAGATAAGATGACACAAAACAAAAGTTCCTTTGTGCAAACTGAAAACAGCAGTGATTTCAGTCTAAACAAAATCTGCTTTCAGCAATACTGCAGGATAATGGAAGACGGTTTACATGACAGCTGATAATCCTTGAAACAAAATGCAATAGCCTTTAGAAAATGTGTTTACTTATGTGACAAGCTTGCATGAACATATTCCACTCTACTTGGAGATGTTTGGCTTCAGGACATATTTCCATTCTGTAAACTCTTTGGCATCCAGTTGGTACTCTACTGACCGCTGCTCATCCATGTAAACAATCTTTACCAAATAACACTCATAAAAAACCACGTTCATCCAGTCCTTTGGCTGTCACTGGGTTCCATTTTGCAGTGGGTTTATTGCTATTATGGCCTGTAAAGAAAAAAAAAGTAGAAATGAAAATCTAGTTTAACTCAAGTTTTGCGGTTCACCCTGTTTACTATTGAAACAAAACAAAGAACACAACTTAACTCGCCCTCTTACATAATCTATTTTAGAAAGTGTCCCAGTGGAGTGGGCAAAAAATAAAACCCTATAACATTTTAGATGCTGTATTACACGGTGATGTTTATTTGTGTGGTAGATTAGGGGATAATCTTGAAAATTTATTTATGAATTTAAATGGATCAAAAATGAGCACACAGGACTGTACCTGACAAAGACGGTTAATTTAGATGTTTCAGTCATAAAAAAATGTATGATATGAGTAAGATTTATCATAGTCCATATGATTGATTTTCGTCATTGTCCTCAATGACCGAGACAACCAACCATATATGAAAGAGAAAACTGCTAGGTTATGAACAGTGAATCTAAGTCTCAGATGAAGTTGAGGTTTGTGAGAGAAGCTTACTTGTTTCTGGTCTTGCTTTTGGCACATCTTGTGAGTGTGTGTCAGTGGGGAGTGTGTGGCTGGTATCTCTACGTTCAGTCACAACCACTGTCCGTGGCACTGTGGCAGAGAGGACAAGAGGCCTCTGGTTGTGGTACTTGAGACGGTATGTTTCCGTCATACAGTTATCCACGTTGAAATATGTCGTCAGAGAAACCTCTTGACCTGGTACCGCCTGTTCAGCCCTGCAACTGGTTAGTCTTTCCTCACTTTCACATGACGACGGGGTGCTCCTCTCCGGGTCTGAGCCCGACTTGGAGCTTGCATCTGAAAGGGCTCTGAGGCCTGACATGTCAGGCTTCCTGTGAGGACTGACAAACGATGCAGATGAGAGACGAGGACTTGAGGGGAAGTTTTCTTGAAGCATCCTCGGACGAAACACTGCATGGCTTGTTTCACCCTGATGCGGAGGGATACGCTGAGTTGATCGGAGATGAGGTGACCCTGTTGTGCCCGGCTGACGCTGAGTGTTCAGTGGAAGAGGCTCTGGAGTCGCATTGCTCGGAGGGTGGTATGGTAGAGTCATGTGAGGACACTGGGATTCAGAGGCAATGGACTCGCTGTTGCTGGAGCGGTAAGAATTTTCTCTGTCCTCGGGCTCAGAGAGAGCAAGATCATCAGAGCTGTTCCATTCTGAGCTGCTGGTTTTTGTGATGTGCCTCAGGGCTGTACTTTCTCCAGTGTGCTGCTCACTCTGCCTGTTATCAGAGCAATTGGAGTCTCTCTCTAAAGACGCTACTTTTCTGGAGGTACTGGAAGTGTACTTTGATTTCCGTCTACAAGAGGAACGAGTGTTGCACAAAACAACAGAATAAATATAGCAGCATTCAATTTATTAGAACAAGTTAGAGAAATTTTATGATATGGGACGGTACCTTGAACTTGGACTGCACTTCTGATGAGAATGTGAAACTTGGTCATGGTTCTTTCCCTGAGGTTTGTGTTGATGTTTACCTACAGAATATAACACAGGTACAGGTAAAACAATGAACATACAGTATATTGAAAAAGTACAAAGCAGTTCAGCAGTGGTGTTTACATCAGATCTTCTCCATTGATACAAGGAGCTTTGTCACTCTGTAATTAGTGCTCAAGGTAGCCTGATGTATTTATATCTTTTGACCTTTTCTCCTTGGCTGAGTTACTTTAGGTAGAGCATGTTTAAAAGTGCCAAACTACTTATGTACTGTGCACTGTAGGAAAATTAGAGTCCAGCAAATTAGGAGTTGGAACAAACAACAATTACAGGTAACAAGATCAGAGCCAAAAAAATGATTAAGAATTAAGATTTTTTTTATGGTTGTTGTTTTTTGCCTTTTATTTTTTTAAAATTTTATTACTTTTTTCCCCCCTCTCTCTTTAATTTTCTAAAATTTTGTTTTACTGATTTATTCATTTACATGTGTACATATGTATCAAAAAACAAACAAAAAAAAAAGTGATTGTTTACTAAGACCACTTCTAAAATGAATTTTTCTAATGGCTGTTGAATTATTATTGTAAAAGTGGATGTGAGGAAATAAAAAAAAAGTAGGATTTTTTCCTCAGAGTCTTAAGTATATCAGAATCCTGAGGATAATGGAAAGTTTTAACCTTTATTTGACCGGGTAAGAAAACCCATTGAGATCGAAATCTCTTTTACAAGGGTGACCTGGCCAAGAAGTCAGCAGCACACGTCACAATAATAATATTAATAATAATAACAATAATAATAATAAATAAATTCAAGGACAAAATAAGTCAACAGAAACAGGACTTCTGAAAGTGCATAGGAAAGACAGATAGATAGTTTGCAGATTTTAGACTAAATTCTCGATGTAGAGTTTCTGTCTCTTTCTCTACTTCCCCTAATCGTCTCCTTTTTCATGAATCAGGAATTTCTCAAATGTACTGCACAGCAAAACTGGACAACAGTACAGACCAAACAGACAAGGTCATCTACAGATCTGACTGTGAAACTGCTGTCTCATCAGGACACAAGGTGGCAGTAGTAGATCATTAAATCCCACAGGACCCTCACACAGCTGGATAAACTAGTCAGCACCAATGCAGCATGGTGCTTGAATTCCTTCACTTTAAAAATAGATGTCACTATTTTTTTTCCCCTGCTGTTGCCCTGGAGAGGTCCATGCAAGGATAAAAGCTGTAGCCGCTGGTTGGAAACGGTGTCTCAAGATGCACACAAGAGTCAAATTCTGCGCACTCAAAGTACTGCATGAAAAGGGAAGATATTTATGACAATGCCAGCGGCAGTGTCCAGCTGTGCTGTCTGAATGAGCTTTGTGGGATTATCATCAGATTAATGCCTGGGCTTGGCTGACTGGGTGAAGAGGTTAAAGAAACCAATCTAAGCTTATATACAAACTCAGGCACAAATCAGCGGTCAATTATTCTCATTTTGCGAGAATACAAGGCTATTAATTCATCTGTAATACTTAAAAAAAAAGAGAAAGATTAAAAAAAAGTTCCTTGCAAAGTCGCATGTGGCTTAAATCCTAAAGTAAAAGTGATCTTTCTCGTTCTAAGATCATGTTGTGTTATGTTTGCATAACTCACTGAAAATGGTCAAAGACCCCAGTGTGTACGGTATATGTTGTGGTTACAAATCCTTTGGACTGCGAGACTTAATTCTTACATTTCCGTGCAAATCTATTCCTGGAAGTATTTGCAGATTAAATAAGAGTTGTAACCGACCCTGGGTAAAGACATGTTCTTTGATGCTCTTCATCAAGTTGTCACTTTGATGTCCTGCTATTTTTGGTTGGTTGACTCATTCTTTCTTTTTCTTATCTTTTTTTAAACCTTGGCTTTATGTTGTGTGAAGTGGATGCAAAACTGCGTCATTAGCGTCAGACTATTACGTAAGCCAGACTGTACATTTACCGAGCCTATTACAGTAAAACTACTCAAAAGTAACACACTGGTGACAGTAATATCAGCAAATAGGTAAAAGATGTCTTACATAAACTTCACTTATCACAAGCAAACTTATTATTGTTTTAGAAGCGTGAAAGAGGTTTTTAAACTTAGGAACTTACCATTGTGTGACGGTGAGGACATTGCACTTGATTTGGCATCGCCTCCTTTTTGTTGCAGCTGACTAAGAAATAAAACATTGAGATTAAAGTGTATGTTTTCAATCAGTTATGTTTTTGGGAAGTCAAGTTTTACACAAACTTGAATAGTCTTGTGATGCAATAGTCACATAAAAGATTCAGAGCGCTCACTTAACAATCTGAGAAACAAGGAAATCTCACATTCATGCTTTTATTTGGACCAACAGGATTCAGATATTGATTTCTTTTCATTTATAGAATAATCATGATGATCCTAAAAGTGTAATGACCCATGTAGTTTTGAGCATTTTTTATTTATTTGGCGATACTAAGACTTATGAGTTTTGATCCGTTTTTAGGACTTTCACTAAAGTTTGTAGTCAAATTTCACTTTTAAATGGTTAAATTCAGCAAGAATGTAAAATACAATGTACTTTTAGCCACCTCAAGTATATTTGTCGAGAAATTCAAAAGGAAATACTTTGGAGTGAGGGTACATACTGTATGAGTGATGTAATAATAATTTGGTGGGGTGTTTTCTAGCACTCTAAAAAAGAATCATAATAGAGGCAAAAGTGCTGAATTTTAAAGTTTTTCATTCTAACTGGTCACTGGATGGCGAGTTCACGTGTACTTTACCCTTGTTAACTTTGAGTTCAGTAGATTGCAAACACCGGCCGTATTAACTGAGAAGGATGTAATGCCAAATCATAGCTCAACTTAGTAACCCAAGCTAGTGCCATATTTTTTATGGAACTTAACTCCCTTTGCCAGTGTTTGAAAACCCTCAACAAAAATAGATTAATAGCAGTCTGCACTAAAGCTCTGGAGCTGAAAATAGAAAAACTGCAGTTCACACGCAACTCACTTTGGTCAATAACCACCCGAAACAAACTTGGTATAAACAGGCAAATAACTTCATTTCTTTAAAAGACCACTTGTGTCTTGTTAAATTACACAAAATCCAAGCCTAATATCAGCGGAGTTTGCAGGAACATAATTAATAACAAATTTCCATTGGGATGGAATTAAGTTTGTTAGAAAGATACAGTATTCTGTCCAAAAAAACAGCTTTATCTAGTCAGAATAATGGCAATGGTTATGGGTTTCCAGAGGTTTTCAAGTAAAAAAGAAAACTGATATATAGTGGTCAGTACTTTTTAGGTACACAATTGTAATAGGATTTTGCAATATGGTTATCTAAACGTTTAAGTTGAATATTAATATAAGTAAACAGTTATGTGACCATGTATATGAGCTTCCCTCCGATGTTAATAATAGTAAAAACTAAAACCGCAGGTCCTGCTGTGAAATGTTGACTTTAGCCACTAAAGACGTGTCTTGAGTCTTTTATTTTTAACACACCTACTTTTTGGACAGAAAAGGTACATGAAAAAAATTTCTGATAATGTCAATTAAACACAAATCCATTGTTTCTTACCCCTGCAAATGTGCCTCTGGAGTTGCTCTCTGGTCTTTTACAACAAAGCAATCAACGCCAGGTGAGTCTGGGTTGGTGGAGCCACTGCTGAGTCTGTCGCTACTCTCATAGCCAGACTCTGTCCTTTGGATGGTCCAAGTATCACTACGCAGTAAGGTCTTCGGCCCACCCTTAAGTCTACTACTCCTTTGTTGGTTGGCCCTACTCTCTGACTCTACCGAGCTGTGGCTCTCGGTTTCATGCCGCTGCTCATCCTCATAAATTGTCATCAAACACTTCTGCTTCCGATCGTCTCTGGTTCTTACAAATTCCCGCTCACGGTCTCGACTCTGTTCACTGTGCACTCTTTCCTGGGACGATGGTTTACTGTGCCGTGGACTGTCATGTTGTTGTTGTCGGCGCTGCTCTAGTTCATTCAATACAGTGTCTACATTCAACACCTCCCGAATGGGTCTCCAAGTGGACTTAGATTTATTGAGATTTCCTTCACTTCCTCCTTTTTCCCAATGTTCCTGACAGCTGTCCTGATCATAGCGACTCGGGGATGTGTTGTTCTTCCGGCTTTGTGTACCTATGGAGTTGCCACGTGGCTCCTGAGATCCTTTGCTTGAGTGGTTTGATGACTTCTCAATGCGTGGATGAGTTTTGGATTTTTGGTCCAATGGTGGTCTTGGTCCATTTTCTGGAGGAGATGATGATCTTGCGTGTGCCATCTCTAAAGAGAGAGAGAGTGAGGGATTATTTCAAACATGCTCTGACCTAGGAAAGTTTTCACAACTGATTTGAACCTGTTTTCATTGTTTTTCTACGTTATTATCAGAGTTTCTCTGTAACACAAGATGGAGAAGCAACTCTTTACCTTTGTGTTGTGAAGAATCCATCCTTCGATGTCTATCCTTTTTTGAGGTTTCACATGGTCTTTTTAAATTTTCTGTTGAAGGCTCCTGGAACTTTTTAGGACTGCTATGGGGATGTTTCACTGAGACAGAATAAAAAAAAAAAATAGCATATTTGAAGTTGCTGAATAATTTTGTCATTTACACTTAAATGTTAAGATCTTAGAGGCTTTTAAATAATTTATCTCAATTCATCAGTGAATTAAACAGTAAATTAAAGGCACTAAGCGCTAAGCTCCTTTTAGTTCATAAATCATCATGGAGCATGGAAGCAGGAGTAGATCAGTCTGAAGCTTGGAAACTGAAGGGTTGCTAGACCAATTCCTAGGGCAGACCAAAGTATGAAAGTTGGGACTGGTTGCATGATGGGTGCTATTTTACTTCCTTAATACTGCTGAGGTTCCCTTGAACAATGCACTTAGCCCCCAACTGTGTGGTGGCACTCTCTCCATTGGTGCATGTGTAATTTGTGTGTAGCTATTCAGTAGCAAGAGTGAATAATTGAATTTCCCCTCAGGGATGAGTAAACGTTCTCCTTTTCTCTTCTCTTTAAGATATTACAGTTTTGCGGGACTGCTACCATCAAGAAGTTTTAACACCAGTTAAACAATTTTCAACACATCAAGTGTATCTCATCTGTGTGAACCAATACGACAGAAATACATTCGGTGTAAATGTCACTCTATTTAGCTTGAAGTGACAGGGTCAGCTCTCCAACCTTGGCTGTGCTCGCTCCCAAATTAGCCAGCTGATGTAAAAAAACAAACACTGACTTCACCTTTTACCTTTTGTTACTAGTTGTACCCAGAACTTTATTTAGACCCTTGTCTTTGCAGTGGACTTGACGTATCCAAAAGTCCATACTCTCTGAGGAGATCCCCTAGCCCAATAAAGACCAATCTGCCAGGTATGCCAGATTCCTCCTTTGTTATTTATCGTAAATCACAGTCCACTTGAAAAGCTGCTAAATCTTGGACTCTGTTTGCATCTAAGCTGCAAACAGGGAAAGGAAAAAACACTTAATTTAAGTCAGGCTCATTAGATCATTGGCTTTAAATACACCACTGCTGCTTCTCCACTCAACCCTGCTGTGTAGTTCTTCATCCTGCAGCAAGGTCACTCTGTCAAACAAGGCCGTAAAGATCTGCCACCAAGATCAACACGTTCACCATCAAGTCTCACTATCTTAAACAATTCCTCAAGTCCTCCAGTCCTCATGTCAAACTTCAATTAAAAATGAGCCCTTTCATCACAAAGAGAGTGTACTTAAAGAAGACCAACAATTACTCATGAAGTACCATTTTACTAAATAACCACTGTACCGACACGTCAATAACTTCATGCTTTCCGTCTCATGTTTTCCACAAGCGTCAGGAAAAACAAATACACACTTTGTCATGTTAGCGTAAGTGATGCTTTGACGCTCGAGTCCTTTGTTCGAGTGCAACAGTGTGGGCCAGTTACTGTCATTGGTTGTAGTTGTAAGAGTGGATAAACAAAGATAGAAGTCCTTTCACTAAGTATAGCAGAGCATGTTCCAATACAAAACTTAACCTACAAAGCTTCATATTTAACAAACAGAGTAACAAGACAGAAAACATACAACAAATATCATAATTTAAAGTCTTGGCCCTGTCTTACTCATCGTAAACACACTCACAAACAAACAATTACTTACACATATTTTGATATGAACAAGAATCCAGTCCCATGCCAGTGAAAGAGCCTGGGTGAAGCACTAAAGGAAAACAGTCCATCTAAACAGGCACCAGCACCATTGCCAAAACACCAAGCAGATAAATTAATGGACTCTTACATTGCAAACGTCTAGGGGAGGAGTGAGGACTGTGGAGCAGGAGCATGAGTGCGCTTGGCCACAGGAGTAGGGATTAGGGAGGGAGGCGTGGGTGGTAATCTGCGTGCAACAGAGGCATCATCCTCATGTCAAGTTCAAGCCAGCACACAGGCCGGGACAATCTTTCTGCTTACGGTTTAACAGCACTCTCTAAATCCCAATTCAGACCAAAACTGTAATTTGCAGAGCGAATTTGTTTGTTGTTATAGGTGCTGATGGGGTTTTATGATGCTGGTTATAATCAAATGAAAAATGCCCAAGAGCAAAAACAGATTTGTATTCATGAAAACAAAAGTTGATGAAATTAATATTCTGATCCTTATTAAGACCGTAATATTCATTAATATTAAACACTTCACTTTGCAGTTTCATTTCACTGCAAGCTACCTCTGCCATTACAGCAGATTCTCTCAGTATGTTTAATGTTGTTTTGCAGCTTCTTGCCTCTAGTATCAGACTAACCTTAGCCTGAACTTTTGAAACCATGTAAAACTGACATAACTGTTGGATAGGAAAAAATTCAGGCATATTACATATCACTGACACTTTATTTATCCCAAACTCTACATGTTTAGTACGCTGTAATAATGAACTGTAAATGAAAACATTAAATAAAAGTTTATTAAACGTTTATCATCAGTCATGGAGCTGTATTAGTCCACCATATGGTTAAACACACAAGTAAAAGTTTTATAAAACCTTGGTATCTTAATAAAATAAAGTATATACTGGGGTTGCAAAGATGCCTGACTTCACACACCTTGCATGTCTGTCAGAAATAAGCTGAAGCATTGTCTTACCTGTCGTGTCACCATTGACTTGAGCTTTGTACCGAGGACACATCGAGGTTTGTCTCGGCGCATCTTCATTTGAAACTGGAGAACCTTCAGGATTGGTGTAAAACAAAAGAAGGGGCTGGAAATGTCCCCTGATACATTTAGATGCGACATCTTTCCATTTGGATCCAATCTGATCAGAAAGAGAACATCATATAGGAATAGATATTGCACAGTATCAGGAAATAGACATTTGAACTGTGATAAAGCAGTCTGATAGCTTGAGTTCCTGACCTCTTTGACTGTAGCGTCATCGAAAAACATCCATTTTGAAGATTTGGTGTGATAGGCAAAGGCTGAGTAATGTTTACTGGAAAAACAGATCATCCCCACCAGATGTAGCTCACTGCGTTTGGCGTTATCATCGGTGACACGGTTAAAGAGCTGGAAAAAAGGCAAATTGAGACAGGTTTGTTGTCTCCATAAGGTACACAATGTGATGTGTCACAGAAATCATTTAAAGACTCAGGTTATTTTCAGACCAACTGTTGGGCAACCCAATTGGAAATCCTCTCCTTAGCCGAGTATTTGGACATGATTGGTAATCTCTAATTTGAATTAAGTCAATGTGACTCAATTTTCGATTCATTTCCTCAAGACCTGTTAATGCCATTGAATGCACTGAGTTACTCTTCAATTTTCCATTAATATTTTAAGTCCATAAAAATAAATTATTTTACTAATACTTTAAATATGACAAAAAACCTGCTATGTTATTGTCATCAAGTTCATCATGGATGGTGCATATCAAAATTACTTTTGCCAGAAATAGCCTAAACCAAGGCTTGTTAAAGAAGTTAATCTCCGCAATGACGATAACTTTTTTAAACACCAAACTCAATGTAAAAGATGTCATTTACAGTTAGCACATCGCAGACATGGGCAGCAATAGCACAGAGCATATCAGCATATTCTGTGTGGATGCCTTTAGGCAGAGCTTGTACAGAATAGCAGCCCCCTACAAAGATTTGTTTGATATGTCTGTAATATTCTTTATTTAGTGGTAATTTTGGTACATGATGCACACAACACATTCATTGAAGTTTGAGACACACAGCCTCTTGTCTGTTTGCAGCAGAAAAAGAGAGAAAACCACTGGCTCACTGGGGTTAATCTGGTTAAAATGGCTGCATGCTCTCTGGATCATACATTGCATAATAATTTTCATTAATCTAATGAACAGCTTGAAAGGAAGATTTTCAGTTTTTGGAACGAGAGCCCAAAATTTCATTTAGCATGCCAACATAGTCATTGTAAAAGTACTTCAAGGCTTCAGGTCATAGGCTGCAAAATATTCAAAAACTCTTTTTGATGAAGTTTCATGTTTTTTTGTTTTTTTTTGTCACCTTTACCCCAAGAAAGACCATTATGTCTTCAAAATAATCCTCAAGGGCCACTGTTAATAAACAATGCTGCTTTGAAACCTTGTTGCTTCCGAGGCAGGGGTAGAAAGTTAAAAAGAAAAAAAAAATACAGAGAGAATTGTCCATCCGCATTTTGATTTTGGTGATTAAAGCTGAAGGCTTATCCGCATTAACTCAAATATTTTTTTCAGAATCAGAATTCTTTTATTGTCATCGTTGCGCCCTTTGGTACAATGACAATAAAAGAATTCTGATTCTGAAAAATCTTTCACTATTTAAAGATTTTCATCCTTAGTCTTCGCTCTTACCCCGCACAGGTTCAAACGTGGACCGAGCGACCGGATGACGTCATCCGTAAGATCAGACTGCTCAGCGTCCCATACAAATCCAATAGTGACGATCTCTGGACAGTTCATGAGCACACGGCGGATCTTGATACTCTGACCACAGTTGCTCTGTAAAGTATGACCAAAAATTGATGAAGGTCGATAAAAAAACCAACGTGTTAAAAACAAACAACCCTTCTAGTGGTGGGAGATGAAGTTGTGTTTTTAAAGGAGATACTGACGACTTCAGTGTCATATCTTCATGTTTTCGAACAGAAGAAACAACTAAACCTCGCCAAACTTAAGCTTAGTATTGAGACCAAAAACAAGGGTAAACAGTCTGACTCAGATTTCAGACTTCCAGTTTCATCTACAATACAACTTAGTGTAACAAAACATTGAGTAAGTGCTGGATTGAGCGAACACTGGGGCTTTCTTTTTTGAAGTTCTTATGGCCCACTTTTCACATCTTTCCTTGATCACATGATGTTTCCTATAAATATTAAGATAATGTGGGCACTGGACTGTCCTCAAAACTGAACACACTGAGATCTTTATTGACTTTACACAGTGTACAGATCTTCAATGCCACTGTATCCTTCACAAATATTTGACAAAATGTCCCCAAACGTCTGAGTGATAGGTTGTGGTTTTATCCCTTCAATCTTGTGTAAATTATTTAAAAGTCAATTAAAATTCATAAGACGCAGCATGTGTAATATGCTGTAACAAGAACAAGCTCAAAGGAGTCATTACAGGCACGTCACTATCATTAAGTCTGTTCTCCAGCTCACAGCTTGAGGGTGAATAATGGGTTAAGGGGAGCTTAACAGAACTGCAGCACACTTAAGAGAAAGATAACATTAGAAAACACAGATGAGAGAAAATCAGTGATTTGGCTTTACTGCTATTTCAATCCTAACAGTAGTCTGGCACTGTCTCCTGCTGGCTGCTTCAAGTGCAGTGTCACAGCTCAAGTACAGAGTGTACTCTTCATGGCTGTTTGGAGCATTTTGAGTCCGATTTTCAGAAGCATTTGGACTATTTAGCTTAAGTTTTTCTATCGAACTTAAACCAATCAACATTTGCTAGAAACTGGATGGACGTTTTGTCAACAAAAGCTCATCTGGGGAAAGGTACCAAGGCACTAATTTTTAAATGTGTTTGATTTAGGTCACATTAAAAACAACAAGAAAATAAATCACATACCGGGCAGCTGCGGAGGTCACCTGTGTTGTTTGCTGCCTGCAGCAATTCTCCAAACATGTCTGACCTGAGCCGCTCGCTCTTCCCCATCATTCGATCAACCTGTTGGCTGTGCAGAAACAAAACAGAGACAGGGTCTCAGTCATGAAATGTTTGAGTAGATTTGAAAAAAAAAGTTTGAAAACAGCGAAATTCAGATTAGAGTGCAGGCACATGTTTATTTTGATGAATGCCAATCAATCGACAATTGACAGCATGCTCCTGCAAGTCAGCTATCAGCATAAACCCTCACCCATGAAAAGACGATAAGCACCATATAACACCCACTGTGTGGATAACAGACAGGGTAATATCTTTTCACTCAGCATTCATTTGATTTTCTTTTTTGGTGATTTTTAACATTTTAAAAATTTTGTTATCAACACGGCTTCAGGGCCGTTTATTTTTACTTGTATCAGTTTGTAACAATTCACAAAATAGATCTGAAAAAGTTGTTTCACAACAGCTATTAAATTATCTATCTACGGAAACTGTGAGGAACTGTAATTTTGTGATTCTTTTTAGTGCTTCAAGTGGAAAAAGCAGTACTTATCAGGGCTTGACACTAACTTTTTTTCACAAGAAGTACATGTGCTTTTAAGTTGAAAAAGTAAGGAGCCCACAAAGAACTTTAGGGCACAATGAAAATTGATCAAATAATGTTTGTCTTATTGTCTGACCTTAGTATTATTATTTGAAATCAAATTTAGGTCAACATCAACCGGTAATTTATTGATGGTCCCTTATTCAACACCCGACGTTGACAGCGAGGATGTCGGGTAGATTTAACCGCGCTGCTGTTGCTATCTCCGGTTATGGAGAGTGAAAAGACTGTGAATATCCAACCTAAAACTAACTTCACTGCTGTATTTACATGAAAAAACATTTGTTGCCTTGGTTAATTTTTTTATGCGCACATGTGCCCCTAAATACATTTTACAATTCGCACACATCGATTTTTAGTCGCAAATGCGAGTGAAATGGTCGCGCTGTCAAGCCCTGCTTATCTTTTCGCTCCTCCTATCCTTTGCAGTATTTTGTATTTTCTAAAATCTCATCCTCCTCGATTTTCATAGTAAAAGTGAACCTCTCTATAAACTGGAAATGTGAGTCTATTGTCTCAACAGACAATCAGATAAAAATAGCTATAAAGAAGAAGTCAATCAACTTTCTGGTAGACTTGTTTGCATTCAAAAGCCACAGCCAATCGAGAACTCACAGTACATATAATTTGTTTGTAGCAGCTGCAGATTAAATATAGAATTGGTTACTAAATTAAAAGTGGAGTTCATGTTTACACTTCAGCTTTGACACCACTACACAAAGACATGTTATCCAGTTATTTTGCCATGACAAAGGGAAACAACCAGACAGCTGGTGAGCTGAGCATACATGGAGCACTTGTTTTAAACTCTAGAGAAAGCTGAACAGTTATTTGAGCTTCTTTGGAGGACTTCATGAATGACGCACAGTTACAAATGTAATGAGTATTTGGTTCTCATCAGTAACAGCAACAGTCACCTAAATCTGTTGAAACCCAAGCTCCCATGGCTTCTGAAATTGATCTAGGATGCTTAAAATTGCAACCAAATAGTTATCTAGCAACCTTAGTTAATGCTTTGACATTTAAATCAGGATTAGCACTCTGGCCTCATTTTTGTTTCCCAAATTTTTAAGCCGTAGCAGCAAATCACAGACTTACCATAAAGCAGTGGTTGAGACATAATGTACCAGTTCTGTGAATGGATGCGGGTCTGAGGATGCACCACAGCAGCGACATACAAACTGCAAAAAGGACATTTCATCAGAGATAGTACAAGTTTTGTTTTCATTTTGGTAAACGGCTAATGAAGAATTTAGTGACAGCAGCTGTTTATTGTCACTCTACCAAAAGTTCTCTCTATAAGAAAACCCATCCTTTCAATTGTGTTTAAAAAACCTTATTACCTGCTCATAAAGCATCATTGCAAACTTCTGATGGGTGATGCAGGATTTGGATGAGCAAGCGTCTGTTGAAGCGTCTGAAACGATGTGTAAATGAATTCGCTCCAGGATGTTCTCCTGATGTAAACCATAAATAAGAGCAGAATCAGTGCCAATAACAAATACAAGCTAACACACATATGCCACATAGTACTATTACACACTTAGCTACACAATAATGTGGGGATTCAGTCTGTCAATGCCTTCAAAGTAATGCTTTAAACTTTTGAAAATATCATTTAATATGTAAAATGTTAACCATTATATAGGAATATAAGATGATCTCTGCACAACACAAAGATAAGGCAAACAAAGCTCATCCAAAAGACAGAAATGATCAATCATATTTTATATGCATCCTTAGAGTTAGAAAAGCAACAAACCGGTGGGCCTGTATAACTTAAATTCAGAATTAAAATCTAAAATAAAGCCAAGTCATTTGTCAGTAGGCCCCACTTTTTAACCTTCAAATCACCGAAAAGAAAACACTCTAACATTATCTAGTATACTCTGATAAAGGTCCTAAAAATATGTCACTGTGATTAAAAGCCAAAAGTAGTGTATCAACATACAAAGCATTCAGCAGCATCATCCATCAGGCCGAGCTGGAAGCGTTGTTCATCTTTGAATGTTTCAGCTAAAGCGTTTCGCAGGCTGTCAGACGGAAGAACTCGCTCTCTACTCTGCTGAAACTGGCTGAAGATACTCTGGGGAAGATAGTGAAATTATTGGTTTAGACCCAGAAAGCAACCAGCATTTTCAAATCTATCAAATATACACAAGTAGATCAAAGTAAAATTTACTATAACACTGCTATTGCCAAGTTTAGCTCAAAGTGTAGAACAATGCAAACCTTTAAAGCACAGAAAATGCAGGCGTCACCAAGACAGAAGTGACCTGAGAGCTGCCTCAAACTCCTCCGGAAAATGTCCAGCTGCCAAAGCACCTGTGAGGGTTCAACAACAACACCACACATCATATGATGGATACAGAGTTAAAGCAGTGTCTTTCTTCTGATAATTTCTGAAGCTCCAATTATCTGAGACAATGTCCAAAAGGACTAACATGAGAAAAACTGATGTAACATTCAGGACTTTTTAGCACATGGCCAAAAAGATTTAAAAATTCTACCAAATCGCTGCTTCTTCTAACCATTTATGAGAGGATATTGTTTACTTTAACATTTCATTGGTGGCAAAACGCTTTAAACCCATGCAGCGAGTTTGTACCTGGATGTTCACTTTCTCTCAAACAAACATTTTTGTTTTAGAGAGGTGCATGGAAACGAAAGATTTGTTGTTTGTCTGAGCGTCTTTCAGTTCAACAGGGTGAAGTTTTCATTTGTTGTTATAGCTGAAAGAAAACAGTTCTCACCTGAACAGCGCTGTTCAAGAAGCAGCTATTTTGGCCGGGCTCATTCAGCAGGCCTTTGGTGAGCGCGAGAGACAACATACTCCCAGGCTGGTAGGATTTTTTCAGGCCTCCTCCAGGTTTTTTGAACATCTTCACCCATGCCATGGAGTTAGAGCCTGCAACTGATGACAGAAGATCAATCTAAATTTGAGGCATGTCTTTTGTGTGGTGGTTTACAAAGAAGATGCTCGCCTGTGTTTCTTACACACTCTGTAACCAGGAATTTCAAAAACTTGTAATGCAAGTCTTTCTGTCTGCATGTTCATCATTTGATAATAATTTCATGACTACTTTAGAAGATTCATAATTTAAATTAGTAAGTGCAAAAAAAATCGTCATGGCATATAATCCGAAAATTAAAATATGTTTCTTACTTGACGACCAGAGAATTTGCTAAACAAGACAGAAGTACCTCCTTTTATTTTCTATATTAATAATTACTTTAGTTATTTATTTATTAAATATTTATTCATTTTTTTATTATTGATTTTTTTTACTTTGGTTATGTATTTATTTATATGAATTATTTCATTTTACTTTATTTGTTACTATTATTTTATTATTTTGCCTGGAGTTTCATTGCATAGTAAGAAATTTATAACCAAAAAAACAAACAAAAAGAAAAAACTCAATTTGGTCATCACAGAACAAGGATGTGTAAATGTGCTTAATTACATTTTAAATTTTCAACACAACTAATGTAGTCAGTTATCTCTCTAAAGCCAAGCTCTATTTTCCAGTTTAAATCCACACATACTGAGATAGGAGTAAACGTTTTCATTTGAAGTTCAATAATTTGATCATGTGATAACTGCTGAATGGCTCTGAGACATTATAAACAAGCCTGCATATAACTTCAGCTTATCTTGTGCAGCGTTCATTACATCTCTGATGAATAAGTGTTTTGTTTGGATGCTGAATCATGTTTTTTACCTTCTCCAGAGTTGGGGGGAGACTTGCTTCGGCCGGACATGCTGGGTGGCGGGAGATGGTGTGTTGGTCTGGCCATGGGATCCATCCATTTCATCCCCACGCTCCGCCGGAGCAGTTGGTGGAAAGCATGGTCAGGATCAGCCACAGGGCAGCTTCAGCAGTGTGCTACTGGACATTGAATGGCAACTGGACAAAATCTGTGGACAGAGAGTCAAGAAGAGGTACATTTTTGACCAATTATTGCTAAGTCAACAATGTGGCTGTCAAAGCTCAAAAGCACAGCCATTTAATGCTTAAAAAAGAACTGAAGTAAACATCTTACATCCCAGCATTTGATAAAAATTCATTCAACTCATTTTACAAACCACTTGTGAGAAGACAGGCTGCATAAGGCAGATAAACCCTGTTTTCGTTTAAGAGCTCATTTTCATATGAAAAATTCGGTTGTGTGTCTCTACATCTGATGCTGTGCTTTTTACCAGCAGACATCCTGATGCAAGAATATGACAACGTATTATTTTTCAAAAATATATTATATCAACTATACCATGGCTTTTACAGACAAGACAATCACATAACTTTTGCCTGAAAGCAAAACACTGACGAAAAAATGCATTACTCATGGACGTTCAGATACATCTGCTTTGATCCAGACTTATACAAGGACCAAAATTGATATAGTTTCAAAAGTATAATAGACATACATTTAATTTTATGAATGAATTTTTCATACTTTCATGGCTCCTTAACCTAACAAGATCCTGTATTGCCCACATTTACATTTGCAGCGTGTAAGGCTGGGCGATAAAACAGTAACGATAAATATCGAAAATTAATTTCCCTACATATCAATATGAAACATGGTCAATATCCGTTTCAATAGTCGCCATTCTGCCATGTTTTGGTAGACTACACCAGTAGCCAATGAAAAGGGGAGTTGCTCTGGGTCCGCTTCGTGCTGAACCAATCATGTGCTGTTATTTAAGATCGGACATGAAGCAGAGTAATGTTCACCACAAATTATGTTGAATACATGCTCTCGTAAAGTCTGGGAATACCTCTAATCTTTTTCACCACCTGAAGCAGTGCCACGCAGCAGAGCACGCACGATGCAAAAGGTTACAAACCTCGAGAGGAGAAAGGAGCCCATAACGCCTGTGCAGACAAAACAGCCGACCAATCAGTCCGCTTTCTCTAGCACAACACCTTACGACAAAACGTCTTAGAGACACAAAGACCTCACAGATGGAGTAGCTTATTGTATTGCAAAAGACATGATACTAATAAGCACTGTTAAATGTCATTTTTTATATATATATATCGATATTGACTGATGTGAAAATCATGATAAACTTTTTCCTATATCGATCAGCCCTAGAAGTGTGCATGGCTTATTTTTGATCTGTTTCATTTATTTTTTAATGCTTTAACTCCAAACTATCACCCAAAGCTGAGCTCTTGTGTTACCATGAAACACAGAGAAAACTCTTTTTTTGCATTTTTACTGATACTTGTCCCGTTTGTTTACATTTGTCATATGTTCACTAGTTTCTCAAAATCTGCACCAGGGTATTCAACATGACCAGCAACTGAAACACAACATTAAACATTAAAACACAAATGTATTAAAGGGCCTAACGTCACACAGGAGAAAACACAAGGAAGAAAAGAAAGCCTGTTCAAGTTAAACAGACTGACATGAGCAGCTTTTTTCCTCATCATCTGATGCTGCTCGCTGCGTTTGTTTACATTTGATATATGTTCATTGTTGGAGCAAATACATCAACAACAACTGAATTATTAAAAAACGCCGTATTAAAGATGTAGCGCTTGACTATTTCAGTGTTTTCATCATGTACATCCACATTAAAAACAGTATATTTGGCGTCAGTGCTCACATGTGTTTCTGCACCAACCTCTTGAACAGCATGTGATGCCTCTATAGGCCTGATACGGTCAAGTAGAAGCGCCCATCTTTGCAGCAGGTTCATAAAAAGGACATACATTTGCTGAATTTGGATGTCATGATCATCTAGTGCTTTTTTTCTGCGTTGAACCCCCCTTTTATATGCTTCGATGAACGCTCCCCCCTCATATAAGTCCATGCTGCAGCCTCACGGTGAACTGTGCTCGGGAACAGCGCCCGGTCAGCCACAGCAGCAGCAGCAGAAATATGCCGCAACTTGCACTGAGACATGAAGAAAACAAGTGCTCTGCCGACTCACCTCAACAGGGAAGGGAAGCGGCTACTTGGTCGCTCGCCTCCAATGCAGCAGGCGCAGGGCGGCACAGCTGTCAACCACGCAAAAATCCCAAACGCTTCTCCCCCGTATCCAGAAAATTAACACAGGCTAGAAATGACTGCAGTTATATCCAGACGCATGTAACGCACTATCTGCCATAATAGTGCAGCGGTCCCGATCCTTCCGACGCGCGCACAGGCGGCTGCACGCAGCCCGTGTTTGTTGCCACTCAGAGCCGGTCGGGACAGTGATATTTCGGTGAAAATTCGCCCCCTTTTCCTCACGATCGGGGCCAGTGATGGCCTGTGCCAGAATGTCCGACGCGGATTAGTGATGTTTTGAGACTTGAGAGGTCAAACTCCGCCCCTAGTGTAGCCTCAAGTGCACTGCTGCTGTGGAGCAATCTTCAATCCCTGCATGGCAAACTGTGTGTGCTGGCGGAAGGTCAGACTTCCAACTTGTCATGATGATGATGAGAGAAGACATCACATGACTGCAATGGTTTCATAATCATGCAGCATTGAGGGTACTAAACCCTGCCTGTGTGTTTTTCTCTTTTTTTTTTTCGTTGTTGCTCTCATTTAAATGTCAAACAACTGAACGGAATATCGTTTTTATATTTTAGATAGAGCAAATCGGTTGAATGTATTACAGCTGGCGCAACAAGAGGTTTCAAGTACAACAAATCAGCCATGTTTATCCATGTGACTCTGCTACTGCGGTAAACCAGACATGGGATCACAAAAAAATGGGGCAGATGGAGGGCCTGGAAGGGGAAAGCCTGCAGAGCAGAGCAGGTTTTTTTTAAGTGTAAACAGGACAACTAACAGAGGCTGATGGTGCCCACCAGCTCAGTCAGCACAAATGTCATTCAGTGAATTATCATCCTCAACAAATAGGCTTTGAGTGAAGCTACCCCAAATAAATAGAAGATAAAAAGAGTACAGCATTAAATGAAAATGCCTCAATGAATCTTTTAACCCTAGAATACTACCACTAATCGCCGGGTGATTTTTACCTGAAATAATATACCCAAGAAAACGTACTTGTCATCAAAATTTATCAAAATAGGACAATACATGACAAATTAAGGTAGTTTTCTTTCATTTGTACCTGTGCAATGTCCAAAGGGAGGGAAAAAAAGTGCCATCAGGGGACCATATAAGGCAACAAAATAACTTAAACAAGGCATTCATGAACAGAAAATTCCTATACATATATATACTTAAACTGTAAACTTAGTTTCTTTTCCACCCATTCCTGGGTCAGGTGAGTCTTCCCTGGTGAAGACTCAGGGTCTTTGGCACAATAACAGCTGTAGGAGAGAGAACCAAAATAAGGCAGATTTTGAGAGAGTAAAAATGACCAGCTGACTAAAATATTTCTTATCACCATATGAATTTCCTTGAAAATCGTTACTCTGTGATCATTATTCATAACCACTGCGCTAAATAAAGATAGCATGCAAATTCCAGGACCACTCTTACTGACCTTATTTTCTTACATGCAGCTATCAAATCCACCCAAACCTACTTACCCTCTATCACTATTGCTGAGTGAAAATCACCCGAACATTTGCCTGTAGGAAAAAGAAGGTTTTGGATCTGAGAAACAAATATTCCTTCAAAGATGTCAAAGGCAATACTGAAGCTACCCAGAGACCCATGATACTTTGACAATCGCAACATAATGAAAATCATGTGAACATGTTTGGTCGGGTGAAAATCACTCGGCGATAGTGTTCTAGGTGAAAATCAAAGGTAGATTTTCATATTTGTTTGTCAAACACTAAATGAACAATCCTCATGCCATCTGCCAAGCTCCTACTTCTCTTTCTCTTCTATCACTTAGAGTTTTTTAATGTTATGTGTATGTGTGCTCAGGTCTGTGTGAGTGTGTGTGTGTGTGTTAGTGTGTGTATTGTGTGAGTGTACAGCATTCAAGCCAGGCTGTGAAAAACAGTGTAATTCACTCTTCATGAGCTGTTACACTGTGAAGTCCTCCCTGAATTTGAGTCCAAGAATGAAATCTGTTTGAGAGTATCTATTAAGATCATTGTACAATAACAGAAAAAGACTAGGGCAGACTGAGACTATACACAGTGTTATGCTACATGCTGTCTATGGATGGGCATATGTGTGCAGTAAAGCTCTGTATAGCCTGTCTCTGTTTTTGTCTTGGCTTTAGCAGTAACTCTGAAACCTCCCTAGAGACCTATGAAGCATTTTTTGGTGGTATTTATAAGGACAAAAGGCTGAAGGAAAAAAAGAGAGTCTCTCATTTCTTGCTCTGAATGTTGCATGGCTAACATTTGTTCAGATGAGCTGTCAAGCTCAACTGTTCTTGAGGTTATTTTGGGAGACGTTTTTGGATCTGTTTTGTTCTTTGTGTTTTTCAGACTGCTGTGTGGAGTGGTTCAAACTTCCTGAAATAGTGACTTAGATAGACTCCCAGCAGAACCTAAAAATCTCCTCTACTTACAGTCCAAACCAGTGCAGTACTTTATTTTATTATAGGAGCAAAGTTTAGACTTAAACAAAAACTGAGACTGGCTCTTAGAGTTGAGATCACGGTAAAACAGGATGCACAGGTCTGAGTTCTGAGACCAATCCCAGGGCTTCAACTATTGGCAGAACTAGAGAACTCGTGATACAAGTTACTCATCAATAAACTGTGACTAACTGAGATGCTGGAATCATCATTTTGTGTCAGATCTTAGACTTGGTCAGATCTTAAATTCAGATCCATTTCATCAACCATCTGGCCACAATTAGAGATCTGTCGCCGTGTAGCCTGTTAATATCTGGAAATCCATTGTAGTGACTGTGTTGACCTGAATTTTAGTCACTGTCTGGGTGCGAGAGTGAGGTGTTTTTGATGTGCTTCTAGTACAATCCAATGTCCAATCCAAGTCTGTTGTTGAGTGATATTTTTGCCATTTATTTATTAAATGAAAAACGAACAAAAAAAGACAGATTCGTCCAACTTACGATGATGGTGGTGTTTGTGATGAGGGCGAGAGTGGTGTCGGAGATGAGCGGTAAAAACCGTGTGCTCTTCCCGTTCCCCAGATCACTGCTTCACCTGTGTCCCTTTTGTAGCATTTACCTGCCCATTCACCTGAAGTGCCCCTTGTAGTGATTGTGCGAGTAACAAAACAAAACCCAAAAAATGAAATAGATAAAATGGTTCATACATCCATCTTAGATAACATACATCTAGTCCAAGACTGCATCCCCATGCACTGGTTAGTGTTTACAGTCTTAGTCTTGGTATTGAAAGATAACGACTAAGACTTGGTTGTTATTGGCACGATAAGGTTGGAAATGTTCAATGAAGTTGGTTGTAAAGCTGTGCATTTAATGACAGCATACTGCGTACAGTGATGGCTACAGACATAGCAAGTAACGATGAAATTGTTGTTGTAGCAAGCTGGAAATATCCCAGAAAAGCTGACTAATTAGTCTCATCTTTGGACAGCAAAACGGCTAGTTGATGCTCTGCTAACACAGCGTAGTATCCTCATGTAGGCGTAAACACAAAATTGTAATGGGGAGATTGGCCAAAGCTTCATGGTACCAACTCTGGCTAATCAGATCAGTATTGGGCCAGAGACCAGGTGTTTCCTGAACCACAATTCACAATCCCTTACCACATCTGCTTTTGGGGTACCACTAATTGTAATTAGTTATACATGTAAGGGTACAAGCCTTCCAACCTCTCTATACTTTCCTTCTGCTACTTATGAAGCATTCGTCATTTTAGATCATCTAAGGCATTGGTGAGAAAATTTGCAAAAATATCAAGAATAATCTCGAACCTCTGTTTCTTTCTTGTGTTTTTGTTACTTCACTCTCTCTTAGCCTCACTAGATAGATTAGCCTCTTATTTCTCTTCTCTTTTGTGTGTGCTTTTTGACAGAAGCCTATTCCCTAACCATCTTTGAGGAATAATTAACTCTTCACTAGATGGACTAATTACAAACCATTTTGTGGTGACCACTGTTTTACTGAGTTTTTGAGAATATATTCCCCTAGCTTACAGTTCTTCCCTTTTGTGGTTTTCTATGCTGTATCTCTCTCATTCTGTTACTCAGGTATCTGCGGGTCATTCAACATGCCTCTTAATGTGCACTTATATTTAGAAGAAGCAAGGATGTGCATTAAGTTAGGAACTAAACATGTACATTATTTATAAGCGTGTTTAAGTGTGTATTAGCCTCAAACTGTCGCAAAAGGAAAAATCAAGTGCAGTACAAAAACAAAGATATCACGCAGTGTGAATGGTTTTATGAGCTCAGTGCCACTTATTTACATATTGAATTTCACTCATGCACAATTTTTTTTTTTACAGTATGTATTTTTACTGTTAAATGCAGTTAAGTTTTAGTGTGTATTTTACAATCAATGTGAATCAAAGCTACAATTTATGATCATTTAAAAAATGATGATAAATACAGAATTTATTGGTTTGATGGACAGATTGAATTCCTACTTTTTGTGCAAATTAAATATTGAATATAAAAATGTGAAGTGTTTTATGAATCTTACTTGATCATTTTAAATTTTATACTTGTAACACCTTCCAAAACTGAAGCAGGGACAACAAAACACTGAATTTTTTTTTTGTAATGCTTTAAAAACACAGCCTCCAATTAATTGATATATTTCGAATGAGTATAAAAATGCTCTCCAGAGAGGGTGAGTAAAGATGGGAAGAGGTTCACCAGAGAATGGGTGAAGAAATAGGTTAGGGATTACAGAGTCATGTTTATGACAGTAAAATTGCAAAGAATTAGAGTTTTTTTTAAACTACAGTATATCAATAAAAGATTTAGCATATTTGGAAAAGTTTCTCCTGGACTGAGGCAAAGTGGGAAACTCTCCTGAGCTCTGTCCAATAAAAATTTGACATCCCTACCCTCTGCTCCAAAGACAGGAGGGACTACCTAGTTTTTTATCAGCATGCTGTTCAAAGGCTAGCATCCCCTGATGGTACAGAAATACATAAACCCACGGCATGGTTTGTTTACAATTGATGTTGAACAATATACAGGTTTAGGAGCACACAGAGAACGCCTGTTTGGGGGAAGACCTTACATTGAAAAGCAAAAAGATGCCAGACTAGATTTTGAACAGACTAAAGCATGTCTCTGTAGTAGAGCAGTCCAGCTGCTAAACTGGCCTGCATGCAGTCCTGACTTGTCACTTTTTTAAAAACATTTGACTTACCAGAACAGAAAAAAAATAGACAAAGGAGAGCTCAAACTGTTGCGCAGCTAAAAACCTTTTATCCTGCAAGACCAGCAGCACTGCATTTTCAACATTTTCCTCCTGGCTCCCAAATAAGATATATATGTTAACTTTCCATGACATGATTGGTATATACCATACAAATAATAACTAAATGTAACTTCCTTTATTTCCTGGCTGTGTGCCATCCATAAATAAGGTTTCATTCTTTATTTACATTACACATTCATCATTTCATTTGAACATCATTCAAGTTTACAGCTCTGTGTTCAGCGTCAGAGGAAACTCCTGGACTTCTTGAATTGTGTATAGACCATTTCTTTTGCTATTTACATGACATTTTTAATCCAGTTTATTCCAGTATTCACCAAACACACGAGTCAACAAATGCAGAAAACATTTTCTGTCCATTCAATAGTGCCAATTTAAAATACTGGTATGGATCTGTGACTGTGTAACTAATTGACATTGTTGTTGATGATGGGCTAGCACACTACAGCAGACACCACTTTGCCAGATCACAAACAAACAGTAAGAGCATCTACAGGTCCTCTGACTCTGGGACTTGAATGGGCTCCAGGGTAATGGTGGGGAGGATCAGATGGGTGCCCTCAGATATCCATCCCTGGGCTGTCCTGTTGAAGGTGGGACGCTTAATTCCTGGTTCTTGTAGCTCTGGGTAACTGGGCGGGTTCAGGTCCAGCTCAGGGAGCTTGAATGTGATCCCTCTGGGAGCTTTGTCAAAGCCACCATATGGAGTGGCGACCCTGTGATGACATTAGGAGTAAATGGCTGTCTCTTTTATGTTCTGACGTAGTGGCCTAAATGTTAAGTTCTCACCTGTTGAAGGATTTGTACAGGGGCAGATCTGCTCTCGGGTCAGGTGCTTGCATTCCAAGTTTGAGGCTTTCTGCAAGATCCGGATTGTTGAGGATTGCCTGCTCCCATGGGGAGTGATAGGACTTTGACATAGCTGTGGGGCTTGACTTGTCTGCAGTGTTTTCTGTCGAGCAGCAAACAAAGAGAAAAAAATGTCACTACTAGATGATATTGTGCAACACAAGGATCTAACAATTTGGTCTGTAGTTGCGGGTTAATGCTGAGCTGTTTCCTTTTTTTGCAGGCTTTAGAGGGGAAAGGATTATGAATAGATACTGTGCTTAGAGAACACTTACAGGCAGACTGAGATGTCCATCATTGGGATCTAAGGCCTTAAAATAGCACATAGCTGTAGCGTTCACTCATCATAAAAAGTGTCGACATGCAATGACTCCCCGCTGGAGAATTTTAGAATAAGCACAGGGCTCTGTCTGCCGTCCAAGCATAATAAAATATAACAAAATAAATCATATAGAGCTCCCCTGGTTGGATACATAATCACTGTTATATACGTGGCTTCTAGCTTACGAAGTTGCAATGAGGGAACACCAGCTGTTGTGACTGTATGATACCATCGTCATTATTATGACAGGGTTACATAACCGCACAGTGCTTGATTTTTGTTGACACTGTAATAGATGATGTAGAGATCCTTTTTCAATCGCAACTTTGTCAGATTATAACGTCAAAATCCAAGTTGAAAGAAATATTGCAGCATGATGGATTTAACAAACAAATAAACAGCCTCTCAGACTGAACAGCAGAGCTATACCTGTTTCAGTGTTTTCTGTGTTTGCAGTAGTTCCATCAGCTGGAGCATCCACTGTAATTTCCACAGTGCTTGCATTTTCGGTTAAAATGTTGTCCTGCACAAAATAAAAAAGAGAGGAAAAAGTGAAGTACAATATAAATCATTTAAGCTACAAAACATGAAGTCAGTTTATCTACTCTGTAACTGCTGCTGTCTCGCATGCTCTCACAAACACACAGACCCACATCATCAGGCACTGATAAGTAAAGAGGGGTGCAGCTCCTCATCAAGTGCATGAGTGCATGAACAGCCTCTAAAGATTTGGCAGGAGGAAACTGAAATCACACTGCACATGTCTGTGATATCATCCATGTGTTGTGACACTTTATTTTCTTCCAGGAGTGTATTCCCTGAAATGTGCGTGATGAGGAAACACAAGTCAACTCAAAACATCTCCTGTGTTTAGAAACACACAGAGACGGTGGGTAACTCTCTTGACTTACATTTAGCTGTGCGTTTGCCTCGTTCTGGATGCTTTCAAATGTATATTTGTCAGATCTCCTCTGGCGCATTTTAAAAAGCCGGGACCCTCTGTTGGTTAGCAATGATAACTCCTCCAACATTATATCCTTAGGAGTGCTCAGCTTCTTCCCCAGATCCATTACGTCCCCTGACAGATGACAAAATTAAAAACAGAAACATCTGATAATGTTGAGCTTACAGTAAAGAAAAAGAAAAAATACACCATACATGTCACCGTGTACCACTTTATCAAGCAATATTTTTCAATAAAAGATAACAAACTATGTCTTCTTTTTGTTCTTGAGGAGCCAGTACTGGGAAAAAGGAGGCAGCTGCCTGACACAATCATGGATTCCCTACAAATTCCAAATTTCTTAAGCAATCACAACATCTGACAGAAAACTCCTGTATAATATTTACTGTCTAACAAATCTCCTCGTGTCTCAGTAAATGTCACATCCTGTCAACTTATTTTGAGGGTTAAGCACTACAGAATTCTCTACCCTTGTAACTTTTAAGCTTTTGCATATTCTTTAAAAAAAAAATTATATAATGGAGTTATCACCATCTTACTTGGGAAGAACAAGGATGAATGATAGTGACAGTATTTTTACCCTGGGCCCTGCTTGTGGGTTGATCCAGTACTGGTTTTAGATGTGCGAAGGGCTGGATAGAAAATCTAAATGTTCCTGAATACAATCCTCAAGTGACGAGCTTTGGGAGTGTCCATGACATACTTAGGAATCTGAAAAATTCACATTTTCCATGATCTAAGCCCTGTCATGGACCATGGGTTATCAATGTACTTGAGAATGAGCTTTTTGGATGTACAGGATGCTTCCTCATCCACCACTACAGACGGTATGTACCCCAGCTGTCACGGACCGTCACATAACAAACAGCCACACAGTTGGCCGACACAGCTTCCCTCCCCTCTCCAGAAATAGAGTTTTGAAAAGGACAACGACAAAGGACTAGCCACTATAGGCTTTAAATCATCCCGTTGGCTTATGTATGGAGGAGCTGGAGAGCAGCCCTGACATTTTGAACCTCGATCAGTATGATATTCTCTTGCAGCAGTAAGCCTCAAAACTAAAGTCATACCATTGGTACCATGGACCTCTCGGCAAATAGCTGCTGCATGCTTCTTCCTCTCTCCAGTTGGCATTGTACAGAATTGTGACATTGTGGCTTTGGCAAGGTTGACTCAGGAGTACTGGAAACACATACAGGACACAGGATGTAGTTGTTCTGCCCAAGTCATAAAAAAGTGAGTTTGTATTCCCAGTACAACATCAGTGCACTGTTAGTTGGTGGGCTGCTGTTCGGTACACAAGTGTGCTGTCATAGATTAAAAATAATTCGAGAAAGCCGCCTGTAATGCAGCACTTTTAATACAAATCAGGCAAAAAGAAGTCAATAAGGAGTTGAACTCATGAAGCAGAGATGTAATCAGCAAGTTTTTGCCAAAAATTATTTATAAATTGTCAGCAAGTGTAAGCATACTTCTTTTTTGAGTCCATAAAGTCCGCAGTAGCTCCGTTTTCTGCCAGCATTTATAGCTACCCTCTTAAATAAATCTGCAGTATCAGTGTTGCCATGTTACAGTAATCTCTGTAGAGGTTGCAGTCATTAGATTACAATACATTACATAATTCCAAATCCTCATTGTACCAACATCAGCCCTGCACATGTAATTCTTAAATCTGTCCTCGTCACTGGATCTATTTCTTAGTAGGTGAGTAAATGTTAGTGGAATCTCCGCTTAAAGTGGTCACAAAATAAATCACCTTTGTTAAGGTCAAGGGTGAATATTGTGTTTCAAGTTTGAATGTGTTGTTGCAGACAACAAATGTGAAGCAGTACATGACAGATAGCACTCAAAATAACTTTTTTTTGGCATTTGCAATTGTCATTGAAATCCCACAGTTTCATTTTTATCTGTTTTTATTATTTTTTTGTTAAATGCAAAATCATGATATTTGATAGTACGACTATTAATGTCGTGTTAAAAAGATAACTCTGAATGATTCATATACTTTTCTGTTTTTAGCATATTTAAAATTAGTTCTATGCAAAGTAATGTATATCAGAGGAATATAAAGCCATTATTGGTATATTTAGATTTATAGTATATCAGTACGTCAGTCTACCAAGGCTGTTTTAATATACTTTAAATCTAACCAATATTTTTTGAAGTCACCTCGAGGATATTTGTTTCCTTACCTGTAATGGTTTCCTAAATGTGTAGCCTTTATCCTTGAAGAGGAGACACGGAGGCTCAGGGGTCAACCTACAGTAGGTAGTTTGATCTTCCCTGATCTTCACACTCCTGGACACTAAAGCCAAACTGAGTGTGCCTCTGTGTCTGTTGTGAATGGAATGCAGCTTACATCAATAGGCTAAATTTAACTTGTCAAACACTCAAAACCACTCTCTAACACCATGAGGCAAGGATAGCTACCAACGAAAAAAGAGGGAGAAGGGGGAGAGAGGGGGAGAGGATGGACAACACACACATGTTGTGTGTGGTGTTCTTTAAGGCAACAGCTCCTCTTCAGAAACATGTTGCACTCCTTGTGTTGCGCCCTTATGGTGGGTATGTGTTTGTGGGCGTGAGTTTATGTAACCTCTGAGGCTTTAATTCTTGGAGGAGGTGAAAGCTGGGTGCAGCTACTTAAATATGTCTTCTATTCCAACTTTGTTGCAATTGTCACTATGCATAACTACAGGCTTTGAAAAATGATGAACATATCTGGGCGCTGGCTTTGTTCAATGCCAAAAGATTGCACCCTGTATGGAAATGCTAATTGCCCATGGTGCTGACCACAGGTTGGACTCTGCCTCCTGGGGTTTGAGAGAATGTTTTTCCATACGGTCCTTGACCAGACTTCCTTACTTTCTTCCTTATAGCAATCTCTAAAACTCTGTTTGGAGGAGGGGTGGAAGGAGAGATGGTGGGCAGCCAAAACTTTTTTTTTTATAAAGCAGCATCAAGGTCATTGCCCTGGCTGCTGAAGGTATCGTTACACTTTAGACATACTGAACATTCAATCCCTTATAATAAAATTAACTGATGACTTCAGAGCACTTTTGAGAGTATTAAGAGGAAATGTTCTGTGTTTCAACAGTAGGCCATAGGATCAGTCCCCACAGTGTCACTTCCTTCAGCCATGGATGAAAAGAATTCAGACGCAAATATAGAGTATGTATTAAAAACCCAAAACATATCTATAAAGCTAATTTACATTTTCATGACAATTTCTCTCTGTTCTATCAAATTTGAGCCAAAAATGACAACTTAATGACACAACTGTTTTTATATCTTTTAATTCTTCCTCTTGTGTTTTTAAGGTGCAGAAACATCAATTATACCAAAGAAAATCACAAAACAAACATTAAAGACCTCCAAACTTTGCACAGTTTCAAACAACATGGAAAAAGTTGTCTTATTCAAACCCTGACACACAGGACCTGTTTATGCGTGCAGTCCAAGGCTTGATATTCATAATAGTGTGCATTCAAGATTTAATATCATGTATTATCAGCAAAAAACAAAATTCAATTTTAAAATATAATGTGTAAATTGTCATTGCAATCAAAACATTGTTGTGATTATAGAAATACTGTTGTTTACCTCTTCAGCTTTCCTCATGAATACACTCACACTAGTTATTTCAACAGTTGTGAGAGAAAATAGAGTTAAAAAAGATGAGTTATGTTTCAAAAATAATTGTATGTAAAGGTGAAATGTGATAGAATTCATATAAAGTCAAACTGGAAAAGTGGGTTTAAAGCCAAGGTGAACTTGCAAAGTACAGCAAAGCTACAAAACTCACACATACAATTTAAAAAACGTTTTACTACTAACACATTACTATAACACCGGTATATAAAAAAATCACTCCTTTCACATTCAGTTTAGCCCTTATAACACTTTCTATAACACTTACTAAACTTTTCTGGTGTTCTGTTTCTCCACCGAATCAGTCCATCATGTAAAACACTTCCACATAAATAGTCAAAATAACTCATAGTATGCCAACAACGCTCGGTGTAGAGTAACATTATAGCTGCATTTCAACACAGTGGCTTTGTATAGCTGTTTTATCAGGTGACCACTTGTATCTTAGAAGAAACCCCTCACTTCCATCAAAAGTCAGAATAAACATGATAAACTGTTTTAAATATTCATCGATCTCAGACTTTTTGATAACTTTGCACCAACACGTCAATGACCTTTTCTTGTTCCAAGCTCCCAAAATGTGTACAACCCTCCAAACCCTAAATAATATAATGGTGTATTTCTTTTTTAACATTTATATGTGACCTCATGTCATCGGCCTAACACTATGCAGATTTATGGTACTGCTCTGCACTAAGCTAAGGAGAGTACTCTGTTGGGCTGGCTCATTGCCCCATGTATCCGATACTGGCCCTGCTGGCAAGCCTCAGAGGCTGGGCAGGTCTGAAAGGAGGCCCATAGAAGGCTGGTTTCCCAGGTGAAAATGTCCTGCTCATGACTGGGGCCTGAAAACCTGTGGCTGCGTAATAATTACCCTCACTGCCAGCTGCAGGATCAAGGGACACCCTGCGCTTCCATTCATCTGGAGGCTCAGGCAGAGATCTGCGCTGCCCTGCAGCTTTGACATTAGAGGCAAAAGACAACGGGAGGCTGTGAAACAGAAAAGCCTCATCTACTGAGCCTAGCGGGCTCCTGGATGCTGCCTCCCATGGTGTTGGTGGCTTGTAGGCTTTTTCCTGTAAGGATGTTTGCTTCTGGATAGGTGAACATGAGCGCTGGACTCCAGGTGTGTTCCCAGGTGACAGAAACCTGGGAGGCTGCAACAAATTTGTTTGTCTGGGCAGGCTCAGGGAGCGGCTTCTTCCAAATCCCTGGAAAAAAAAAAGGCATCAATAGATTGACTTGGTATCATAATCAGCCTTTGCTGCCACCCTCTGGCTTCACTAAGACCCTGACACTGGTGATGCTCTACTCTCTCTTTTTTTCAATTAGTTCCATTTTCTTCTTTTCCATTTTTTTACACAAAAAATTTTGAAAAATTTCCTTACTAGTTAGACCTTTTTTTTTCTTGAAACAAACTTCTAATGTTATGCAAAACACCAATGCACATATTTAGAGAAAAAGAGGTTCTAAAGAATGACAAAAACCTCCATAAGATAATTAAATTCTTTGATATTCTTAGTTGTAGACAGGAGCGAAAGGTTATCTTTAGTTTTTAAAGTCCCGTGACATTTACTGAAACTCAACAACAAAGTTTAGGACTTACCTTCTGTTGTCCATGTTTCTTATATAGACACAGTGACAGTGCATCAACTTAAAACTCATTTAAAAGATTGCCAAACTTTTGCCTGGAGCTGTATTTGTGAGCTTTGTTTCTTTTAATCTGTTAGGAAGGAAATCCACCCAAAATAACACTTTCTAAAATGTTTTATCACATCTTTTATTAGCCCTTTAAATGTTTGTAGAAAATGAAAATTATGCATCACAGTGCTTTCTATACAAATAAGAATGATAACAATTTTTATTTTCTGACTCACAGGTGCAACAATGAAACTACCATATAGGAGCAGCTGTTAATAAACACACTTAAAACCAACCAGTTGGAAGTGAAATCATCAGGGTGGATTCAGTATGCTTCTACGGGACCTCAGTTATTAGAACTATATGTAAAAATTTGACCTAAATGCTCTCTGCAGTGAGTTTACCAACACTGTTATCCTGTTCACAAGTACTTAAGAACTAAAGATAATACTTGTTTTCTAATAAATAAACTATATTTAGCTCTTTCTTGCTGGTAGTTAAACAAGTTAGAGTGGTTTCATGATTTATTTATTTAGTAACAACTTTGTTGATGAAACAACAACTTTTTGGCAATAAAAACAAAGTGTTCACTTTTTCTTAATTTACCACTGATTGTTTATTCTACTATAACCCTTAACTTAGTTAAATGGTGCTTTTTGCTAACACAGAATAAACAACATTTGGTTACAGTGTCTTATTATGAGTAATTTGAACTTTCCTACCCTTAAATTTCAAAGTTAGCTTTTCTGAAATTTAACTACGTCCACTGTTAAGTAATTAGCAGTATGCAACTACGCTCTCCTTTCAAGAGCAGCTTTGCTAACTCTGTTCATTTGTTAATAGGGCTAACAGAATCATGTAGTTATTTTAATGTACTGAAAAAAGATACCTCATGGTTTGGTTGTGCTGCATACTGTGTGCTGCTGATACAGTGTTTACTGTGAAGAAATCGCTGGAATATCAAGGCTATTTCTGGGTTTTAGGATGGATTTCCCTCCTACAGATAATCAGCAACACCGGGTAAAAGTTTTCTCAAGTTCAAGATTTTAGTTCCATCATTTTTACATTTGGATAGAAGAGCTACAGTGATAAAAGTGCCGTGAAACAAACCGAACACATCATTCCATGATGGTGAATCGTGAAGTCATAGTTGTGAGGGTGAGAGCCTTCAGCAAAGCTTCATTCCACCTTATAGGCAAAAAAAAGTTATTTCAGCTGATCAATGGTGAATAAATAAACTTAAATCAGAGTGTGAAGCTGTGAGAAAGGTAAAGGAGGAAATTATAAAGAGTGGAGTCAGACAGAAAAGTACACAAGCAGAAAGAAAGAAATTTAATAGCATGATCGTGACAAATTCAAGAAGTGCAATAAACAGTGATATGTTTCAAAGACAGTGACAAAGAGACAAACAAGAAAAATGTTTCTGATTTTCATTGAGCTCCTACTGTGATTGCAGATATAAATCTGAAAGGTAACTTGTTCATGTTTTACATCCAGGATGAGGATACAGACTATTTGAAGACCTCACTAATGGTTCAACTACTGGCCATGTGTGATAACTGCAGAAGTTTACTGTATATCTACATAAAACACATTTAAAGTAATGAGGAGTAATGATCACAGCTACAGTTAATGCTTTTATCTGTTGTATTTCATAAAAGTTTGGAATGAGACTGAAGGAATTGCAAATTGTATGCATCCAAAAAAGAAGTGCATGGACAGTTTCTCCTCAGACACACTTAATGATTAGATAAATTATGTATTTATCAATGATTAAAAAGCAAGATGCCTTTATCCGAGTAAGATTTAAGTTCCAATTAGAATTTAGATAATTCATGAAAAAAGTTACTGTTGAGTGTACAGTTTAGGGTCAATTGTGACTACAAATACACAAAAATGCATGTCATGCATCTATTTGTCACAAAAAATAAAGAACTATACAAAGAAAGACATCTCAAACTTGAGACCTTTGTTAGACAAGGCCCTCTCCACACATTATTGCACATAAAACAGCACTTCCTGAGAATCACTCAAAAATACTTTGTCTCACATTTTCTTATTTAGTCTTTGATTTGTAGTCAGGATGTTAAATTTCAAGCTTAGGTTGATTTTTTATGCTCTCCTAGCATTGGTTGCTAAGTATGTCCTTAGATGGACAGTGCAAAAGTCTATGCATTTTCACCTGTTGAATGTAAGACATTTAAGTTGCCACTAAGTTACAGATGTAATAGTGTTTTATATCCTATTTTTCATCACCAACATATAATCATCTTCATTATTAGTTCTAATGAAGCAAAGCAACAGGCTTCCACTGTGGGCCCATCACTGCTGGTTTCTTAGCAGAAAACTTTGGCCGAGGTGCCATTTGACGCACACCTCTGGCAATAAGAGATGCAGGAGAGAAGGCAGCAGCTATGCTGTCACTAATAGATGACTGCTGAGAGGCTGCGCTTGCAGGTCGGGCGCTTGGTGATTGCTCGCGGGTTATATGAGGGGCTGTGACAGTGTGCTTTGCATCCAAGAGCTCGTCAGTTGCAAGAGGCTCAGCTGATCTTGTGGTTTTGCGGGCAGAAGAACTTTGGGAACTTACCAATACAGGAGACTTTGAGGCCTCTGCTTTGCTTTGAACAGCAAGTTCAGAGGCTTTTTGGGGAGATTGAGAACGGGCAGCTCTCTCTTTACGGCTTTTGATAGCCTCAAACTTTGATGGTCGAGTTGGTTTGGGACTAGGACTAGGGCTTCTGGCTTCTGCTTCTGCTTCTGCTACTGCATCATACTTAAAGAGTGATGAGTCCAACTGATAAGGCTGATGCTTCATAATATCTAAGGCATTGAGGTGCTTTGGGGGTGCTTTAGGTTTTTCTTTGGTCTTTGGTTTGGTAGTGGGTCCTGTGGAGGTGGGCTGCTTGGCTGCTGATGGAGGGTAGAAAGGAGCAAGAAGGGGATTATAAGATATAGGAGGTGGGGCACGGACATTGGAAGAATACCTCCAATAGTTGGGGAGGGATGAAGTTGGGGAGGTGGATCTTGCCTTGTTGGCTTGGACTGTTTCAGCATCAACAACAAACTTCTGCATACGGGACTGTCTTTTGGCAAACAACTCTGCACCTTTACCTTTCATGGGTGGACCATCGTGAGCCTGATTAATTCCTCTGTCTGGGACTTGACCCTTAGGAGAAGCCATTGATGCTTTTGATTCATGGCTGTGTGTCATCCCTGCTTGTGGTGGACAGGATGCAACTGATTGTGGGACACTGTTTGACTTATTCCTCAAGGGTGAAGGTGCTTGATGTGGGCTATAAGTGGGACTGCGAGACTGCATACTCACAGGGGATCGTTGCTGCTGTTGACTCCGGCTATTTGTGGTTGGCTGTAGATAAAGCTGAGAAGCAGTGTTGACCGGACCCCAGGCACTGGCAGGTGTTTGAAGTGTTGCCTGAGTATGATCTGGTGCCCAATGGTTGGCCATCTGTTGAGGCTGAGCCCAGTCTTGCTGCTGTAAGTAATGCTGACTATGAGGCCCCACGGGGCTGTGAGCAGGTTGTAAAACAGGACTTCTTGATGGAATATAGGGCTCACAGGTGGGACTGCCTTTAATCCAAGGCGGGCAGTTTGGGTTGATGGTAGGTTTTGGAGCAACTGGAGGGGGATTCTTGAGTTTTACTGTTCTAGGTTGCATAAAGTTACAAGCCTCAGCACCTAGACTAAATAAGTCTTCCTCTGGCTCAATATAAGACTTCCTGTCCCCTTTGTTTTCAAACCTTGACCCTTGCTGCTGCTTAGCTGGCTGTTTATTGGGGCCTCTCCGTTTTGGTTCTGGTAGAATGCCAGTTTTTATTGCTGGCACAGATATTCGCTCATCTCTTGATGCTATGATGTCTCCAGTTGGAGACCAAACATGTGGGTTAGTATTTATAGGCACAGGTACTCTAAATCTTGATTCTTGCATCTTTGTCGCTGGGACAATGCCACCAGGCATGACAGGAGCAGTTGTGCCATCTTGAAATCCGTGGAAAGGCTTTGCAGTTCTGTTTGGCACCAAAGGTCTTGACATATTGGACATGTGGTTCATCTGTTCAATATTGTCTTGGTATCCTACATGCTGCTTGAAATTTTCATCCATGTAGCTGGCCGGATCAGTATGCATATATGTCTCCTTGGGGTCATAAATATCCTGTGCTTCGATGGGTTCAGGTTCAGTTGATCTTCCCACTGGTAATGCTTTGCTTCTTAGTTCCTCTTGCTCTGATACCATTTGATCCATCCGTTTGCGGCGCTGGGTAAACATCAAAGCACCCTTCCCTTTTGTCTCTGGTAGTGCTTCCATTTCTCGCAGACTTCCCCAATTCAGACTCAAATTATGCTGGTGATGTTGAACAGAATACTCCTCTTCAAACTCAGACTCGCTAGTTGCTTCAAAGTTATACTCAGCTGATCTGACGTCTTCAGTTTCTTCCTCTATTTGGTCGTCACCGTCAAACTTGTTTTCACCAGTCCCGTAACTCACAAGTGTATATTTCTCAACCCTCTGGCGACGTTTTTTGAACAGCAAGGCTCCTTTATTTTGAGGGTTGGGTGCATTAGTTAGTAGCAGAGCAAGACGCTTACATTTGGACTTGTTCTCCTTGACTTGTCTTTCTGACTGGCTCTCGTTGTGACTGAGCCCTGAGACAAAATAAGAGGGAAAAAGACAGAGACAAGAGAGACAGAGGGGTGAAAAGTTTGTAATATAGATGTGCAGTTAATCAGTAAGTTTGCATTCTTTGTATTATATTTTTTCAGGAAGTTAGTCCAATTACGAGAAACATTTAACTGTTCTAAGCTCTGTAAAGTCGACTAATAAAGGGACTGATTTTTTTCATCAACCCCACATTTTACTAGGTTGTTTAAAACCGTACTTTGGCATTATTTGACCTTTTTTCTTGGTGATCAACCAACCATCATTATTGTTTTATGAAAGCACACTAATACAAAATTTTGAAGTTGCCCCTGCTGAAGCAAGCACACTAATAAAAGCATCATATTTACTTACAGCTAACTTTGGGGGGTCCATGGGGCAAGTAAAGCTATCAGCTCACTTTCCATTGCAGTCAGTCTTACGATTGGAAAAGGGATCGGGTAACAGGCCAGGGTGACACATGCTGGTGTCTGTCAAATTTGTTTCTGTCAGCCTCATCATATGGTCATATTTTATTCTTATCCTGCTCTGACACATAAAGCCATGGGAATTCTCCCTGTAAGTCCCCCTAAAATAGACCCTGTTACATGAAAATAACCCACATACATGGTGCTTTGCAGGAGTCATTTATCCATTGAATGCTTTATATAACTAAATGTCATTTAAGGTTATTACCAAAGTTGTTTTAGTACTGCTGCTGCATTCAAAGCAAACAAAATGATATGTCTTTCAATAAATCGTGCACTAATGGAATTTAAAACACATTCAATATGTGATAAACAGTACTATACAAGCTTCAAATATCCGCTTGAATATAGAAATAAGGGTAGAAGTCAGATACTTACGTGTGTGCCTTGCCCTGTGCCTGTCCGGTCTGCACAGATCTCTGTCAGACTCCGAGTTCCACTTCTCTGCCTGCTCAGCACCCTCGTCTGAAATTCCAAAGACGACAGAAGCAGGAGGTGCTTCACTGCTCCCTCCTTCCTCTGAGGATTCAACCCTCCTGTTCCCAGTCCCTGAGTGCTGCCTATTGCCAGCTCCTAGGGGCTGATCTGCAGCAAGGGTCAAGGCCAGGGTCATATTGGCAGCGCAGCCAATGGAGGAGGAAGATGAGTGGGAATGTGGTCGTGAAATCTGGCCAGCACGTTGCTCAGAGTCAGGACGCTGTGGTTGTGGGGACAGTGACTTTGGTGAGGTTTGGACATGTGGAGACTCTGCGATATACTCTCTTGATTCACTGTGATAGACATCATCGTCTTCATGGTATGAAACCTCCTCCTCGCTCCCACTAAGTTCATGCAGAGACTGTGGTTCCCCTGCAGATTCCCAGTCGCGTGGTTGAAGGGGTTCTGGGGACTCATTGTCAAACTTGTGGGAATGAGTAGAGCAAGGGTGCGATTGATAGTCTGCATCACTGCCATCATCTTCATAGTAAGAGTCTCCAAAGGACTCTGTTGCGCAGAGTTCCTGAGAACCATCTGAGCCTGACCAAGGGACTGAGTTATCATTGTGGTCTAGGTCCTCAGCCTCTGGTTCCATCTTCAACGCTATTTCACAGTATCATCAGTTATACCTTAATAAAAAAAAGATACAAATAGTTATCACTCCAAGAGTCCTACATATTTAAGAGCACATTATTAAGGGTCTAGACACTTCAGAGGACTTTTATTAACTCTTGAAATACTATAATTAATCTTGGTAACACTTTGCTTGACGCTTATCTCTATAATGAATTGTAAATATATTTATAATGCGTTATAATCATGCTATAGCACTGTATAACTATACAGTATACAACACTCATAAATGATCATAATGCTTTATAGCAATAATCATAACACATTATAAAGCATTTTATCATGACTTACAACGTCAGGTATTATAACGTGTTATGCTTATTGTTATAAAGCCTTACGATAATTAATGAGTGTTTATAATGATAGTTATACAATTTTATATGCGAATTATAACACATAAATATATGTATAATGCATTATCTATATGGGCATTGTCAGCGAATTGTTAACAGTAATAACACATTATAATACCTGACCTTGTAAGTCATGATAAAATGCTTTATAATGTGTTATGATTATTGCTATAAAGTGTTACGATAATTTATGAGTGTTTATAACTATAGTTATACAGTGCTATAACGCATTATACATATATTTATGTTATGGAGATAGGGGTCAAGTTAAGTGTTACCATCTTCTCTTTGTTCAATGTTATGATATTGGAAAGTAAACAGTCCATTCATCAATCAGGAACCAAACGCCTCTTTGTGTAAGTGTCAACAGTTCTAATCAAGAGATTTTAGTATTAGTCGCATTCTAATATATTTAACTACCACGTAATCATCCGAGTTATTTCTTTCCCCAGTAGGGAGTGCAGCCTTGCTTTTGGAGCCGTATCAGGACAGCAATTGCTCTAAATGGAATGGTATGTAATATCAAGGGGGAAACAGCATTCACATCCAAGAGCATAAGCAAAACAATGGGAAGGCTGTTTTCCGAACTCCTGTTTATACAAGCAAGGTTTCTCTGCCTGTCATCCGTCACAGCAACAAATATCAGCACCGCAAAGGCTGTCAGCATTTCCATTTAAGACCTAAGTTTGAAAGACTATTTGTTTGCTACATAGTAGAAATACTAGACCCCTTCACCTCCAGTTGAGGTCAGCGTTTGTTTTGTTTGCACTGGCAAATTAAGTGATAGAAAGTAAGTAATATGGGATACGTTATTGTAGAGGAAAAAGCTGTGGAAATAAACCCTTAATTCAAGCTAAATCTGGCTTTGCTGCTTACAATGTAAACTTATTTTAAACTGTCAAATTCAGGTTCAACATCCTTTTTAAATTATTATATCATAATAACATGCACATTAAAGTATCAATCTGGTTTCAAGAACAGATGCTTTTTCATAATGTTGGGAGATCAACTTTTGAACTTTTGAACTTTTGACTACAAACACAGACCTTTTAGTTCTAAACTGCATTCCCAACATCCCCCAGAGAGTGGTGACAGAGTACTGTAGACCGACATGAGACCAACATTTGGACACCAAATTTAGAAGGACATACTTGGATTTTGAAAAAACTTTGCATTTGGAAGTTTTCCTTCTAGGATTCATATGTCTATAGTACTTTACAAAACATTTCTCAACCATAGTATATAAAAAACAGGTAATGATTTTAAAATGAAAAAGTTAGAAGTTGTTTAGGAGTTTTTCAGTACAGTATCTTTTCACCTGACACATTGAAGTAATTGTTGATTTAGTAACAAAATAATAGACAAAATACTTGTAATTTCCAGGACTGTGCCTACCATTAGTAATCAATACACATATAATTTTACTCAAAACATCCAGAGACATTATATAAGCCTGAATTCAAACCTAAACACCAGTGTTAAAGCAACAGCACTCTGAAATCCAAAACTGTTAACCCAGCCTTCCCAGCAGCCTGTACTTAATGCAAAGTAGAAACACACAAATACTGCACAGAACTATTAAATGATTTTCCTGTCATGCGATTCCGAAGATTTGACCTAGGTGGCGCCAGAAGAATGTGAAAATAATTTTTAATGCTCTTGCTCTGTCTTTTGTAGGATAAAGAGTGGAGAGTTTGGCCAAAAATCGTCCTTTAGCCTGTCTGCTAATTTAGTTTAATTAGCTAACATTTACAATTGATTAGCAATATGGTAAAATTACTAAGGATCCATTTCTTTCCAGTGTCTGGTTACCCTTTTTTTGTCATGGCAATTTATTTATTTTATTTTTTGAAGTCTGAATACTCACTTTTTTCTTTTTATTGGGGGCTGAATTATATTTTTTCCCCTTTTTTTATTAGTGCAAAACATTACAAGAAAGAAGTGACATGACACAAATTGGTGAATAAGAGACACACACATGAAAAACAAAATAAAATAATGACATACTACAGTTATACATAAGTGAGGTAAAGTGGGTGTATGTGGGGTGAGGATTTTGGTGTTTGTGTGTGGTTTGATTACAATTATAAAATAAATAATACATTTGATTATTAATGTTAATTTGATTATGATGTTAAGAAAGCAGATACAGAAAAAAGAGGAAAACATCTTTAAGCAGAGAAGATCAAAAGTGTGAATTACCAATGGAGTATTATGATGAGTATATTGAATTTATGAAGAGTTGCCATATTGAGTCTTGAGATTTTGAGTTCTGGTTAGAGGAGGTGGAAAGTTTGTCTAGTGAGATATAGTCAAGGAGAAGGTTTTTTCAGAGTGTGATAGTTATGGAGTGTTTCAATTTCCAGTTCAAGAGGATTGTTTTTTTGGCGATAGTCAGCACCATGAGGAGTGATTTGCCTTTTTTCGGGTCTTAAATTGATTACTGAGAGATCTCCTAGGAGGCACAGTGAGGGGCATAGAAGGATGAGACAGCCCAGAGTATTAGTGAGTGATGTGGTGATTTCAGTCCAAAAGTGTTAAACAGGTGTGCAGTTCCAGAGGGCGTGAAGGTAAGTATCTTGTATGTTTTGGGAGCAGTGTCTGCAAATGTCAGATTGTGCTTAGCCCATTTTAAACAGTGTGTGACCTGTGAATTGAGCCCTGTAAATAAATTTGTATTGTATTAGCTGACAATATTATTAGCCATGACAATTGCCTTTGTCATGGCAATTCAAACTATAGCAGTCCTGACAAGTGGAGCACAGACTGTCCAATTGTTCACCAACCAAAACCAACAAGTTGAACAGTAATTCTTGACAAGTACTTTTACAACTCTAAGACCAGTTTAAATAACATCCCCCTTCCTAACCACATCTTTGTTACAGGGCAGTAAAGATATTGAAATCCTCTGATAGGGAAAACTGTTATCTTGAAAGTTCACATTTATTTTGAATGTTGCAGTGGACAGAGTTTTACAGTTATTGGCAAAAAATATTAAAATTAAAGGTTAATTAAATCAAAGGTTAAATTTGAATTTATGTAAACTCTGTCAGAAATGTAATTTTTGTAAAAATGGAATGAGCTGATGTAGTGATTTGTAGTCATGTAGTCAATATGTGTTCACACAGACCTCTAAAATCAGCATTTTTTTTTTAATAAATGTCCTATCCTATAGAAATTAAAAAAAAAAAATCATGTCTTATAAGATTTATCATTGCACACATACATTCAACTCCCCTTTTTTAAACATGCAGCACAGACCATAATTTAAGGGGATGCATTCGCTTAAAAAAAATAAAAAATAAAACCCATTTTCTGAATTAATGCTATAAGTATCTCTGAATTATGAGAGCATTTTTCATGAGGCAATAAAATTCTCCTCTGTTTGTCTGAGATGGCCACTGCTACCTCATGCCTCCAATACTGAGCTTTATATTGTATTCCCGTATTTCAGATTGTTTAAGACTTAAGCTCAACACTTAAAGACTTTTGATGCATTTTAACTGCACAAAGGTCCTGTGACACATGCAGCTGCAGGATTACTTAAATGGTTCAGACTGTTGGACACTGTTCCCCTTGCCCACACATCTCTTCACACTTGGTTCCACTTACTCGACCATTATTAAGCCTTACTTTGGTGCTACTACAGTTTCTGTTTCCTTCTATGGCATAAACTCCGGTATGTTGATTCATCGCCATGGAAACAGGAAGACACCATCCCTGACAAAAGAGTGAACCTTTGGTCGGGGGAATGACCCTGCGAGGATCAGCTGTTTCCATGTTACCACATCATTATACTGTCTCTTCTTTCATTCAGTGAAGGGAGACGCACAGAAGTTTGAAACTGACTAAAATCCTTAAAAACAGCAAGAAGAATTTCGACATAAAGCATGGCTTGTTGTTATCCCTTATAAACAACAAAAATGCTTCACAAGATCTATTAGGAATCATTTCTACTAACAAGTTATTGAATAAGCTGCTGCAGCAATCAGATAGATGTTCAATTACACAATAATGCCTTTCTAAGCCTTTCTTAACCCTTTCTTTATTTCTGTGCACCAACAAGTCCATGAAGGTCACACGAGGCAGACCAAACTAAACCAAGGCATAAAGACCATAAAATTAGTGAGTCAAACAACAATAGGATGGGTAAAACAAAGATAGCATAGAAACAATTTTGCACAAGAAAGCCACTGTTAAAATCTGAATTAAGGAAATAAGAGATAGCATGTCAAAAACCATGCTTTACTTACGCTTTACATCCTTTAAGTAAACAGAGAAGAGACGGTTGTCCAACAAATACTTCATCAATCTGTTTCCAGCTTGAAGACTTCACATCCTGATGGTTCCTGGGAAGTACTAAGGCAGAGAGGATGTTCAGGTTATCCTCCACTTTGCTCATCGTGCAGCAGTGCTCATTCGTGTGTGCCCCTCTATTTAAAGAGAGAAGAAGAGGTGATCCTACCCCCCCCTCCCCCCACCCACACACACACACACACACACACACACACACACACACTCTCTTAGACATATCTCAGTTAGCATCATTCACAGCTTTAGCACATCATCTTCAGAAGCTTTAAGAAAATAATCATTTTTAGAGTGGCCTAAACTTTATCTAGTGCATGATGCTTTTGTAAAGGTTCATTATTCAGAGAAAACACCAAGATGTTATAAAGTCACACAGGATGCACTCATATATTTTTGCATCATTTGCAACACTTCACCTGCTGTTGACATGGCAGCTATTTTCTTACTGCTGTCAAGTTGTGCCTTGGATTTCTTAAATATGATGAACAAATTCAGAGGGAAAAGAAAGCTGCCACATAGATGAGGTGAGACTGATGTGCACTTTGACAGGATGCCCATACATGGAAAAAATTCTCAGCTTAAAAAGGAGTTTTACTGAAGTTATAGTGAGGTGGAGAAACTTCACTACTGCAGCTGCACTTTAGATTACTCTTCCCTGTGAGGTAAGATTTACAGTCACGGTCATAGTAACCCCATTTATAAGCTACTACTCTAAGCTAGGCTTGAGGGAGTAATAGCTTATGCAGTGTCTTACTTCATGTGTTTGATTATTTCGATAATCATTGCTTAAAGGAAGATAACTCACACAGTATAGATGCTGAGCATTTAATGCAGATAGTAACCTGAACCTCAAACAATGTAAAAAAAACACCTTACCTTGACAGGTAATGGGAGAGTGAGATTAATTGAGCAGAGTCAGTCTTTGTTTTATGTACAACCCCAATTCTAAAATAGTAGGGAGGCTGTATAAAGTGTTCATAAAAACAGATATTGGTGGCTTGCAAATAAGATTTTATCAATGTTTGCCTGACAAAGGATTTCAGCTGTTTTTTGTTTGAGGTCTCCATTGTGCTAAATGTTTTCAACTCCGTAGTTTTGTGCAGCCTCTCACTTAATACACAAATATACCATATATCTTACTATCTCGCTGTTCTGTGCTAATAAATTCTGCTACACCTGAAACAAACATTTATATAGATAAATTCAAAAAGACAAACCATCCATTAGTCTATCTAGATGTGGCCATGCTGTTTCTTCAAGCTGATGTTACTTCTTGAGGCAGTCGTTGTTTGATGAAGTATTCTTGGCAAGTTGCTTTGACTCATTAAAAGATGTGAGCTAAGTTCCTGTGGATAGTCGCCAGATCCTTCTATGATATCCCTCCTCACATTAATTTTACTATTCAGCAAAAAAATGCTTGTGGTATTTTTACAGATAAACTGAGTATTTTAAGATCAATTGTGAAACAATGAATGAAATCCGGTTTTGTTGAGGATTGTAATGATTTACATGGTGCTAGTGAATGTGTCTTGTTTTTATGTGTCTGTGTTCGAACTCCAGTGTCCTGCTACATCATTTATCCTCCTGTCACCTCCTGGAGTAGCAAAATGAAGTTTGACAGCGTTCTTACTGAAATCAATGGATTTGGAAAATTTCAGACAAAACTAGTTTTGATTCAAATATTCTCACGAATGACTTTACCATGTCACTTTCTGCTTAATAATTTCATGGCAGCTGTTCCTCCTCATCACTGTAACGTCTCTTCTCTGGACGATGGAGGCCTGTTTGAGAACTTAACCCTGGAGCAGAAACTGGCTGTTGGTGTTCCAGTACAAAATGATGGGACACCGCAGTCCTGTGTGATGTATTCAGAGCCACAATACCAACATCTATCAGGCTTCAACAGCAGTGAGGACGCACTTACTGTCCAGTGCCAGAACGGATGGGTGTATGACCACAGCAATTTTAAAACTACTTTGGCTACAGAGGTAAGAGTCTCCAGTGAATATTACAATGATGTTTCTTTGGACTTGTTTTATGGAGAAATTACAGACACTTGTGTATTATCAAAGAGAGTATTCTGCATTTCTTTTTATCAGACATTTTGAAACCAGTGATTTGAAAATTAATAGTAAAAAATTAAGATTGTGCCTAACAGCCAAATTTCAGCCTCTGACAGTTTAACTCCAATGATTTAAAGCTGTTGTTGGTTTCTTTGCAGTGGGATCTGGTTTGTAGCAGAAAGGGGATGAACAAGGCAACAGCCACCATTTTTTTCATTGGTGTGATGATAGGAGCCCCGTTATTTGGGTTCCTCAGTGACAGGTAAGTTGTTGATGAAATATTATCCATTTTAAGCGTCACTCTCAGTGACAAATGTCAGATATCTTGTTCACTGCCAACTCTATTGCACATAATTCCTTCATAAATGATCATCTCAGGCTTTAGTTGAGCAAAACTTTAGTATATTTATTTAAAAATATACTTTTTTTAAATTTACCACAATATTTATTTACTTGGATTTTTATGTCCTGTTAAATTCCTTTGTAGCTATATAAGTGTTGAGTTAAGTTAAGATGAGATGAACTTAAATTATCCCAAAAGGGAAATTCAATATTTTACTTTGCAATTATTTTTCTTTAAAAGAATTATTTAACAAAACAATCTGTCATGTTCAGTCACCTTGGTTCTTATCTGTTGGTAATATTCCGAAAAAAAATTTTTTCAAATGCATAAAATAAGAGAGCTGCTTTGTATGGATGCAAACCTGTGGCATAAATTTCAATAGCTTTCAATGCAATGAATGAGTCTAAGTATTTTATCTTTTGATTGCTAGGTTTGGGCGGCGGCCGCTGTTGTTGGTCTCCTATTTGTCATCCATGACGTTTGCTGTCCTGAGTGCATTCTCCACATCATATGTTATGTTTGTCATCATGCGATTTTTCACGGGGATGGCACTTGCAGGAATAAGCATCATTTCTATCGTGTTAAGTAAGTATTGCTCAAACAGTGCTAGCTGCTGGGATGGAGACAACAAGTCTCTGTGTACATTTATGGAGGGTTCTTGATCTGACCTTTCACCTGTGCTGATATTTCTCCAGATGTTGAGTGGTTTGATGTTAAACACAGGACCTTTTCTGGTATCATCATTAGCTTGGATTGGACTCTTGGAAACTGGCTCTTGACTGGAATTGCGTACTTTGTGAATGAGTGGCGGATGCTCATCCTTGCAGTCACCTCACCCCTGATAGTGTCCATCATTGCCTGGAGGTTTTAATATAGTTATAAATAAAGTCATTACAAAGGCCTATTTTTTATTTTGGGTAGCTTTAGAAGTGAGATAATCCTAAACCCTCCATATTTCTGGCTTCAGGTGGCTTCCAGAATCGGCAAGGTGGCTTCTTGCCAACGGGAAAGCAGAAGCTGCTCATCAGTACATCATGAAATGTGCTGAAATAAACAACAGATCCAAGAGTATGGCCGCTCTCACGCCGAAGGTACAATTTAATACTGTGTGAATTTAAACCAAACAGTTATGGAGAGGAAGAACTATAGTCATGTACAGAGGTGCTCTGAATTTACTTTTTCTTCATTCTGCTGTCCTGCTCTCTCAAAGGCGTTACTAGATTCTGCACAGATTGAAACCGTAGATAAGAAGTACACTGTGGCAGATCTGTTCAAGACCCCTAACATTAGGAAGATCTCTGTATACGCTGGGATTGTGTGGTAAGTATCAATGTTATTTAATGATTTAACAACATTGTTGGGCATTTTAGGAAATACACTTGTTTGTTCTTCTAAAACTGAGATCAATACCACTCTCAAGTGTCCTTAAGCTGATCCCAAGAGGCAATTACTCATTAATCCAGCTCATTATCAATTTTTAAAAAGTTAGGATAGCACCACTGAGACACAAAATGTCAATAAGTAAGCCTCAGAAGTACATCTATCTGGATTTTAACCTTTGGACAGATCCAGGTTGTGTTCCCTTGTTTCTGTTGTTTTTATAACGCTTAGATAATTATTGCTGCGTCTCAGCTCTCTAGTTGATGGTAATGTGTTTTTATGTCATCTCTAGTGGATCTTTGCCATGTCATTTAAGTCAAAGCCTCACATTATCTGCTCTTATGTTTGGAGCATTCTCCTATTCCAAAAAGTGTCTTTGCTCTGGGCATTTACCAGGTATGGAGTTGCGTTTACTTATTATGGGATAAGTCTGAATATTTCTGGGTTTGGACTGAACCCCTACCTCACACAGTTGATATTTGCATCAATTGAAATGCCAATGAAGATCGGTCTGTATTTCTTCCTGGAAAACATCGGTAGAAAGGCTGGGGAGGTGTCCGCCCTGCTGACGACTGGTCTCTGTCTATTCATCAACATTTTGATCCCATCGGGTTAGTTTTAGTTTCAATGAAATCCAGTGATTTGGTCGAATTGCATTCAGCTTTGTTTTCATCGTATTTTTAAAAATTTTCATTGTGACATGCGAATATACTCCTTCAGGTCAGTGGATTGCTCATACTGTTGTTGGAGTCATTGGAAAAGCAATGTCAGAAGCTTCATTCACAATTATCTTCCTCTACTCGACTGAACTCTTCCCTACAGTTGTGAGGTTAGTGTACAACAAGCTAATTTTGACTACAAATGTTGTGTCCATGTTCCTCAACTGTAATTTAACCTCTGCACAATGACTTCACAGACAGAATGCTCTAGGCTACACATCGTTTTTGGCACGGCTGGGTGTCTCTGTTTCCCCGCTCATCCTTCTTTTAGAGGACGTGTGGCATCCCCTTCCGGCAGCCACGTACTGTGCTGTTGCAGTAGGCTCCGGTTTAGTGGCTTCACTCCTGCCTGAAACACTGAACACTCAGCTGCCACAGCACATTGAAGACATTGAGAAACCAAGGTAAAAAAAAGAAACCTGTCACAGCAGGATTGGATGTAACTCATTATAAAAGTTACAGTCAACGATTGGCCTTGTTACTGCTAAAGAGTAATCCAGTCAACCCTGCAAAGGCTTGTGGGATACTCTCAATCGGACGTTCTAAGATAAGACGAGAAGATATCTTGAACATTTTACCTAAGATCTTGCTCAGAAATGAACATTTTTTATCCATAAGCTTGAGATGAAAATAAGATATTTTAAATTCCTTTTTTAAACACAGCTACCCTTGTATGATGAAATGATCTGTTATCTCTGTTACAGGGTGCGATCAACAAGAAAGGACGAAGTTCATTAAAATCACATTCTGAGGCCACGATAACGAAACATTGTTGAAATCTTATTGCTGTTTGAATCACAAGAAATAGTGGAACATGGTCTGTTCGCAGTTGTGATTTTGAAATATTCACTGTCTTAATAATCAAGAAGGCAGGAGAAGAAACCAAAGAGCTGTGTGGCTGTGAATTAACTTGCAATTGGCAATAAAGTGGTAGCCTACCATATAAAAATGTTTTGTCTGAATGGCATTTTATGATGGTAAACTGAACTGAACTGTAGTAGTGATAAGTGTAAATCTTATTCTAGTTTTTGGTCTTAACAAAATGCTCAAGCACATTATGTAACAAAAATATTATAATCTAATGGCAAGAAACTTTTAAGCTCTGAGTGACTCAGCTAAAGATATTGATGAACATGTGACAAGAATGAAAGAATAAAGGCCATATACAGACAATGGACGGAGGGTTAACTCCAACTTGTTGCCTAATTTCTGTAATATATGCAGAAGGACACAACCAAAAATGTGCTGACTTATTAGGCCTGTTAATGTTACCTAAATAAAACTCTCTGGACTTACATGTTTTCTTCTTTTGTTTATTATGCATACAATTTCATATTGTATCATAACAACTGTGAGTGAAATTATCATTAATGTGCCTGATGGTTTGTTGTGTTTTATGATAAACAATCCAATGTATACCTTTTTTTCTTTGACAAGACAGAAGCCTAAAGCCCGACCAGCAGCTCTGTATTCTGCCCTTAAAGCTGTGGTTCTCAGGGCTGAATAATAACATTAGCATGCTAACATGCGCTTGCTAACAATGCTAGCATGTAAAAGCTTGGCATTTTAAAATAAAGCCTTCAGTTAGCCTCGAGTATGCTTGCATCCAGTTAACAGCAGTTAAGACAGAGCTCTGCTGAGGCTGATTACTAAGGTCATTAATTATACATGTAGATGTCACGTCACATAAAATGAGCATGAAAAAACTTTGACAGGTGGAGCTACTAGCTTAGAATATAAATACTGACTGCAACTAAAGTCATTATTTGTAGTATTATGTGTACTTTCACATGTCTGTTACAAAGCAATGCCATACAAATTGATATCTTTTGACACAATATATGATACAATACAATACCCTACAAAACCATATAATACAGTTCATCCCAGTATTTTTTATAAAGGCATTATACAATACAAACAAAAACCAAACTTTACATGCAGAATATTTCACATGACTAATATTGGACATCTGTGTTTGATTGATACTTCATATTAAAAGTATTGTGTGTTGAAAAACTAGACTGTATATTTCAAACAATACTTGACTGTAATCCATTAAGTAGTTATAACGATATTTTGGAATAATACAAAATGTATCTGTTGTAGAAAATGAATGTGCCAGATTTCACAGGTTGTGGAGTACATCTTGAAGATGGTTTGAGGGTTTGACTGTATTTTCTTCCACCTTGATGTATTTAACCTTAGATAATTATCCCCTCCTCAGTATTTACTCAGTGTTAATATGCTGCATTGGGTTAGAGAAGTTCTTTACACATTCACATATTCTTTCAGCTGACCATTGACCCAAGGTGAGCAAAAGGCTGGTAAGTCCCTTTCAAACATGATTACTTTGTTTATTGGAGGTGCAGGAAGATTCCCTTCTTAGAAACATCTTTTTTTATTGATAGAGTTCATTATCATTAATTAACAAGATGAAGTTTGAGAATATACTTGCTGAGGTGGACGGCTTTGGAAAATTCCAAATAAGGACGATCCTCTTGATGGTTATTCCTCGTATTTCTTTACCACTTAACTTTTTACTAAATAACTTCATCGCTGCCATCCCTCCTCACCACTGCGACATCAGCTCCCTGGATGATGGAGGTATTTTCAGGAATTTATCCCAGGCAGAAAGGCTTGTTGTGAGTATACCTGTACAGGAGGATGGGACTCAAAGCTCCTGTCAGATGTTCACTGAGCCTCACTACCACCTGCTGCTCAACTCCTCCAACATCACTGAACTACAGAGTGTGCCATGCCAGGATGGATGGGTGTACGACAACTCCACCTTCAAGTCTACTCTGGCCTCAGATGTAAGATTTGTTTTTCTGTATACAGCAATTCAAAAAAAGCCACTTTGTACCTGACTTTTCTGTGTAATGTCTGTGTTTTTCATACAGTGGGATCTGGTTTGTGATAACAGAAGAGCGAACAGGGTCACCGCCACCATTTTCTTCATGGGGGTCATGGTTGGAGCAGCAGTGTTTGGATATCTCAGTGACAGGTTTTGTTGTTTTTAAATAGAATCAGCTTTAGGTTTTATTGTGAAAAAGGTTTACATGTTTCAGATGGATCTTTAGGCTTTTGGTGATTAACAGTCATCTGAAAAAATCAACGCCTTGTATTAAGGTCCTTGTAATTAGCAACGATTAGAAGTTAATCAGCTACTCATGAGACCTTAGAAGATCCTTATAAACATAAATTAAGTGTTAATAAGTAATAAATGTGAATTACACATTAATTGTTGATTAGACAAAATACTTTTGAGTGTCTTTAAGGTTAAAAACTGTTAAAATGTCTTTCATTCATATAACCTGTATGAGCCTTTTATTTTATAACTAACATTTGTTACTGATTGAATGCCCCTTTGCTAGCACTCACTAGAATCTAAACAATTTAAAGACCAATTATTAACTTTGATTTGATTCTACATAACTTAAAAGGATTATAAATGGTTGAGATTAAAGCGTTGCACTTATTAACAGCTAACAATGCTCAAGATCACAATAAGGCATCCTTTGTGAAAAAAAATTAACATGTTAAAAAAAACCTTCTTAAGACACTTTTTAACACTTATTAATGTTTATGAGCATTTTACAAGGTCTTTAAAGTGACTTTTGCCATTTTTTAAGTTATTTCATTTTTTCTCCCTCAGGTTTGGAAGGAAAACTATGCTCCTGGTGTCGTACATAGCGACCGCCATCTTTGGAGTTGCCAGCACTTTTTCCCATAACTTTGCCATGTTTGCTGTCATGAGGTTCCTCACTGGAGTAGGGATATCAGGAGTCAGTATAATTACCATAGTCCTGTGTGAGTTTTTCTGCATACTTTGGTCTGTCATTTTTAAAATAGACAACAAAGAAGAGGTATCCGTAAATTGACACTTGTAAATAAATTGTTAACTTTAGCATTTAATCGTTAAGTCTGTTTGAGCAGATCTGAAATATTAGCATATTTTCAGGTATTGAATGGGTGGACATTAAGCATCGCACTGCAGTGGGTGTTTTAATGAGCTTGGATTGGAGTTGCGGTACTGCTCTACTTCCTCTTATTGCCTATTTTATAAGGGACTGGAGGTACCTTACTGCCACAGTCACCACTCCACTGTTTCTGGCAATAGTCACCTGGTGGTAAGGATGAAAAAAGTAATGGTTGAGATTTCATTGACCGTCATTTCAGTGGTGTGATTTGCAGAAACATAGATGAAAAATCCTCACTTAGATGTCTATGTCACAGGTGGCTTCCTGAATCTGCCAGATGGCTGATAAGCAATGGAAAGGTCCAGAGAGCTCATTTTTACCTAAGCCAGTGTGCGCAAATGAATTGCAGGGAGCAGTTCATGGCTGACCTGAAGCCTGAGGTACAAAATCCTGGGTTGTCCTATCAGGCTTTTGAGATATTAGACAATGCTTTACATCTAAGGGCATCACATATCACAAAACAGGAATCACATTTGCAAAACTGAACACAAGATACTGTGTATGATTACCAGTAAATTAATAAATTTTCTGAACATTTTTGGTCTGTTATAAATAATTCAACCAATTTTCTCTTCCGTTCCCCAGGTTCTGTCCAAAGTGATTCTTGTAGAAAATGACAAAAGGAAATATTCTTATTTTGACCTCTTCAGGACCCCTAGATTGAGGAGACTGGCTTTTCTTACTGGCATTGTGTGGTATTTATAATTTTGAATATTTAAAAAAAAATTTGTCTCCTATAAAATAGATGTTAAATATTTTAATATTTGAAACGAATTGTAGTCCTATCAACCTGCTACCCAGGCATTTAAATAAACAAACACAGAAAAGAGGAGGCTGCAAGAACACAATAAGTCAGACTTAAGTTTGAGAGTACAACAATGCACTTAATGGTGTCCTTGTTTCAATAAAAGACGGATATCAAGAACGAAGGACTTCAACCTGGTATTTCAACTTTGGTCTTCTTTTTTACATAGTTCTTCGAAGGGTTAATAAAGGTAGGTAGGTAGACAGACAGACAGACTGACAGATAGATTGCACAGACAAGGTTGTTTCTGCCAAAGACTACTAAAAATACTCCAATGTCTTTGTTAAGTTCCTCCATATTTCTGTTTAAGAAAGGTCTTGAATGTACGGCTTTTAATACAGTAATTTGAGATAAGATATTCCTTTATCATCCCACAAGGGGAAATTCCATGTATAAGTGTTGTTATTCTTGATTTAGCAAAAGATCTGAATGTTTTTTTCAACTCTTCAATACACGCGCATACTGTGCCTTAACACCATGCAATGTTAGACAGACTTTAGATGAAATGTAACTTATGATGCAAAACCGCAGTTTAACTTTAAACCATCACAGATTCCTATCAACAACACCAGCCAGCCAACAGGCAGCAAACATTTTTGAGGCTAATGTGTAACTTTTTGACCTGTTTTTCTGTCTTTCATAGGTTTGCAGTGACCTGCACTTATTATGGCATCAGCTTAAATGTGACAGGATTTGGCGTGAACATTTACCTCACACAGTTCATATATGGTGCTTCTGAAGTTCCAGCAAAACTGTTCATATTTTATGCCTTAGACAAAATTGGTCGACGGTTAAATCAGGCTGGAACACTCTTCATGACCGGACTCTGTATCCTCTGCAACATGTTTATCCCAACAGGTGACTGTGAACAAATCGTATGATCTTACATACACTTGGTATTTGGTATACTATATTGTCAAAGTTACAACACTAAAATTTCACATTGTGTCTTTTAATACGAGGTGAGATAAAAGATATTATTTCCCTTTCTTTCCAGACAAATGGAAGGTCAGGACAGCTGTGGGGGCTCTGGGAAAGATGTTTGCAGAGGCAGCTTTTACAACTATATTCTTGTACACAACAGAGCTTTATCCCACCGTAATGAGGTAGGAAACTTATACAACACTTCTTTCTTCATAATAACTGTAATTGAACCCTGGATGTGATTGTTCCCGGTTGCTTATATCCTATCTATTTTTGGCTACACAGGCAAAATGGACTAGGTTTCTGTTCCTTCATAGCTCGATTAGGCGTATCAGTATCTCCTCTCATCATGGTACTTGAAGAAGTGTGGGGTCATTTACCAAGTACCATTTTTACCCTGGTGGCTTTTGTTGGTGGGCTGTCGGCATCTTGTCTTCCTGAGACAAGCAATGTTCGTTTACCAGAGACTATTGAGGATGTGGAACAGACCAGGTATTGTGACCTTAATTTGGCTTCATTTCAAACATTTGATTGAAAGTGAAGCAGTAATTAGCAAATGTGTGTTTTGTGTTTCAGGAGAAGATCAATCTCCCCATGTGAAGAGAAATCCCAACTTTAAGAAGACTGCACTGTCGAATTACTGAGAATTGACGTTGGTAACTGTTTTGGAAAAAATAAAAAAAGACAAAAACAAGCCAATACTAATCAATTTTTAAACCCCATCTGGTTAAGGTAATGTAATAATGTCAAGAAGGTTTGAAGGATAATATTATTTGTTCCTAAATGATCACAAACGAGATCAAAGTCTGAGTCTGTTAAACAGCTTTGTGGGATTGTATCATACATAGTGACGTTTGGGGCTTGATGGTGATGCTAGCATGGTAATGAGCTCTTACTATCAATGCTAACATAAAATTTAGGACTGATATCCATAATCATTCACAGTATTTTTGAACTACGATATGATATGCTGAGATACGATCAATCAGCCCCACTTAAATAAGTGTTGTTAACTAACAAACAATAGAAAGCACCACAACCCGCATGTACACAGAAAAGACATACCCACCAAGGGCCACAAACTATACAATATATGAAACACATCACCCAAATTAGACATTTTTGTGTCATTGATCTTTTATATTTGAAGTACTTTGTGTAAAAATTGACAATGATTATTCAATAATTTTGGGTAGTGCTGTAAATTGTGTCACCAGCCTGTTTTTAATTGGGCTATCCCATTGTTCGATTAAAATGTATGAAAATTTCTTATAAATAAAAAGTTCTTTCAGCCTAAACATGATGTCATCATTAAATAAACAGATCTGTGAACAATGGCTCTCCAAAGTCATTAGAAATTCAGCAGGGAGACCTCCAAATTCAGTAATAATAGCCTAGAATTGGGTTATGACAACAGAAATTTGACAGTGAGTCAAGTGGTTGTCTAGCTGTAGTTGTCATTTAGAAGACACTATGTTTCTCAAAATAAAAGTAGACCAGCTGTTCCTTTTAAGTAATCAAAGTAAATGTGTCCATGGATTTGTTAAAACTGTTGTAACAGGCCCAGTTTAAGAGGCCCTATATACATTAACAAGTAGTGCTGTACATAAAGCTTTGACTGAAATGAATAAAATCATTTTATATTCATGGTTTGTAATTTAATTATTAGTACACATTGAGGAGATTCAGAATGTACCTTCAGAATTATAAATAACATTTTCTATTTGGTAAAAATTGGAAACATTTTGGAAAAAAATGCCCTGTACTAAGTACATGTTTTCATGTTATGATCTAATCCAAACTGTTCAGGAATGTCATGGTGTGATTTTTCTGTCTTTGGTTTGAATGTATGTGTCCTAAGATTACACTTTAGACAATATTTCTTCCTCAGTATTCACTAAATATTAATCTACCTTGTTCAGTGACCACATTTCTTTACACATTTACATATTCTCAGCTGACCATTGACCAGCAGCATTTTAACAGTGTTCAAAAGGCTCATCAGCCCTTTCCAAACATATAAACTGGTGTTCTTGAAGCTGTCTGTCTTAGCTTTCAGTCATATTTGAAAGTGTTGCATCATTGGTTAACAAGATGAAGTTTGAGGACGTACTTGCAGAAGTTAACGGCTTTGGAAAATTCCAAATAAGGACAGTCCTGCTGACAGCGATCCCTCGTATTTCTTTACCTCTTCACTTTTTACTAAATAACTTCATCGCTGCCATCCCTCCTCACCACTGCGACATCAGCTCTCTGGATGATGGAGGTATTTTCAGGAATTTATCCCAGGCAGAAAGGCTTGTTGTGAGTATACCTGTACAGGAGGATGGGACTCAAAGCTCCTGTCAGATGTTCACTGAGCCTCAGTACCACCTGCTGCTCAACTCCTCCAACATCACTGAACTACAGACTGTGCCATGCCAGGATGGATGGGTGTATGACAACTCCACCTTCAAGTCTACTCTGGCCTCAGATGTGAGATTTGTTTTTGTGAGATATGAGCATTTAATTATACCAAATAAGCCATCTTATTCCTGATCTATTTTGTGTGTTTTCCATGCAGTGGGATCTGGTTTGTGATAATAGAAGGGCGAACAAATTTGCTGCCACCATTTTCTTCACAGGGGTCATGGTTGGAGCAGTAGTGTTTGGATATCTCAGCGACAGGTGTTTCAGAATTAACCATCAACCCCATTACATTGACTTGAAATCAGAAATCAACCTTTTTTTAAGTTGATCTTATTTTTCTCTCACAGGTTTGGCAGGAAAACTATGATCCTGGTGTCATACATAGCGGCCACCGTCTTTGGAATTGCCAGTGCTTTTTCCTTTGACTATACTACGTTTGCTGTCATGAGGTTCCTCACTGGATTAGGACTATCCGGAATAGGTTTTATCACAATTGCCATTTGTAAGTGCACTGTCAGGATTTTTGAGAAAAATAACTAGCAAATGTGAATTTAAGCATGTCATGATAAACCTACTCTCCTCAGGTGTTGAATGGGCAGACATCAAGCATCGTGCTGCAGTGTGTGTTTTGACAAGTCTGGACTGGAGTTTTGGACTGGCTCTTCAGTCTGTAATTGCTTTTTTTGTGAGAGATTGGAGGTACCTGACTGTTATAGCAAACATTCCACTTTTTCTGGCAATAGCCACTTGGTGGTAAGGACTTGTTGAGATTCCAGTGGTTCCCATTTTTGCAGTGGGGTTTGTGAAGACTAAGATAAGAAATCATAAGTTGATATTTAATGACTTCATCACAGGTGGGTCCCTGAATCGGCCAGATGGCTGATAAGCAATGGAAAGATCCAAAAAGCTCATTTTTACCTGAGTAAGTGTGCACAAGTGAATGGCAGAGAGCAGTTCATGGCTGACCTGAAGCCTGAGGTATGTTGTGTGTTATCTCATCAGACTGACTTCATTACCTTTCCCCTTAAATATTACCAAAACAAATATGATGTTCTTCTAATATGACCCATGTTCACTCTTTGAATCGGAACCCTTTAAAGCCTTACATTATCTGCCCAAGATAGTGATTATTACCCCAATTTTCACTGCATCCGGAACGGCGGTAATTTTCACCGTCCGCCACGTCTGACCGGATCGGTTTGTGAAGCGAATTTCATGGCGGATTATGGACAGCCAGTTTCCATAACCAAGGATCAGGCCGCCAAGGCTCCCGCCTTGGTCAGCCGCCCAATCCCTCAAGCACCGGACCCTTCATGTTCCTCCTGCGAGTGGTGTGTCCACTGGAGATGGTGCCCATGTGGCCCCACAGGGCCCGGCCACCAGATGCTCGCCAACAAATCCCAACCCCGGGCCTGGCTCCAGGGTGGAGCCCTGGTGTCCCTCTGGGCTGGGTACACTTTTTCCCTTTGTTCTTCTCCATGAGGGTCTTCTGAACTGTTCTTAGTCTGACCTTTCACCTAGGACCAATCTGCCTTGGGAGACCCTACCAGGGACAAAATGCCCTGGACAGCATAGCTCCTAGGTTCATTAGAGCACACAAACTCCTCCACCACGGTAAGGTGACAGTTCAAGGAGGAGTCCACATCAAGAGGAGTCAGCTGAGATTGCTCGGATATCTGGTTAGGATGCCTTCTGGACGCCTCCTGTTAGAGGAGTTCTGGCATGTCCCACCGGGAGGAGACCCTGTGGCTGGCCCAGGACCAGGTGGAGGGACTATATCTCTTGCCTGGCCTGGGAGCGCCTGGGAATCCCCCCGGAGGAGCTGGTGGAAGTGGCTGGGGTGAGGACCGTCTGGGCTTCCCTCCTGAACCTGCTGCCCCCGCGACGCGGTCCCAGATAAGCAGAAGTAAACGACGACAATGATTATGGACAGCAGGAATTGCAAGAACTCACAAGAACCCGCGGATTCATGTGCAATCGTGCGATAACAAGTTGTCTTTAGCCACATAGGGTATCCATATTAGCAGTAGATTGTGTCCTCCCAGAGGAGGAAATCTACTTCTAGACTTAAGCAACCAGCATCCTCTATCCATGTTGTCATCGGGATGAAATGCTGTCTATAAACCTCTTACTTGTTCGTCCCCACCCGTTTGCATGGTGTGAAATACGATCCGCCTGAAACACAGTGTTTTATTTTGAAAAGAAGCTGGATGTTTTATTTTGTGTCTGTGCCCCACTTCCTTTCCAGTGCGGGTTAATCTGTGCTGAATTTATCCGGCATGCTCCGGCTTCTGGAAAAATAGAACTCTTGTAAACAGCTGTGGAGTCCAGGAATCCACAGCGGAACCGAAAGAAACCTGTGAAAATTGACCCACTGACTTGAATGGTTACGATCAGCTGCAATTGGCAGATATGGCCTTTTCATAGCCATTCCAGATGCAGTGGATATTGGGGGTTAGTACTGTCTCAAGAAGTTGTCATGGATATTTTTACATAGCACACACTGTGATTCTTTTCTTGACACTAATTTTTTTTTTTTTTAACCAAAATTATTACTTCTTTGTCTGTATGAAACTTAACTGGAAATGTGACTAAAGGTTGTCATTTTTTTTCCAGGAATGAGGATACATTGTACAATTGATAATTATATCTGAAAAATTGTCTATAATTTTCATGTGAACAACAGTATAGAAATACATTGATCTAATTATCTCTAGTTTGTAACTGACACCTGCTGCAGTGTTAAATTATTGTTTCTATTCACCAGGTTCTGTCTAATGTAATATTGGTAGAAAATGACAAAAGGAAATACTCCTATTTGGACCTCTTCAAGACCCCCAGGATGAGGAAAGTGGCTCTGCTAACTTCCACTGTGTGGTATTTATGTTTTTCTATTAAAGTAACTACATTATGATGGTTAAATAACTGAAATAAAGGATAATCTGTACAGCCCACTGTCTAGATAACCACTCAGCCTTAACCGTAAGATACAACACTAAAAAGAGTCCTGAAAGAGAGGAATTACCCGCTCATGGCTAATTTTTTTTTTCTTCTTTCGATGGTACAATTTCAACGATTATTTTCAGTTTGATGATTTCATTTTGCAGTGAAATTTGACCCAATAACTAGAAAATAATTGGACAGCCAGTTTAGCTGAAGTTTATGTAAGATTTATGGTACAGGCAGACAATTGCAGACATTTTAAGTACAATGTATGCCTTGTATCAAAAACACCTCTTCTATTTCATAGGTTTGGAGTGGCCTGCACTTACTATGGAATCAGCTTAAATGTGGCAGGATTTGGAGTTAACATTTACCTCACGCAGTTCATCTTTGGGGCTTCAGAAGTTCCAGCAAAATTTTTTGTCTATTTCTCCTTGGACAAAATTGGCCGACGGTTAATTCTGGCTGGGACAATCTTTATGACCGGACTGTGCATCTTCTGCAACATGTTTATCCCTTCAGGTGATCAATTCATGCCTGTGCTACTGGCATTTCTACACTTCCGATTTTGATATCAAACATAAGAAAAAAGGTGTAATAAATTAAACATTGGATGTTGTGGCTGTATAGTGCCTCTGACACTTTACCAAGGTAAGGGTTTGTATATGTTCACACAATTCAATTATCTGTTTCTCAGAGGTTCCTCAAGCCTTATCTTGTACTTATGACATTTTAACAGAATTCATAGTTTTGCTCACAAACTAAAAAGTTATTTGGAATTGTGTCTCTTTATTCTGATAACAACAACAATAACTGGCTAAACCCACAGGATCCGGTACAGCCCCGCTCTGGTCCAGACCGGCAGGCGGATCAGATTCGCAAGCATACAGTGCCCACTGGATCCGATCTGCCGCCGCCATCAAAGGAGAAGTGCTCGCGAGATTACTGCTATTTCAAGACTGGACGAGATCTTGCAAGCGCTTGTGTGTTTCCTCAGGAGTCATAGACTGAGATCCGCCGATTGGTGTATATAAACGGCGGTGTATATAAACACCCATATCCCACAACCCTGGCCTCTCCTATTATCAAGTTAAGAACAGTTCAATGTATTGACTTTATTTTATTTTGAAAATTAACCGGATACTTTTCTGTGAGGGAAGGGGTGGGCAACCATGAGCCATGGAGGGCCGAGAGGCTGCAGGTTTTCTTTCCAACCCAAAACTCCACCAGGTGATTTCACTGATTACCTTACCTCAAAGAAGAGAGCAGGAACTAATCAGTGAAATCACCTGGTGGAGTTTTGGGTTGGAAAGAAAACCTGCAGCCTCTCGGCTCTCCATGGCACATGATTGCCCATCCCTGCTGTAGCGGCATACAACTTCCGCTGCTGCTCGTGTTGCGCTGCACTGAATTGATGCACTGTGCTCCAGCATCCAGGAAAAAAAGGAGGTTTTGCGTATCTGATCCAGCTGCCAGAGCTGATCCGCAACAGAGCTGGACACTGGGCAGATTCTGTGGAATAACTCACATTGATTAAAATGCTTGCGGATTTGATCCACTGGCCGTGCCGGGGCGGAGAAGAGCCGTTTCGGATCCTGTGGGTTTTGCCCATAACAAAACACTTTTGGTCTATCACAGCCACATTTTTTCTTACCCATTGTCATTTTCAAAGACCTTCCTTCTGCAGAGATCCAAGCGCTCATTAGCAATTCGCTTCTAAGTCATGGGCGGAGACAGCGCTGCTCTGCACACTTCTCTTCATGCCAGCTTGCAGCCTAACATTCCTGGTGTAGTAGTAGTAGCAAGTAACATAGGAGCTATTCAGCTCTTGAACACTAATGTCTTTGGAGGAAGGATAAAAGCTAAGTTCTTACGAGCATTGCAATCTCCTTCTGCACATGCTTGTTCCGCGATCGTCCTCTCTACTTTTCCCAGTGTGGCCTGCATAGCAGGGCTCTGGGGGCGGAGCTTATATTTGCTACATAGGAAATCTCACTGAAACGGAGTCTGCCATTTGGGTCTGCCAGAGATAAACAGCGATTTGAATGCAGAAATACTCAGAAATCAAATTTTGCACTTAGCTTTCTCATGATATGTCCTGTAGCAAAAATGCCATATGAACATAGACAACAAGAAAAACATTTTCCTCGGAGTGGGTCTTTACGATCCAGCTGTGATCTAGTTGGTAATGTTAAACTTGGTGAACCACAATTACTCAGCTGGAAATCAACATAGGATACATGTGCTCATGTGCATAAAATAAAAATCCCATCAAGTTATGAGATAATCCCAAATCCCAAAAATTTTATATTCCAGATATGGGGATATTCAGGACTGCTGTGGCTGCTTTGGGAAAGATGTTTTCAGAGGCGGCCTTTACAACAGTATCTCTGTTCACAACGGAGCTTTATCCCACTGTAATGAGGTCAGTGATCTCTTTTATATACAAGTTTTAACCGTGTACATTTACAATCAATGTTGACTGAGTTTAAGTTATATCCTATATCTTGTGTATTTTTGGCCACACAGACAAAATGGACTGGGTTTCTGCGCTTTTTTCGCTCGAATAGGTGTATCAGTTGCACCTCTCATTATGGTTCTTGAAGAAGTATGGGGCCATTTTCCGGGTACTGTTTTTACTCTGTTGGCTTTTGTTTGTGGGATGGTGACTTTATGTCTTTCGGATACAAGCAAAGTTCCTTTACCAGAGACGATCGAGGATGTGGAACAGACCAGGTATTTGGAGCTTTGTTAGTACTGCAGCCGTAAATTTTAATGAGAGTTTCACTTAAAAAATGATTTAAAAATGTCTTTTGTGTTTCAGGAGAAGATCAGTTACTTCATCTGAGGAGAAATCCCAGCTTTAAAAACATTGCACCGCTGAATTATAGAGAATTGATGATGTTAACTGTTATGCAAAATAAAACAAAAAGTTATAAAAACAAGCTATTACGAACTTGTGGATGAATAGTGAATTAAAAAAGAGAAAAAACTGGATGTTTCAATTTTTAAACCCTTTCTGTTTAAGTTAATATAAGACTGACAAGAAGGTTTGAAGAATAATATTATTTGTACCTCAATGATCACAAACGTGATCAAGGTCTGTTAAACAGCTCTGTGAGACTAGGATACAAATTATACAATATGATACGATATAAACAATATCATACATTACGATATGATACAATACGATATGATAAAATATGATCAACTAGCCCCCAAAATGACAGTTGAACTTGAGGGCTTTTTTATGAAAAAAAAAACAATAAAAACACAACAACCCACATGTACACAGAAAAGACAGACCCACCACAAGCCTATACAATATACAAAACACATCAACCATATTGCACATTTTTGTGTCACTGATCTTTTTTATTTGAAGTACTTGGTGTAAAAATTGACAACAATATTTCAACAATTTTTGGGTAGTGATCTAAATTGGGTTCCTTGGAAGTAATCAAAGTAAATGTGTCCATGGATTTGTTATAACTGTTGCAACAGGCCCAGTTTGAGAGGCCCTTTGTACATTAACAAATAATACTGAACATAAAACTTTGACTGAAATGAATAAATTCATATTAAAATTATGGATTGTTGTGTCATTATTCATTAGTACACACTAAGGAGATTCAAAATATAACTTCAGAAATATAAATAACACCAACATTTTTTTGGTAAACTTTAGAAACATTTTGAAGAAAATGTCATGTGCATCAAGTGCATGTCCTCAGTTGTACTAAGTATTTGTTTTCATGTTATAATCTAATCCAAACTGTTCAGGGAATGTCATGGTGTGATTTTTCTGTCTTTGGTTTGAATGTATGTGTCCTAAGAGTACACTTTGGACAATGTTCCTTCCTCAGTATTCACTAAATATTAATCTACCTTGTTCAGTGAGAACATTTCTTTACACATTTACATATTCTCAGCTGACCATTGACCAGCAGCATTTTAACAGTGTTCAAAAGGCTCATCAGCCCTTTCCAAACATATAAACTGGTGTTCTTGAAGCTGTCTGTCTTAGTTTTCAGTCATATTTGAAAGTGTTGCATCATTAATTAACAAGATGAAGTTTGAGGACGTACTTGCAGAAGTTAACGGCTTTGGAAAATTCCAAATAAGGACAGTCCTGCTAACAGCGATGCCTCGTCTTGCTTTACCTCTCCACTTTTTACTCAATAACTTCATCGCTGCCATCCCTCCTCACCACTGCGACATCAGTTCTCTGGATGATGGAGGTATTTTCAGGAATTTATCCCAGGCAGAAAGGCTTGTTGTGAGTATACCTGTACAGGAGGATGGGACTCAAAGCTCCTGTCAAATGTTCTCTGAGCCTCAGTACCACCTGCTGCTCAACTCCTCCAACATCACTGAACTACAGACTGTGCCATGCCAGGATGGATGGGTGTATGACAACTCCACCTTCAAGTCTACTCTGGCCTCAGATGTGAGATTTGTTTGTGTGAGATATGAGCATTTAATTATACCAAGTAAGCCATCTTATTCCTGATTTATTTTGTGTGTTTTCTATGCAGTGGGATCTGGTTTGTGATAATAGAAGAGCAAACAAAGCCGCTGCCACCATTTTCTTCATGGGGGTCATGGTTGGAGCAGCAGTGTTTGGATATCTCAGTGACAGGTGTTTCAGCGTTAACCAGGGGATTTTTTCAGGTTTCAATATACTCACTGTCAAAAAAACTCAAAGCTCCTGTGTGAAACTCCTGTGTGCTTCCAGTGATGATTGCCAATAGTCTCCCCTCTCGCTATCACTTTTACATAAAATCAGCAAACTTGCATCACACTTTGAGCCCTATAACAAGGACTCAGTGTGTGAGCAGAAGCTTATTTGTTCAAAACACATACAGTATATCACGTCAAGTTTTGTTTCCAGTAACCCATTACATCAACTCAAACTCAGAAGTAAACCTTTTTTTTTTAGTTGATCTTATTTTTTCTCTCACAGGTTTGGCAGGAAAAGTATGCTCCTGGTGTCGTACATTGTGGCTGCCGTCTTTGGAATTGCCAGTGCTTTTTCCTTTAACTATACCATGTTTGCTGTCATGAGGTTTTTCACTGGATTTGGAATATCCGGAATAGGTTTTATCACAGTTGCCCTTTGTAAGTGCACTGTCATAATTAATTACAGAAATAACCAACAGCTGTGAATTTAAGCATGTTATGATTATTCTACTCTGTTCTAGGTGTTGAATGGGTGGACATCAAGCATCGTGCTGTAGTGAGTGTTTTGGCAAGTCTGGACTGGAGTTTTGGAATGGCTCTTCTGTCTTTAATTGCTTATTCTGTGAGGGATTGGAGGTACCTGACTGTTATAGCAAACACTCCACTTATTCTGGCAATGGCCACTTGGCGGTAAGGACTTAACTTGTTGAGATTCCTGTGGTGCCTATTTATGCAGTGGGGTTTGTGAAGACTAAGACAAGAAATCTTAGGTTGACATTTAATGTCTTCGTCATAGGTGGGTCCCTGAATCGGCCAGATGGCTGATAAGCAATGGAAAGATCCAAAAAGCTCATTTTTACCTGCGCAAGTGTGCACAAGTGAATGGCAGAGAGCAGTTCATGGCTGACCTGAAGCCTGAGGTATGTTGTGTATTATCTCATCAGACTTTTTTCTTTCCCTTTTAATTACATCTTATGGTCTTGAGTTATTTTTGTGAAGTAGTATAGTAGTAGTATAGAAACATATTGATCTAAGTATCTCTAGTTTGTAACTGACACCTGCTGCACAGTTAAATTATTGTTTCTAATCATCAGGTTCTGTCTAATGTAATATTGGTAGAAAATGACAAAAGGAAATACTCCTATTTGGACCTCTTCAGGACCCCCAGGATGAGGAAATTGGCTCTACTTACTTGCACAGTGTGGTATTTATGTTTTTTATTTAAAAATAACTACATTATGATGGTTAAATAGCTGAAATTAAAATAATAATAGTAATCTGTACAGCCCAATGCCCAGATAACCACTCAGCCGTAACCTTAAGAAACAAGATAGGAACACAGTGGAAAACTGGGTCATTTGTAAGTTGTTGAAATACTGCACTGAAAAGTGTCCTGAAATAGAAATATATTTAAGTTTATTATGTACCTTGATTCCAAGAATTTGGGACATCGTGGGGAATTATGAAACTTGACAACTTAGCAGTCGTCTTTGCCATATCATTTATTGAGCCATTAATGTTGTAGATGGGTGACAAGCTGGGACTGCAGGTAAATCAATTTAGCACTCTTTAGGACTTTCAGACTGTTGATGGTACTGTACCACGGATGCAGAATGTGGTTTGGCACTATCTTGCTGAAATAAGTCTTCCATGGGAAAAGCATTCTCTGGATTGTGACTACTGTATGTTGCTCCAAAACCTGGTTTAGCATTAATGTTGCCTTCCTCATACCATCGCAGACACTGTATGCAGAAAATGAGACAAGTGGTCCCCCTCTACTTCAAAGGACACAGAGTCCATGTTTTCAGGAGAGAATGCCAAATTTTGATTTGCCACACCACAGGAAAGTTTTTCACTTGCCCTCAGTCCATCTTATACAGGTCAAGGCCCAGAGACATTGCAGGCATTTCTGGGTCATGTTTACCAAATGTCTTTTTTTTGGTCCATGGTACAGTTTTAACCTGCACTTTCAGTTTGATGACTTCACTTTGCAGTGTAAATCAACTCAAAAATATGAAATAATCTGACACCCAGTTTATGTAAGATTTATGGTACAGGCAAAAAAATTGCAGCCTTTTCAAGGATGATGTATGCTTTGTGTCTAAAACACTATTCTTCTATTTCATAGGTTTGGAGTGGCCTGCACTTACTATGGAATCAGCTTAAATGTGACAGGATTTGGAGTTAACATTTATCTCACGCAGTTCATCTTTGGGGCTTCAGAAGTCCCAGCAAAATTTTTTGTCTTTTTCTCCTTGGACAAAATTGGCCGACGGTTAATTCAGGCTGGAACACTCCTTATGACCGGACTGTGCATCTTCTGCAACATATTTATCCCTTCAGGTGATCAATTCACACCTCTGCTACTGGCATATCTACACTTCCGATTTTGATATGAGATATAAGAAAAAGGGTGTAACAAATTAAGCATTGGATGTTGCGGCTGTGTAGCACCTCTGACACCTCACTGAGGTGAGGATTTGTATATGTTCACACCATTCAATTATCTGTTTACCCAACCGATCGCACGTACAACGGGGGCCACGAGACCACGCGTTCCAGTGCCTGTGCAACCCAAAAAGACTCATCAGGCATGCAATATTTTTTTTTCATAGGATGGTTGGGGAAGGTCCCATGTCCTTTGCTTCTGATTGGCTAGAAGTGCTGGGCTTCGATTGGTTATTCCTCAGGGCTGTGAAACGTCATTGTCTGTCAGGTTAGGGTTAGGGTTAGGAGATTCAGAATTACAGTAATGTTTTGTAATGTTCTGTTCAATGTACAGAGCTGACAGTCCGTGCTCGGCTTGAGTGTCTGATGACGTTTCCAGATCTTTTAGCCAATCAGAAGCAAAGGAGGCAGGACCTTCCCCTACTATCCTATGAAAAAAAATATTGCATCAGGCACACCACCACACTGCACATCAGCTAACATGTTAGTGAGCTGCGTTCAAGGCAATGTACTTTATGCTTCTAACGTTGGCTAATCATTAGCTTGCTCACCTACCAATTGATTCCTGAAGGCAGAAGCTGGTACACAACAGTGCTTCACAAACTTAAATCTTAACAACACAATGAGGGTCTATATAATATGTTTACATACATTTTGTGATGCTTACCTCTCATAGTCATTACGTAATGACTGCAGCCTTTAGCCAGGAGGTTGTGTCGTCAGATGGTTACCAGAAGTCACTCTGTGTTTCAACCCTTAGCAATAACACCCTCCTGCTGGCGGGTCAGCAGTGGTGGCCAGCCACTACACACTCCCTCCTTGCTGCCAGTTTGCCTCCTCCCTCCTATTCCAAATCCAACTGGAGGCTCTCTCTGCCGCCTCCCCCAATCTTCGTACCACCTTCTTCTTCTCACTTCCTGTCAGTCTCACTGCTGTCAACAACTTCTGTAACAACTTCCAGGCTGATTGAGCTGGGAAGTCTCTATACCCTACCTCAATCAGGTACAACCATATCTGCAAGCCTTTCTCCTTTCAACCAGATCTCTGTAGCACTCAGATTTCCTCTTAAATGCCTCATCCCACCCCTCTTCCCAAGGCACAATAAGCTCCACAAGGATGATCTTTTTTCCTTCAGTGGAGAACAGGACTGCATCTGGACGAAGGGTTGTATGGACGACAAGATGTGTGCCATGGTCCCGTTTTTCCCGCAGAGTTTGCACATTGGATAGTCTCTCTCTTACCCCATCTGTGCAGATTCACTGGGGTTAGTAGGGTGTCATATATAGCCCTCAGCAAGAAGGAGATCCAGAATGGCTCAAGCCTCCATAGGTCTGACCATATCAGCTTCCTCTTTGGGAGGCTTCACCTTGTCCAGGCTCCCTGGGATCCTTGCTCCACCACTCTCGCCTTCCTCTGCTCTTCCTCTAGGTTCCGTATTTCATCCTGGACCATAGTTCTCCTCTCCCTTGGATTAGCTGTTCCCGACTTTTGAAAGTGGGTCATCCCCAGACCTTGCCTGCCTGTGCAGGGTGCTCCAAAAATGTCTCTGAGCTTGAGATTTCCTTCTACTTGTGCTGTAGAAGCCTCCCACTTCCATCCTGTTCTCGTTTTTACCCTGCTTCCTGGACCTTGCTGTCTCTCAAGTCTCTAATGGTCAGGGCAAGCCTGCACTTTGCCACCCTGTATTCCTCAGCAAGGGATGACAGTGGTAGTTGAAGTTGCCCTGATGTAGAGTCCGACCGATGTGAAACTTGGAGGGATTCCAAGCCACCTCCTAAGGTGCTTGTTGATCTTTCGCTCCACTCCTTCCACCGCTGTTAATAGGACTTCATACACAGTCATCAGCCACATCAGCCTGGGAAGAAGGCCATGTTGGTATAGCCATGCCTTAAACATTCCAGGGAGTCCAGATTTCTCGATTTTCTTCAGCCATCCTTCTGCTTGCTTCCCAGTGGGGTGGACATTTTTTATGATGGTCAGTGACTCATCATAGCACTTTCCCAGGCACTTGATGAGATTGTCCGTGATGGATGGAATGGCCTCGCCCTGTATGAGCAGATTATACTTATCTGTGATGTTACCCTTCCAGATAATCATGCTCCTTGATTTTTTTTGGCTTGAATGTCATCCTAGCCCAGGTTGCCACCCCACCAAGTTTTTTTTAACACCCATCCTGCCTGCACATGGGTAGGTGTTGTAATCGTCAGGTCGATAAACTCCCTTATCGCCGGTTGACGGACACCAGGGTGGTATAGGGATCCTTGATGAACTGGGCCCTCCTTTTCTCCTTTTCCTTGCTAAGTTTTCTTGTTCTTTCTGCCCTTCTTAGTCTGATGAAGCACTCCGAAGACTGCTTGTGAGCTTCTTTAACCCTTCTTTCTCCTCAGAGCTGCTTGTTTTGTACCTCCTATTCAGTCCTTTGATCTCTTTCCGCAGGGTATGGATCTCCCTCTCTCACCTGTTTGGTTGTTTTGTTGCCTTGGTATTGACCTTTCTCTCAAATGCTCCAAACCGTTCTTTTCCTAGGTTATATGTGATCTCAGCTCTGCTATTCCATCTAGCTTTGCTTCGAGAACTCTGTCCAGATCATCATCAAAGTTTGTCCACTCCTTTGTGTCAGACATTTTCGGCCAATTAATCCTCTCCTTTATGGGTTCGGTCTGTGGTGCAACACCTGTTGGGGTACACCTGTGGGTTGTGGGTGTTAATGGTGCTGAGAAATCTCTAGTACTGTGGGGTGCTTCCTGAATGGAGCTTTCCTGCGCCTCACCAGACCCGAGGTCTGTGCGTTGCACCGGTGCCACTTCTTTCCTACACTTGGACCTGGCCTGGTGTATTCTGAGGCCCCTTACGTTTTTGCAGATCTTACTGCAGGAGGAACACTTAACCTTTGGTGCCTTCCCAGTTAAGGTGGTTTGGGTGAGCCTTCTCTGTATCCTTGTTCCTGTCAAGTCATCTATATGGTAAAGCAATAGTGGAAATGTAACAAACCTTGCTTTGTACATCTCCTCGCTTCAGCAGTTGTGACATCAGTCTGGTGAGTGAGTGATGCTTGGTTTCAAATGTCCTAACGTCTACCCACTGTGTTAGGTAGTCCACAATAAACCAACAAAACTGTATAGAAATTACAACCCAACAGCTAATAACTCTGTTCCCAACATAAATAACCTTGTGAATTGGGTACTAAGAATACCCAACCTCATGAAAATAACCCAAATAAATTGACTAACAGGCTAACCCAACCTTTTTTTGTGTGTGTATGATCTAGTTGGTAAAGCACATGTTGGTGAACCACAATTACTCAGCTGAAAATCAACATAAGATACATGTGCATAAAATAAAAGCATAAAAGGATTTGTACTAGATTAAAAGGTGTTTTTTATTCCAGATATGGGGGTATTCAGGACTGCTGTGGCTGCTTTGGGAAAGATGTTTTCAGAGGGAGCCTTTACAACAGTATATCTGTACACAACTGAGCTTTATCCCACTGTAATGAGGTCAGTGAATACAAGTTTTAACCATGTACATGTACAACCAAAGTTTATAGAGTTAAAGTTGTATCCTGGTCGGGTAATCTTGTGTATTTTTGGCTTCACAGACAAAACGGACTGGGTTTCTGCTCCTTTGCAGCTCGATTTGGTGTATCAGTTGCACCTCTCATTATGGTTCTTGAAGAAGTATGGGGCCATTTGCCAGGTACTGTTTTTACCCTGGTGGCTTTTGTTTGTGGGATGGCAACTCTATGTCTTTCCGATACAAGCAAAGTTCGTTTACCAGAGACTATCGAGGATGTGGAACAGACCAGGTATTTGGAGCTTTGTTAGTACTGCGGCCATAAATTTGAATGAGAGTTTAACTTAAAAATGATTTTAAAAATGTCTTTTGTGTTTCAGGAGAAGATCAGATACCTCATCTGAAGAGAAATCCCCCCTTTAAAAACACCCCACCGCTGACATTATAGAGAATTGATTATGTTAATTGTAATGCAAAAGTCGAATTTATGGATGAATAGTGAATTAAAAAAGAAAATAGACAGGATGTTTCAATTTTGAAACCCTTTCTGTTTAATTTAATCTAAGACTGACAAGAAGGTTTGAAGGATAATATCATTTGTTCATTTATGATCACAAATGAGATCAAGGTCTGAGTCTGTTAAACAGCTCTGTGAGACTACGGTACAATATATACAATACGATACAATATATACAATACGATATGGTACAATACGATACGATACAATGCAATACCATACCATACCATACGATCAATCCAAAAATGAGTGTTGGACTTGAGGGCTTTTTGTCAATTAAAACCAATAGAAAACACAACAACCCACATGTACACAGAAAAGATAGACCAACCAAGAGCCACAAACTATACAATATATGTAACACATCACCCAAATTACATATTTTTGTGTCACTGATCTTTCATATTTGAAGTACTTTGTGTAAAAATTGACAATGATAATTCAATAATTTTTGGATAGTGCTCTAAATTGTGTCACCAGCCTGTTTTTAATTGGGCTATCCCATTGTTAGATTAAAATGTATTACGATTTCTTATAAATAAAACGTTCTTGTAGCCTTAATATGATGTCATCATTAAAGAAACAGATCCGTGAACAATGTCTCACTGGAACTATGAGAAATTCAGTGAAGAGACCTTTAAATTCAGTAATGATAGTCTAGAATTGGGTAATGACAACAGAAATTTGACAGTGAGTCAAGTGATTGTGTTGAATTTGAATACTTCGTATTTAGTGTCTCAGGTTTCACGGACTGATGAAGCATAAAATAATAAATAAATCAGGAGTTTTCATTTGCCAAATAATTTTCTACCCAAAACTCACCAATAAGACATATTAGCTAGTTGCTAACCAGCAGCCTGTCAACAGTAGCCAAAACATCCAAAACAAACAATAAAAAAATTTAGTATCACAGTTAAGGGATGTCTAGATGTTGTTGTCATTTGAAAGATACTCTGTTTCTCAAAATAAAAGTAGATCAGCTGTTCCTTTTAAGTAATCAAAGTAAATGTGTCCATGGATTTGTTAAAACTGTTGTAACAGGCCCAGTTTGAGGGGCTCCATGTACATTAACAAGTAGTGCTGTACATAAAGCTTTGAGGGAAATGAATAAATTTATTTTTTATTCATGGTTTGTTGTGTATTTAATCATTACTTGACGTTGAGGAGATTTAAAATCTACCACCAGAAATATAAATAACACCAACATTTTGTATTGGGTAAAAATTGGAGACGTTTTGGGAAAAAAATGTCCTGTACTAAGAGCTAAGATTACACTTTGGACAATGTTCCTTCCTCAGTATTCACTAAATATTAATCTACCTTGTTCAGTGAGAACATTTCTTTACACATTTACATATTCTCAGCTGACCATTGACCAGCAGCATTTTAACAGTGTTCAAAAGGCTCATCAGCCCTTTCCAAACATATAAACTGGTGTTCTTGAAGCTGTCTGTCTTAGTTTTCAGTCATATTTGAAAGTGTTGCATCATTAATTAACAAGATGAAGTTTGAGGACGTACTTGCAGAAGTTAACGGCTTTGGAAAATTCCAAATAAGGACAGTCCTGCTGACAGTGATCCCTCGTATTTCTTTACCTCTTCACTTTTTACTCAATAACTTCATCGCTGCCATCCCTCCTCACCACTGCGACATCAGCTCTCTGGATGATGGAGGTATTTTCAGGAATTTATCCCAGGCAGAAAGGCTTGTTGTGAGTATACCTGTACAGGAGGATGGGACTAAAAGCTCCTGTCAGATGTTCACTGAGCCTCAGTATCACCTGCTGCTCAACTCCTCCAACATCACTGAACTACAGACTGTGCCATGCCAGGATGGATGGGTGTATGACAACTCCACCTTCAAGTCTACTCTGGCCTCAGATGTGAGATTTGTTTTCGTGAGATATGAGCATTTAATTATACCAAGTAAGCCATCTTATTCCTGATCTATTTTGTGTGTTTTCTATTCAGTGGGATCTGGTTTGTGATAATAGAAGAGCGAACAAAGTCGCTGCCACCATTTTCTTCATGGGGGTCATGGTTGGAGCAGCAGTGTTTGGATATCTCAGTGACAGGTGTTTCAGCGTTAACCAGGGGATTTTTTCAGGTTTCAATATACTCACTGTCAAAAAAACTCAAAGCTCCTGTGTGAAACTTGTTGTTGACTTTGGTGTTTCAATGATGATTGTCCATAGACTCCCCTCTGGCTATCACTTTTACATAAGATTTTTAAAAAATTATATTAACTCAAACTCAGAAGTGAACCATTTTTTAAGTTAATCTTATTTTTTCTCTCACAGGTTTGGCAGGAAAAGTATGCTCCTGGTGTCGTACATAGTGTCTGCCGTCTTTGGAATTGCCAGTGCTTTTTCCTTTAACTATACCATGTTTGCTGTCATGAGGTTTTTCACTGGATTTGGAATATCCGGAATATGTTTTATCACACTTGCCCTTTGTGAGTTAACAGTAATGATTTTTGAAAAAAATAACTAGCAGATGTGAATTTAAGCATGTCATAATTAACCTACTCTGTTCAGGGGTTGAATGGATGGACATCAAGCATCGTGCAGCAGTGAGTGTTTTTGCAAGCCTGGACTGGAGTTTTGGAATGGCTCTTCTGTCTTTAATGGCTTATTCTGTGAGGGATTGGAGGTACCTGACTGTTATAGCAAACACTCCACTGTTTCTGGCAATAGCCACTTGGTGGTAAGAACCAAGCTTGTTGAGATTTCAGTGGTGCCCATTTTTGCAGTGGGGTTTGTGAAGACTAAGACAAGAAATCACAGGTTGACATTTAATGTCTTTGTCACAGGTGGGTCCCTGAATCGGCCAGATGGCTGATAAGCAATGGAAAGATCCAAAAAGCTCATTTTTACCTGAGAAAGTGTGCACAAGTGAATGGCAGAGAGCAGTTCATGGCTGTCCTGAAGCCTGAGGTATGTTGTGTATTATTTCATCAGACTGACTTCATTCCCTTTCTGACAAATACTAACAAAACAACAAAACCTATGTTCACCCTTTAAATCTGAACCCTTTTAAAGCCTTCCATCTTTTTTTTCTTAACACACTAGAATTTTTTTTTTTATTTGACAAAAATTATAACTTGTTAGTCTGTGTGAAACTTCATTGGAAATGTGACTAAAGGTTGTCATTTTTTGCATAGAAACAAGAATACATTGTACAATTAATGATTATATCTGAAAAATTGTCTATAATTTTTCATGTGAACAACAGTATAGAAATACATTGATCTAATAAACTCTTCTTTGTAACTGACACCTGCTGCACTGTTAAATTATTGTTTATATTCACCAGGTTCTGTCCAATGTAATATTGGTAGAAAATGACAAAAGGAAATACTCCTATTTGGACCTCTTCAAGACCCCCAGGATGAGAAAAGTGGCTCTACTAACTTCCACAGTGTGGTATGTATGTTTTTCTTTTAAAGGTCCCATGGCATGCCAATTTCACACAACTTAAAATAGTCCCCTGGTATGTTAAAAGCATATCTGTGACGTCCTTCGATCAAAATTCGATTTGGATCAATTATTTTAGTGCTCTTTTTATCAGCTAAAAACAGCTCCGCTCAAAATCCTCCGTTTTGGGCCATGTCTCTTTGATGAAATGAGCTGCACCTAAGCCACGTCCACTTTACACCCATCTCTCTGGAAGGGGCTGTGGCTGTGCTCCGATAGCCATGTGCTAATGTTTACAGTTGCTCGGTCATGGCTGCAAGAAGATTGCTCGTACAACCCTACCAGTTTGAGCCAGAATCTGACCCAGAGGGAGAGGCTCCGGAAGAAACTCTTAGCCGCGTTCAGACCAAACGCGACTTGAAGCGACCTAGTCGACACATCCTATGTATTATTCAAAGCCGCCAGGAGTGTCACGCTTGAGGAGGAAGATATGAATGTAGAAAAAATTACAACCAGAGCTCTGCTACAATGTAAGATTTTGGTGCTCTAAAACTTCTCTGAAGCCTTTGTTAATTAATAAGATGGCCGACCGTCCAGCATTAGCCGGGACGTCCCGTATTTGAGCCAAAAGAGGCGCGTCGCTGCACGGGTAAATGCTAAAGCTACATGCTGCTCCGGAGGGGGATTTTGTCCCCCGCCACCAAAGCGAGCGGCTAAAATACGGGAGGATCCGGTAAACCGATGCGGATCCGGTGTGTTTATCAAAGCATGGTGGCCGTGCTGAGGCACCGGGGGGAATTTAGGCTAAACAGTAAGTCAAAATGAAACGTTCATACTTACAGATGCCACGTTTGTAGTAGGATCACGGATAGTTGGTACGGATCCATTCTTTATCTTCAGACATCTAGCAAATCCAGCGTTGAACTGTCCCTCGTTGATAAAACAGTCCGAAGCATAGACTGTATATAAGATGGACAGCCTGGTTCCCCCTTCCGCCTGTATATGGATTTGAAACCAAAAAGCTCTTGGTAATTCCGGGTTTTTCTCCACTTCCTCGAAACCAGAGCTGCGCAGTAGCGTTGTACGCAGACGTTTTTGGCTGGGCGGGAGACTCGGCGATGACGCTCCGCTCAAAAAGTTATTTTTTTTCGGCTTATCTGAATAGCCTGAATGAAATTATTAAAGGTACATGCTTATTAATTCATCCAATGGTAAGGAAAACTTGGATTGTTTTCGCCTTGTTAAGTACTTTCAAGGGGTGCATTCTACGGCACAACACCGGCTCTGAGCACACAGTTCCTAAATACGGAGATAACTAAAAAACGACTGGATGGAATTTTTTCAAACTTGGAGGGATTGTAGCGGTTTTCTATCCCTGATATGCACCCCCCTCCCGTTAACAAAGTCAGTTTTTCATGCCATGGCCCCTTTAAAGTAACTACATTATGATGGTTAAATAACTGAAATAAAAAATAATCTGTACAGCCCACTGCCCAGATAACCACTCAGCCTTAGCCTTAAGATACAACACTAAAAAGAGTCCTGAAAGAGGAATTTCCCGATCATGTTGGCGATTTTTTTTTTCTTCTGTCGATGGTACAATTTTAAACATTATTTTCAGTTTGATGACTTCACTTTGCTGTGAAAATTGACCCAACAACAAGAATATAATTGGCCACCCAGTTTAGCTGAAGTTTATGTGAGATTCATGGTATAGGCATGAAATTGTGGCTCTTTTAAGAAAAATATATGCCTTGTATCCAAAACACTATTCTTCTATTTCATAGGTTTGGAGTGGCCTGCACTTACTATGGAATCGGCTTAAATGTGACAGGATTTGGAGTTAACATTTACCTCACGCAGTTCATCTTTGGGGCTTCAGAAGTTCCAGCAAAATTGTTTGTCTTTTTCTCCTTGGACAAAATTGGCCGACGGTTAATTCAGGCTGGATCACTCTTTATGACCGGACTGTGCATCTTCTGCAACATGTTTATCCCTTCAGGTGATCAATTTATGCCTGTCCTACTGGCATTTATACACTTCCAATTTTGATTTATTTGGTACTGATATGAGAGAAAAGATGTAACAAGTTAAACATTGGATATAGTGCCTCTGACACCTTACCAAGGTGAGGATTTGTATATGTTCACACAATTCAATTATCTGTTTCTCAGAGGTTCCTCAAGCCTTATCTTGTACTTATGACATTTTAACAGAATTCACAGTTTTGCTCACAAACTGAAAAGTGATTTTGAATTGTGCCTCTTAATTCTGAGGACAACAACAACAAAACATTTTTGGTCTATCACAGCTACTTGTTGTCTTACCCAGTTAAAGAAAATTCTTGACCATAGACAGCAATAATTTTGTATGGCAGACATGGATTTTTCTTTATTTATGGACTGTTATCTCATGATAACTTATTTTGTTATCTCGATATCACAAAGATCATTTTCTCATGATAAGGAAAATGGCATTTTAGCCATCCCAAACGGTAACTTTTCAAACTGGCTATAGAGTGGGATATTTCTGAAACGCTGAAGCCACAGTTGTCAACAGCAAGTCAGGGTTTTTCAGTGAAAACACTGACGTCACGCTCCACTTTGCATAGGCACATTACACTTTCAACGTTTGAACATTCAACTACCATGCGTTAATCAGACAATAACAGTTACAATGGCAGACACTTTATTAATCAATTCGTTACCATGAGAAAACAATGCTTGTTATGTCGAGGTAACAAGATAATAAGTCGTTATCATGAGATAACAGTGCATAAAAAAAGAAAAATCCATGACTGTTCTCATCTTCCCTAGTTTAGCGAGCTGTGGTGTAGTCATTCTACACCCTGGTGATTAATGATCCAGCTATGGTCTAGTTGGTAATGTAAAACTAGGTGAACCACAATTACCCAGCTAAAAATCAAAATAAGATACATGTGCTCATGCCTATAAAATAAAAATTTCATTTAGTTATGAGAAAATCCTATGAGGTGTAAAGAGGCTTTGTCCAGATTTAAAGTTATTTTTTATTCCAGATCTGGGGATATTCAGGACTGCTGTGGCTGCTTTGGGAAAGATGTTTTCAGAGGGAGCTTTTACAACCTTATATCCGTACACAACTGAGCTTTATCCCACTGTATTGAGGTCAATGAATTCTTTTATACACAAGTTTTAACCGTGTACATTTACAACCAATGTTGACTCAGTTAAAGTTGTATCCTGGTAATCTTGTGTACTTTTGGCTTCACAGACAAAATGGACTGGGTTTCTGCAATGTTGCAGCACAAATAGGCATATCAGTAGCACCTCTAATTATGGTTCTTGAAGAAGTATGGGGCCATTTGCCAGGTACTGTTTTTACCTTGTTGGCTTTTGTTTGTGGGATGGCAACTCTATGTCTTTCGGATACAAGCAAAGTTCATTTACCAGAGACTATCGAGGATGTGGAACAGACCAGGTATTTGGAGCTTTGTTGGTACAGCAGACATAAATTTGAATGAGAGTTTCATTTAAAAAATGATGAAAAAAAAAAACGTCTTTTGTGTTTCAGGAGAAGATCAATCACCTCATCTGAAGAAAAATCCCCGCTGTGAACGATCTGTAATCACAACCGAAGTGTTGATCTGTTAAGTTGCGGAGTTACATCAGAGACTCTTTTTTATTTTTATTTTGTAACTGTGAAACTAAAAAAATAAGTATTAACACTGAAGTATTTCTAAAGAGAGGGGAAAAAAAAGGTGACACTGTTTTTACTAATGTGTAATTTTTACGGTACCATTAATTCATGACTTTTTTGTGTCATCAGCAAACACATTTTTTGTCCCGTTAACTTTCATTAGTACACCAGGAACATCCCTTCTTTAGATCTCACTATGGTCTATCTCACTAATGTCTCTGCGTAGTAAACCAGATCATTTGGCATCCACATGACTCTTCCTAGACTAGTACTGTTTTGGCTTTTGTAGCAATGTTTTGACCGATGATGATTGATTTGCATGCATTTTCTTGACTTACTAGTTGTGGTTCTAATAAACTGAATCATTTCCAGAGCAAATGATCCAGAGCAAATGCTTTTAATGCACACAAGTCGACTTTTAGAGCCAACAATAAAGATTGAAGTCCAGATCTTTTACCCTGTCGAAACAAATACAAAACCTATCTAAGGTATGTCATCCAAACATTGAATCATTGACTCAGGTTGAAGTCTGAAACAACTCACACAGCAGTTTGTTTAGTCTTTTCTCTGTCAACACAGGATGGAGCCAAGAATTCAGAACATCCAAGACGCCCAGCCCTGGATAACAGCAGTTTATGAAGCCTGCATCGTTCGCAAAATGATTTTAGGTTTTGCAAAACTGATATTTTACCTAAATTCTTCCACTTTACATAACAACAAAAAAGGTCAAATGTTGAAACAAACTAGGACACTGGATGTGCGTATTTCCTGAAGGTAAATGATCAGTTGATATTCACATCTCTTTAAAAGAATGACTTACAGCTGTTGCAAAATAAACAACAACATGATCTGGAGAATATGCAGCTAATAGAGCCAAACTGTATACACATTTTCCCATGTTTCTGACATCTAAGTCAGCTGATCACTGGAGTAGGAGGAGGCTGAGAGGGATAAACAGAATAACTGACATGGACAAGTACAAAAACCTCCCTGATTAAACTCAAACTGAGCATTATTAAAATTCCTGCGAGCAACGTCCAGTTTATGCCAGTTTTAGCGCCCCCTGTGGATGAAGCAGACTATGCTTTATTTGTTCATTAGATGCTTGAGTAATGTCTCTTGACTAAACATCTCATCCTTCTGACTTCTGACTTTCAAATGTATCATTTATGGTGAAATTGTAATCACTTAGGGCTAATTCTTTGGCTGCTTGCCTGACTATCCCCCACCCCCAATATTGGTTTCAATTAAATATAAATATATGTATATATATATATATCTTTATTGAATATATTTTATTTGCCTTTGGAAATCATGAGAAGGCATCAATGTGAATTTAAGTCTTATCTTAATGTTAAAGGACTCATTATAGGAACTTTTAAAAAATAAATGTGCTTAGGAACTACATTTGTAAAAATCCAGCAGTGATAATTGATGACCTACTCCTTGTGTGTGTGTGTGTGTGTGTGTGTGTGTGTGTGTGTGTGTGTGTGTGTGTGTGTGTGTGTGTGTGTGTGTGTGTGTGTGTGTGTGTGTGGTGGGGGCCAGCTATGATAATGGCTGTAAAAGGAATATAGCTCCCTCTACCAAGGAAACACTGTACTACAGAAACCAGTGAGGCCTGTAACAGATAAAGCTTTTACCCTCACTTTGCTTGGGTCTGGTATTCATTAACTGACAGAAGAGCAAGAATTTATTAAAGATAAGACTTTTTCCAATGTTTAAGAGGACCATCAATCTGAAATTAAACCTTCTTAATTGTTTTTTCTAAAGCAATGAAAAGCCCCACATTCTGTAATACTGAGGGTTCACTTTTGAGGTCAGTGTTATGTAATCCGTAATGCTTATTTAAATTCTAATAGATTCATTTATTCACGACATTTGCACTGATTCATGGTTACACATTTTTATAAAATGCAGTATGATATCTCCACTTTTCCCTTTGGCATAGTGATCATCCTGTTTAATTATTAACCCATAATTTATACTTTTTCTCGCAATTGCATGGGCAAACGTTCTTTTAGTGGTTGAGTTAAGTTAAATATTCACTGATTTTAACAATGCAGCAGCTGCAGTGTCTGACTGCAGGGTTTACCATCAGCTTTGTCATAGTGTGCAGGCACATGTATGTGAAGAAGAGAAGGTGCTGTGCAGGGTACAATGAAGTTCGAGGACATTCTTGCAGATATAAATGGCTTCGGAAGATTTCAGATAATGATCATTATCATCAGCTTTATTGGTCGCTTTACACTTCCCTGCCACTTCATGCTCAACAACTTCATCGCAGCTGTTCCTTCTCACCACTGTGACATCAGCTCTCTGGATGTCGACGATGATTTCAGGAGTTTATCCCAGGCAGAAAAGCTAGCTGTGAGTATTCCTTTGCAGACAGATGGGACTCCAGACTCTTGTCGGATGTTTGCAGAGCCTCAGTATCACCTGCTGTTCAACTCCTCCAATATCACTCAACTCCAAACTGTGCCATGCCAGAATGGATGGGTGTATGACAACTCCACCTTCAAGTCTACTCTGACCTCAGAGGTGAGTTACACTTCTTTTGATTCATATAAAGTAAAGGTAAAAGATGAATAATCTTGATCTCTCTTTGTTTGTGCAAAAGTGGGATCTGGTGTGCGATAGAAGGGGTAAAAACAAAGCAACAGCTACCATCTTCTTTGTTGGAGTGATGTTTGGAGCCATGTCCTTTGGGAGTCTTAGTGACAGGTATGGATTTATTTATTTATTTATTCATTTATTTAGACAGGACAGTACCAGTTCATGGACAAGGAGAAGAAGACATGATACAAGAAGTCTATTCTCATTGTAAACCAGCCGGAGTTAGCTAAGGCTAATTTTCATCCGTTGTCCTCAAACAGAAAAGCAACAAAAAACAAAACAAAAAAAAAACAAACAAACAAACAACAAAAAAATGTAAAATAAAAAACAGACAACAATACAGTAGCAGACGACAAACACGACAAATATAAAAACAGAGGCAGAGTAGACCACTGGTGGAAGGTGCTTAGTGCATAGAAAGTGCCTAGTGCTTCAAAGTACCAAGTGCCATAAAGTGCCTAGTGCCCGGGTTTGTAAATTTAAATTTAAAACCTCACTAGAAATGGTTACATGACTGTGATTCTTTTAGCCACTGTTTTAGCTGCCTTTTAAAAGCTGGTTCCAGTAGCTGCATCCGTTGATGGAGAGGGTGTTTTGACTGAAAGCAGTCTTTCTAAAAGCTGGATTTCTTGTAACAGGACATTCGGCCTCTAATATGATTTGGATTACTCAATGTTTCACTATATGGATATGCATTTTTTCTTCAGATATGGGCGGAGAATCATGCTGCTGGTGTCATATGTGACAGGAATGCTCTTTGCCATTGCCAGCGCTTTTTCTACTTCTTACGTGATGTTCGCCGTGCTGAGGTTCCTCACTGGGTTTTGCATCACCGGCATTGTCATCGTCTCAGCGGTCCTCAGTAAATCCTTTGTGCTTCTTCTTAAAAGGCTGATAAGATTTCACTTGTTGCCTCTAAGGGTTTCTCTGAGTGTACTGTGATCGCGTGTGTGTGTGTCATTTGCAGGTGTAGAGTGGGTGGACATTGAGCACAGGAAACTGGTGGGAGTAATCGACAGCTTATCCTGGACATTTGGGAACACAGCATTTCCAGCTATTGCATACCTAGTAAATGATTGGAGATGGCTCACTGTCAGCGTCACCTCCCCTGTGGTCCTGGCGATCATCACCTGGAGGTACTACTCACAGATCTCTGATCATCTTGTATTCAGTATCCTTAAAACTGGATTCATTAATGGTTAACAGTCTTCAAAGTTTAAGGTCAGAAGTGTGGGACACATACACTGACTTCATATTTTATTTCAGCCGAGTTTCCCCGCTTAACTCATCTGTCTTGCCATGTTCAAGAGTGAGAGGATAGGATGGCCAGAGGAAGTCCTAGACAGAAAAAAAAGTGTGTCTTGTTTTCTTATGGATGTGTTAAACAATCTATTAACTTCAGCTTTCAATCCAAACCAATTCTACTGCATCATGGGAAATAATGTCCTTGTTTTATACAGATGTAAAACTTGTGATTTTTGGTGTAAAAGCAACTTGAGACATGTTAAAAGTCTGTGTAAAGTTCTTCAAGAGAAAAAAAAACTGAAATGAGTGAGTGTCTGCTTTTTGCTGGATACTGTCAAACACATAGTTTTTAATGTAAATAATAAAATTCACCACAGTGTGACTCATCAGTGATAAATGTCGCCATCATCATTTAGGTGGATGCCAGAGTCAGCGAGGTGGCTCATTGCCAATGGAAAACTGGAGCAGGCCCAGTTTTATTTGAGACAATGTGCCAAGATGAACCAAAGAGAGGATGCGATTGACTCTCTGAAAACAGAGGTTTGCTTCCTGACTGAGTTTCATTTCATCATCTAAAATAACATTTATCTATGCTTTCTAGCAAACTTATGGCTGTTAATCCTATTACCTTGATCATGTGAAGTCGTGAAAAATAAATTCCCTTGTGTTTTTTCAGACACTGTCCACCATTGTTGTGACTGAGAAAAGAGACAGAACTTATTCCTCCCTGGATCTGATACGGACACCTAAAATGAGGAGACTAGCCCTCAGAACTGGTACACTGTGGTCTGTATCAAAACACCCCTGTTCAATCAGTTCTTAGAAACACGTACTTATATTTATTTTTAGTTATTATTCTCATGTCCTGACTAAGTAAAGGATAATGTCTAGCCAAGTAAACAGGACTCTGACACGAAGCAGGCAGGCCTGGTCCCACCTTAGCAGGGTTATTTTTTGACCAATCAGAATCAAGTAATTAACAACTTCCTCTTTCTCTTCCTGCAGGTTTTGTGTGGCCAATTCCTTTTATGGCATCAGCTTTAATATCACAGGCTTTGGGCTCAATATGTACCTCACTCAGTTAACATATGCTTTGGTTGAGCTGCCGGCTAAAGTGTCCGTTTATTACTTACTGGATAAGATAGGAAGGAGGACCACAGAGGTGGGATCTCTTGTCCTGGCTGCTGCCTGTCTTGGCATCAACATTGCTGTACCAAAAGGTAAGTATTTATGAATGTCTGCAGACTATAGACTGGATATAGAATGGATGCCATCTGCCTCCTCGCTGGGTGAAGCCACGCCAACAACAGCACCCTCTGGTAACAGGTTGCAGTACAGGTCATAAATCCCGCCTCCTCCAGCAGTCTCTATGGAGCTGTGGACAAACTTTAGACATTTATTTCACAGATTATAAATTTTTCTTCCCTGCTTACGATGTTGCATGTTGTTATTGTAAGACTGGTTTGTGCTCAAGTCCTCTTTTTTCTGTACAGCTCCATATTTAAAAGTTATTAGGGGGTTCATGTTTTCTATGATTGACACTTGATACAGCCTATGGGCGTACAAGGATTGCGTTTCTCACCCGGGGGGATACGTTGTTTGAGCAGAGCATCATCACAGCGACTCTCGGTGACTCTCCTGCCGAATGCGTACAATTCTTCCTGTTAGTTCCAGGAAGTGGAGAAAAATCGTGGAAATACCGAGAGCTTTTCGGCTTCAAATCTGTGTACTGGTGGAAGGCGAAACCAAGTTGTCCATAGTATATACAGTCTATGGTGCAGACCTACACCTGAGCTTTGGAAAGGCTGTTTGTTGTCCTAATGCTTCTTTGAGGAACTTTTAGATTATGTTGATTTTGGCGCCTCCTGTTGACCAAGCAGCACCTCTTATGTCTGCCAATAAATGTGTGTGAGTTATCTGCAATAAAAATTATTGTAATGCCTTCTTTTCAAAATACCTATAAGCCCACAGGAGCTCTAATTACTGTAAAGGTACAGTTGACTACTACAACAGTGAAAAGTTCTCTCCCCTGCTCTCAGGTATGTCTGTGCTCAGGACAGTGATAGCCATCATCGGAAAAGGATTTTCCTCAGCAGCATTCGGAACTATTGTCCTTTACAGTTCAGAGCTCTATCCCACTGTAGTGAGGTAACTATGCATGCATCCCCTTTCTTTTCTCCTTTCAATACAATACTTGACTTTTTTTTTCAATTTGTACCCTCATTTCATTAACATACCAAGTTTTATTAACACAACTGGGCAATCATGAATTGAGTATGAGGCCATCATATGAAGTCCTAAGCTAGTTTTGAATAATCTGAATCAATTGCTTTGCAGACAGAACGGTATGGGCTACAACTCCTTCATGGCTCGACTGGGTGTAGCTATGGCTCCTCTGATTCTCTTGCTGGATGAAGTGTGGAGGGACCTGCCACAGGTCGTCTTTTGCTGTGTAGCTTTACTGGGTGGACTGGTGGCAAGAACACTGGCAGAGACACGCAACAGATACCTGCCAGAGACCATAGAGGACATTGAACAGCATTGGTAGGAAACTCGGTCGCTGGGGCCAGAATTTATTTTGGTTTGACTGGTTCAGGATACACTTGAAGATTTAAGATGAAGAAGTGCGGAATTTTCTCACAGCAATATATTTTAGAGAAATAGAAAATTAGTACTTTTGCTCCATTTGAAAAGTCCATATTTTTCCATTTAAAGTCTTAAGAAAAGCCATAGACATATTGAACAAGCAGGACAGTCTTTTTGTACACATTTGGTGCCAGTTTTGATTCATACATTAAACGCAAATTTGTGAAAGAGTTTAATTCTTGACCTTGTTTTGTTTTCTGTTCACTCAAATTAGAATCCATTATCCTATGTATTATCCAATGTATCTCAACACATAGCAAAACATACCGAGGAACAAGGCTAATGTCAAAGCTCCTTTATTAAAGAAACAGAGCAAGCACATTTTTAAGTACTCAGCAATCCCCTAAAGGAAAGTCAATCACATCTAAATGACATGTTTCTGATATTCCTTTTGAAAATCTTAATAGCCAGGTCTAATATTTAACGCTGATATCTCATCTGACATTACATTTAGTTACAGAATTAACATTGATGGGGAAAAAAGAGGGGAAAAAAAGACAAAAAGCAAACAAATATAAAAATCAAAAAGCAAAATTTTTAAACATGAAATACAATGATACATGAGATCTAAAACTATAGTACGCAACTGTTTTCCAGGACATTTGTTGGCTATTGTTCAGTACTGGGAATACTCCTTGCTCTCTAGTTTGGCAATGATTCGCTCCAGCTGTCGTTTAGCTTCACATTGTGGGAAGTTACTCATTTCATAGTACTGGGGCGCTATCTTCACCAGCCTGTAGAGAGAAGAAAATAAGTTAGGAGATTATGTACAGTCAAGGATCGTTCAAATATCTTATCACAGGAACCCCGGCTGAGTCTGAAAACCTACCACTCTGGTTTGATGTCTGTGCAGGTGCGGATGTAGTTTTTGGTGGTCAAAACAAACTCATTGTACAGCACCCACTCAGGTTTGTGATCCAGGACTGTAGACGGGTGCAGTTGGACCACTTGGTTATCTTTGACGGTGAGGTAATGACCTGTGCGCTCCAAATGAGCCACCTGAGGGATAAATAACCAGCAGATGAATAAAAAAAAAGCCTTTTTGTGCTGAGGAAGGTTATGAACACGTTGAGCGCTGCGCACTGACCTGCATGAAGAAGCCGGTGCAGAGCGCTCGGCGGATGTTGATGTAGTAATCTCTGCTGGTGAACTCTGTGCTCCGGCGGGGCAGGTTGAAGCGGTCCATGATCCTGGACAGCTGCTGCCGTACGTTGTCAGCAGACATCAGTGAGCGGTAGTTTACAAAGTTGTCGTAGCACCACTGGTTAGACTCATGATCTGGAAGAATAAAAAACAAAAAAACAATAAATAAATCAAACATTTGGTTGAATGTCTTATACTCTATCAGATCAGATTTCTGATGCTTGCGATGTGACTTTTAATCCATCCTCTGTTAACAATTTGGAAAGTATATGCATTTCCTCTCAAAGTTAAGTCTTGAGCAAAAGTTCCTGATAATGTTTCCGTCTGGATTGATGTCTAGGAGATTAAAATGATGCTCACTTTGTTTAAAGGCGTGGTAGACATTGAGCAGCGTCAAGTGGTCCCCGTCGATGTGAGCAAACCTCATCTTGGACTCGTCTGCTGCCTTCTTAGCCTCCGTGGGGCGGACAAAACACTGTGGGACTAAACAAGGTTGGTATGGGCCCCAACAAAGCCGCCCATGGGGATGAGTCAAACATTCACAGAAAAATGGAGCAAAGCCTATGATGCTAGGGCACTGGACACTGCGCTGGGACAGGGCAGGACCACAAGCTCTATCAAAGGGGGGGGACGCTGTGGTCCTTTCTCAGGATCTTTCCAAACTGTTTTGGCTATTAGCACGTAGAGAAGGGGGAGCCATTTAACCACATCTGTAAAACAAGAGTTTTCACACAACTACAAAGTGTCAGGGTCATCAGCAGTGATCTTAAAAGAGCAATGTTTCTGTTTGAAAAGTAATGGGCAGGCTTTCTAGAGAGCTGATCTCATTTAATACTTCAACATGATACCTGTAACACAACGTTATATATATATATAAACCATAATGATTACATTTCATGTAAAAACTGTTATTATGAAAGCGATGAGTATGAAAAATTCAAGTGGTGCCTGCCCTCTCCACTTGCTTTGTTGGTGAAACTCAATACGTACTTTGTATATATCATTGACTCAGTATAGTGATGGGAGGGTGGTTATCATTTAAACCGTCCAGAGTGAAAGGCAACCAAACTAAAACTACATTTATGGATTTAAAAAGGCTTTTTGATAACAATGGATCAGTTCACATTGGAGTGTCTGTGGCTGTTATGGCATGGTTATAATGTCGTTGGAATTTCATTAGAAAAAAAAAACTATCCTTTATTAGAGGAAATGAAATCATTTCCCAAAATTTGCCTGTTATTTAACTCCAAAATAATTCACTATTTACAAGAATGCCCTCGAGTATAATGTGATGGAGAGAGGACAGCAACATTTTTTTATAAACCACAGTATGTTCAAGCATTTCATAAGTTTTTGATAAACTTCAATTGGAGCGTACACATGACTATATCTGTGCTTTAATAAAACATATCTATGTATAAATAAAACCCTGTATTTTAATCTAAGAGACAGCTGAAAACAAGAAAGTGGCAAGGTTGTTTGTTACTAATTTGATAGCAACTGGCCCAAACAAAAATTCTTATTATATCCTTAAAAACATTTTCATACAGGAGTGAGCCAAAACCCTGGAATAAAAAAGTAATCTAGAAAAACAATCTCTAATTCAAATGCATCATAGCTACCTCTTCTTTCATTCTATTTTTTACAAAAACAAAAAAAAACAAGAGGGCTCTCGCAGCTGCTTAGCAGCTACGCTCGGGCCCTAAAAACTGAGCACAAACTAAAGTCTAAGTAGGATAGTTTTTCAACACTACCAGTCAGTATGGGTGTGTTTAACCACAAACACGTGGCCTATAGAAGGCAAGGAAGATGTCAGCCCAGTCCTGGGCATTACCTGACAGCATGGCAGTAATGGAAAGGATCTCGTTTGAGCAGTTAAACTCGCAGCTGGCAATGACCATCTTGGCCAGCTGGGGGTCCAGAGGAAACTCTGCCATCATTGAGCCCAGCTCTGTCAGGTCTCCGTCATCATTCAGGGCAGCCAGGTAATTCAGCAGCTCCAGGGCCCTCATCAGTGTCTCAGGAGCTACAGAGGAAAGACGTAGATGTCAGAGCCAAGTTCAGTAAACTGAATCCTTTACTGTTCAATCACTCACTAATGCAGACTAACTCACCTGGTGGGTCCATGAAATCAAAATGCACAAGGTCATCGATACCCAGCTTCTTCAGCTGAAGCACGACAGACCCCAAGTTTGACCGAAGAATCTCAGGGTATGTGTTGTCCTGCAGTGGGAGAGTTCAAAGTGTCAACAAACATAGAAAATTAGGAATGTGCAAAACATTCCTGAATTTACTGCATGAAAAGCTACACTTGCCTGCATCTCTGTCTTGTAGGCTTTCTCTGTGTAGAGGCGGAAACATTTTCCTGGTCGGGTTCTGCCGGCTCGTCCCGCCCTCTGCTGGGCAGAAGCTTTACTGATGGCTGTGACGAGCAGAGACTCCACTCTGATACGGGGATTGTAAACCTGAACACAGATTAGAAAGCAGATATAAGTGAAACAGTCTACCTCTGGACAAAACATTTAAAACATATAACAAGTAGACCAGATGAAACAAAAATCAGATTATATCTTTGCCCACCTTTTGTTTCGCAAATCCCGGATCAATGACAAACACAACACCATCAATTGTCAGGGAGGTTTCAGCAATGTTTGTCGAAACCACGACCTGAAGATGAAGCAAAATGACATTAAACTTTGGTGGAGGTAGAATAAGCAGATGCAATTTAATTAAATCAAAAAATGCTGAGCTTTAATACCACTGATGTCTCTTTTTGAATCCTGCTAAATTCTACCCGTTCGATCACTTTAAATGTACCTTTCTCCCGATAGCACCGTTGGGCTTTCTTGGAGGTGGCGGCTCAAAGATCCTTTGCTGCTGCTGTGGTGGCAATGTGGAATACAGTGGAATGATTTTGATGTCTCCAACTTCGGGTCCAAGATCATCTACCTCACGCTTGATCCGTTTGCAGGCCTCATCAATTTCCTGTGAGACAAATTAAGATTTTTTTTTGTTTGTGTTCAAGAAATGAGACAATAATGAACATTTCTAAATGACCACAGCTCCTACCTCTTGACCGGTAAGAAACAGAAGGCAGTCACCCTCGTCTTCCTCGCACATGTGAATCTGGATGACGGTGCGGATAGCTGCCTCTAGGTAGTCTCGCTCTGGTTCGGGGGTGTAAAAAATCTCTACAGGGTGTGTGCGCCCAGGAATGGTCAGGAGGGGACAGTTGTCAAAGTACACCTGGAATTTCCCAGCATCAAGCGTAGCACTCATGACAATCACCTGTGTGAGAGGGAAAAAACGTTGTTTCCGAATGCTCCATTTGAACGATCCCTATGGTCCTTAGGAGGCAGATTTATTTCTGTTGATGCGTCATCTGCGTTTGGTTTGCATAATGATGAATTTGATATTATGGTGCTGTTTGTTTTTAAAAATACCTTCAGATCCGGCCTTTGACGCACCACCTCCTTAAGGACCCCCATCAGGATATCTGTGGCCAGAGTCCTCTCGTGGGCCTCGTCAAGAATGATCACTCCATATCGCTCCAGCAGCGGGTCATTCATAGCCTCCCTCAACAACATACCGTCAGTCATGTACCTAAAGAAAGAGCAGACAGGCTTTATTGGACTGGACATACTGTTTAAAGCAATTAGACAGATTACTCGGAGCCCATTAAAAGCAGTTTTTCAGCGCGAGCAGACAGACTGCAATCACTTACTTGAGAATGGTCTTGGCAGAGCTACAGTCCTCGAATCGAATGGAGTAGCCCACTTCCTGTCCAAGCATGACGTCCATTTCATCTGCCACTCTTTGAGCCACGCTCATCGCAGCAACTCTCCTGGGCTGAGTACAGGCTACCGCCCGCTTAGGACCAGGCAAGCCCCTCACCATGTCCACACACCACTGTGGGATCTGGGGGTTGAAGCAAAAATCGCAATTAACTTCAAATAGTTTTTAGGTCGCAGCATCAGCTCAATGAAGTTTATACAAGCTTTATATTTGAGCTAAAAAGACATCAACTGATCAAACCTGGGTCGTTTTTCCAGAGCCGGTCTCTCCAACGAGCACAAAGCTCTGGTGGCGTGTAATGATGTCGCTGAAGCTTTCCTTGTACTCCCACACGGGGAGCTGTAACCTCTTCTTCAGGATCTCATAGTAGCGAGGCGTATGCGGCAAGTTAGTGAAGGGGTTGATCTGCTGGTGCATGGCCATCTGCTTCAAGGGTGCTAAGCCTGGCATGGGCCCCGTGCTGTTAGACGCAACACTGGGGGGTTTGGAATCTCTCTCACGGTCCCTGTCTCGGTCCCTGTCCCTATCTCGGTCCCTGTCCCTGGGGCGGTCCTCACGCTCCCTGTCACGCTCCCTGTCCCTCCTGTCAACAACAAAGAGAGGCAGCATAAAAATACAAATCAAACGTTACCATGAAAATTGCAAGGACTCACTACAATGTGGCCCCACTAGCATTATGTGGGGTGAACAGCAGAGATGTGACGGTTTATCATGAGTTCTTGCAATTATCTGTACTGTAGCATGTTTTTTTGATGCATATAAATATGCAGGGTGAAAATAACTGATTTGCAATTATCGTTTTGCAAAGATCTATTTTTGAGCAGAGCCTCTTGATCTGGTTCATTTATAGCGTTTAGAAATAATAGCCACTGACTATTGCCTGTGCTCACAGACAGATTTTGTAGTGGCAATCTGTTGTCCATCCGATGCTCCACGTTACCATGACTATTAAGAATCTTCTCAGGCAGTAACTGTGTTCAAAACTTTACTTAAGATAGCATAAAAAAAAGTTACAAGATTCACTTTTGTGAAAAAAAAAAAAACAGTCTTGCTCCATATGGTGCATTTAAGTTACCTTGGAAGTCAGATGTCAGAGCTGAAAATGACGTCACACCCAGGTTACCGGCGTTTCAGTTACCAAGTCGGAAAAAAGCAAAATTGGAGGCCGTGTTATATTCGAACAAGGCAAGCGCTAAAATAACTTTCCTAGATGTAGCCATCTTGTTTACGCAATGACGTCATCAGCAGCACAATTATAGGAGCAGTTCAACCTCTTTAAAAGGTAAACTACTCAACAACTAACCAACATCAATCTGACTCTTACAGATTTAAAACAATAATGAAATAAATATATTTGCAGACACTGCAGGCAGTCTTGTTAACCAGTAATGTTAACATCCCCTTAACTGATTACCTGGATATTCCGATCCTAAATGGCAATGATCAAATCTACAACAGTAGCAGTTAAGTGGTTAATATAACTTCTGTTATGTACAAATTAATGCATTTTAATATTGCTTAACATAAATATTTATATGTCTAAGGCATAACCCAATGTGTTTTGTATTTCATGAATTAATTTAAAAGCTATTTAAAACACATTACTAATCATGCATTATAAAATGTTTGGAATAATGGCTGTTATTATAACATGATTGATGTGCTTGATCAATAAAAATGTGAAAATAATGAAAACGACAACATGATATAAGCATAATATTTCAGCCATTGACTGATCCTCTTAACAAACAATAACATCAATAAACGTCTTTGTTTTAACTTTCATCTGTGCTAGTAACTTTAGCTCGTAAGCTAACCTGTTCAGATACAACATACCATATGTATTTTCACTGTCTCAAACTCAATCGCGCTGCTGTCACAGCACCATTAGGTCTCGGTTGTTACCTTACGTTTATGGTTTACAGTTTAATGTGTTTATCTGGTACTGGCTCCGACTCAGTACATGCTATCATGATAGACAGCCATCTCAACACTAGTGTCTAAGCAGAACTGAAAAACAGTCAGTCTGCTGTTGTGTCAGTCTTCTCGCTTCCACCCGGGACGTGTCTTTTCCCCCCTGGAAAGTCGCAAAATCGCAGTCAAAATTCACCTCGGAATATTACGTAATTTCGCATTCTATATTTGTATTGGCCCCGGTATGTCTACCAAAACACGACAGAATGCAGACTATCAAAAAGCATACTGACCATGTTTTATATTGATATTGAGGGAAACTAATTTTTGATACATATCATTATCGTTTTATCGCCCAGCCCTAATCTGGATGCTGATGGAAGTACTTGCAATTTTGGTTATTCTTAGTAGAGACTGAGCAATGACCTGCTCGTGTGTCTTTTGGCATGGCTTTTTAAGACGGATGGGTATTTACATTCTGCAGCTTTTTTTTTAAAGAGCAGTGAATCATTTTAAGTATAAGTGAATAATATAAAGGGCACTCAGCCCCCTTTCTGTAATTCAACCCTTAGTAAATTTAACTTTATCTTACTTAGATATCAAACTTGAAGAAGAATAAGGTGATCTTAGGTCACTATATTAAATCGGTCTTTTTTTGGTGGTCAAATCTGTTAAAGCTCCAGTGAGTAAAACGGAAAGAGAAAGGGTCTGTGAGGAGATCTTCACGTGTTACTTTGAGGTCAGAGACTGGGACAGCGAATACAGTCTTTACATTTTGGTTTTACTTGTTTAACCCCTAGTCAATTTGTTATTTTCCCTCTCTCTCTCTTTCTCTCTCTCCCTCTCTCACTTACACACACACACTCACACACAGACACACACGTGCCTGCACGGTGCGAAGCTAACGCCGCTAACGCTGAACGTCCGTTGGTTAGCAGCTCATGTTATAGCCGCCGTCCTGTGTAAGGTTGCTCGCTCCTTGAGCTAAAACTCGTAAAGTAAATATTCCTGTCTTACGGCAACATTCAAGTACGATTGAGTCGATGTTTCTAAGACGAGATCTTCAGTACTAACAGTTGTGGTTACATTTTGTCTGTTTGTTGCACACCAATGGTGGCTACTAGCCAAAAATTACTGAGCTCGGCTAACAGTTAGCGTTGTCTGGCTGCTTAAAGCGGTCACAATAACGGTAGAGCTCTACCTACCCTTCAGACCTCTTCTTGTTGGAGGAATAGTCATCACCTAAATCCAGACGATGTCTTTTCGACATCTTTGTGTAAAAATGTGGCTTGTCTTAAATATATTAACGCCAACACAATTCTACCGGGTAATATGGACCCGTCCTGGTTTCCTGTGCTTGTGTTTTCCTTCTTTCAAATGAATGTTGACGATGATGTACAGATTATAACGCTGCCCCCTGCTGGTCTGGCATGTGTCAGCTATACTTTAAATCAGCGGGGCTTCATGCTTTGTATCCACAGAGCCCAAGTACTGTAACCTAACTCTACTTCAGACCATCTAGCTGCAGCTCTAAGCCTCAAAACTTATCCCAATTTTCCGAGTAAATTTCCATCAACTTAAATGAAAAAAATACTTTTTTTTTCCCCAAACAGCAAACTATAGTTGGTTACTACGGTGGCTGAGAACCGCCACAGCTGCACATAAAAAAGGATGCAGAAAAAAAGCAAGTCACAATCGAAGTTACCTATGCAAAAAGAAAAAAAAAGAAAAAACTAAAGCCCACTGCAAATAAAAAAAAAACGGTGCAGATATCTAAAAAAATAAAGCCACAATGGAAGTTAACAACGTAAAAAAGAAGTGGCGATGGAAATAAAAGTTACTTACTGTGAAAATAAAAGGATGCAAATAAAAAAGCCACAACAGAACTGAAGCTAACACTACACCGGCATCCCCCAGTTCAACTTCATATTGACTCAGGCGCTACATGGCCTAACCAGATGACACATTAAAAAGCACATGAATTTTTTTACTTCGATTTCTTTTCTCTCTTTTTTTTTTGCATTAGTATATTCCATTGTGGCGCCTTTTTTTTTTTTGCATTCTTTTTTATTTTAAGCAATGATGGTTCCATAGGTTACAGATGTTTGATTTGTGCAAACAAAATGAATGACATTTTCCATTACAGCCTTAACTTTTTTGTCCACCTTTTCCTGCAGCTGGTAAATCTCGCAATCTACAAGCCACTCATTTTTTTTTTAACCAACCTTTCAGACATCACCTTAATTTTCACTGTGCATGGAGTCGTGTTAAGGTTGTGCTGCTGGAAAAAAAAATAAACATTTTCCAATGTGACCATTTTATGAATAAGCTAAATAAATGGGGGACTTTGTTAAAAATAGTTTGTCTGGATCATCACATTAACTGAGATTTACTGAGGCTACTTTGAGCTTTAAAAAAAAAAAATCTTAAAATTAACTACTCAATTGAGACAACTCAAGTAAGTTAGACTGTTACAATAAGACTGAAGCCCTGCTGTGCTCAGCTCAAGTCAAACCAGTACATAACAAACAGGAAGACCAAAAGAGAAGTAACACAGGCAAGCACACTTACTCAATGGTGGACTTCTTAGTTGAGAACACCAGTTTACTAAATGGCTGTTAACCCAATAAGCACCAGCTCTTTGGTCAGCTCTTTGTTTTCTGGAAGAAAACAGAAAACAGATGGTTATCCAAAAGGGTTTTATTATAAAAGAAAAAACAAACAAACAAAAAACACTGTTAAACAGTAATTTTCAACTATACAAGGACATTGTTTTTAAAGCAAACTTTCATCAATCAATCAATCAGTCTTTATTTATATAGCAATTTTCATACACAACCATGTAGCACAAAGTGCTTTACACAGAAAAAGGAATAAAAGAAACAAAGAATAAACAAATCTGCCCCAACCCAAGATTAAAAGAATACCCAAATCTACCCCAGCCCAACCCCTCATTCCCACCCCATGATCTAAACGCAACATAAACAGTATTAAAATGCATGCTTAAATGGTTAAGAAGGGCTTGATTTTGTGGAAACAGGAACGTGTGCACTGAGGAAACGCCATTTTAAAAACTCAAGATAAGGAAACACTGGAGAATAGAATAAAATTCTAAGAATAGAATAAAATGTAAGAAACAATAAATTACATTAAATAAAAACAACAGTAAAAGATACTAAAGTAAGAGCACCAAAATAGCTCAATAAAAGATAATCCTGTCATTAAAACTAGAAAAAGATAGATGCTAAAACACTTAGACAAAATTAATGATATAGAATTTAGTTAAAAGTAAGACTTAAAAGGTACGTTTTAAGTTTGCTTTTAAAATCATCGATATTTTACAATCATAACCCTTTTTTTGCCAACAGTTTTAGGTTTTGTGTTCTTATGCTGAGAGCTCAGAGTTTGTAAGGCCTGTGTGTGGTTCATTTTAAATTTCCATTGGTCCAAGGCAAACCTATAATAACCGTGTTCCACACCTTTTATGACGGGGCAGCAGTTTTGAGTTCATGTCCCACTACGACGTACTAAGGTAGGTGTGAAAACTACAGGTGTGCAGTGGGAGTGGCACTAAAACAGCCGTGTGGTAGAGGTACACAGAGACAACACTGTCAACAGACATGCTTTTGTAATGATGAGAATTGAAAAAGTCACATCGCATGGTCTAAAATAGCGAGTTGGTGCTCCTCCCCCTGAGAGCTACGCCTCCCTTCACTCTTACACAAGTATTTCATGACACCTTCCATCCTCTCCTTGTGAGCGCGCAACAGCCACACACCACTGAAGGGACAAACTGCAAAGGTTTGACTGCGACTTTTTTCAGCGCTGGCAATGCATCTGCACGGGTAAGTGCATTTCTGTAGCGCATGTGACTGCAGGCAGACAGGTTGCTTTATGGTGGGGGGGACGTTTAACTTCGCAGCGAAAATTACTGCGACACCATCTTTGCTCATTGATGAAAGTGGCACCGGGAGTGCTGCTTTATTTTACCATTAAATGTCAAATTGTTGCAGGTGAGAGAGATATTTAATACTTAAAGACGTAAAGAGCAGAGGTCTTCATCTGTATGTGCACTGAAGTACGTTTCACTGTTCTGAAGAAGGCCTGCAGCTTTCAGGAACTGTGTGTACCTCCCCCTCAAAAGTTACCTTTTCTGCATTTTACACTTTCTAAAGTACACTTCAAAGAGGATGTGAAAATGCTAGAAATTCAACCAGCTGACATGATTGCAGATAAGTTATTTTGCCAAAAACTAAGAATAAAGAAATATATGTTAGTAAGCAGTTATTCTGCAAATAAAGAGAATAACTTTACTTTGCCATGAACAAACTTTTTATAGTGTTGGTTACTTCTTTTAAAAATACTGTCTTTATCACTGTATGTTAAACCTGTTTGATTGATAGCTTTGCCCTAATGTCTTTCAGACCATCCAGTATATTGGGAGCAGCCCTGCTTGTTCTCTTGGCAGGTCATCAACAATGTGTCTCAGCCACTTATACCCCCACAGAGGTCTTTGAGAACAATGGCACCATGTTTGCAGCCTGTAAAGTGAGACCCAGCAGCACTCTACCCGAGGGTCTGCCTAAAGTGTCTGGCCAGGTACTGTTCAGGCAGGAGTACCCTGAGGAGGTACTCCAAGTCCTTCTCAGGTTCAACGGCTTCCCCACAGAGGATGATCAAGTGGCCAGAGCAGTGCACATCCATCAGTATGGAGATCTGAGCAATGGCTGTGACTCCACCGGAGGACACTACAACCCATTAGAGGTGCCGCACCCAAACCATCCTGGAGACTTTGGTAACTTTGTGCCCCAGCGTGGGAAAATCAACGCAATGCTCGAGTCCAAGGCAACACTGTTTGGAGGAGAGTCTGTGATTGGAAGAGCTGTGGTGATCCATGAGAAGTTGGATGACCTGGGGCTTGGTGGAGACGCTGGTAGTCTGCTGCATGGAAATGCAGGCCGGAGGCTTGGCTGCTGTGTTATTGGGATCTCTTCTCCCAATCTGTGGAAGATGCAGCACAAGCAGTACACCAGGAGTGTGAGGAAAAATTAATCCTACTATGGTGGCCTAGGTCAACTCATCAATGGTCCTTGGTTTTCATTTTATTCGTTGTTCTTATTGAATTAAACCATGACTCGCCAAACATCTGTCAAAAGTAGTAGAATCGAGCTTTAACAGGTGTTTCCATTTCCGAATGTGGTTTAAATTCCAGAGATAAGAAATAATGTTTAAAGTAAATGTAGTACCACTTTTAAAGCTACAACAAGACAACTGGTTGAAGTTGCCAGGATCAAGATTTTATATTTACACAACCACTGAGTGAATCACTATTAAGTCTGGTGTAGCCATTCAGGGTTCCCAGGGGGGTAAATCCTTCCAATTATTAAGTGACTGCTGATTTTTTTATACCTTCAACTCTCACTGAGCTAAAAAAATTTAAAATTTTCGTAATATTTTGTGAGCACATTATGATAAAGTACAATTCTCATTAGCCTAATTTACAATTAACGTTTGGTGCTAATTAGCTGGATGCTAACACAACCATGTTAGGAAGCTAAATCTGCATTACATCAATTTTAAGCTCTACTTTAAGAGCAGCATTTTACCATATTTCAAACCCTTAAGTAGATATATGATCGTCTTTTGGACTCTTTACTTTTTGCAGTTTTACGACACAATAAACCAATCGCTTAGAGTCTTTATTTTTCAGAAATAAATGTTTTCTGTACATGTTTCACACACATTCAGTACACAGGGCTCAATGGAATCAATCTGCTGGTAAATTACATGATGTTGCTTCACTGTTTATGAAAAAACTAGTTTTGTAAATGTTCTTAAATCTGTCTGATCAACAAATTCTTCTTAATCACCAAATACTTTTCTTCAGCTGCCTTCTGAGGAAGACTATAAAGGAAAATGTAATAACCTAAGTGGAAGAAGTAGTTTTTATTTTCATGCAGCATTTTTTTAAGCTTTAATATCATCGTTGTCATGATTGAAATAGTGTTAAGTAGATGTGTATGAGATAAAAGATAGGTTAACTGAATGTTTTACAATGAAGTTTGTTCAAATCAATAAAATATAGCTGCTTCTCATTTTGAGTCAAGTATATTCTTCGACTTAATATATCTGTATTGTTTCTCCAAGAGGTAGAAAAAGTTAGAAATTTTGACTCTCACTGTCACATTACAGCTTGATGTTCAAGGTCAGTTAATAGCAGTTATCATTCTAAAAGGTACAGTGTGTAGAAATGAGATAATTTAGCAGTGAGATTCTATGTAGCTAGAAATACTCCCTTGCTCACCCCTTACCTAAAGGAAGTGAAAGTCTCCTTTGAGAACAAGAAACTGCAGTGATGTGTAAGTATGATCTTTGGGAGCGATACTCTTCATTCTCATCTTCTCACTACTTTTATTTTATGCCACCACTCATTCACCAGAACAATGGGTATGTTACTAGTTTGTCACTTTCATGCTCTTGTAGAAGCATGGCGGTGAACGATGGCCTCCATGTAAGGGGTTCAGCATCTAGATACTGTAGATACTTAAGGCTCACTCAAAGTCAACAAAACAAAATGATTCTTATATTCAGGTGATTATAATCTAAATTAAACTTATTAAACTACATTTTTAACAAACCTGTTCTGCTAAATGCCACTGAATACTACACACTGTACCTTTAATACAAGTTTAATCAGCCACATCTCGTCTCTGCTGCCTCTTACAACAACCACATTTCTCCACTTTCCATTCACAGTAAGCAGCTATTAACTTACTGACAAGTGTTAGAGATCAATCTTTTTTTTTTTTTTAACCTGACACATGCGCAAGGTATGTTTTGTCCCAGTCAGGAGAGGAAGACGAGAACAGGCACACAGAGCTCTCGCTGCAAACCCAAAGGAATGAAAACCTCTGACCGCAAACCCATCAAACAATTTTCAAGATGAACTGGAACACCTTTGTGAGTCGGACCATATTGCACAACTTCACATGTGCTCTTGTGCTTAAAGAGAAGCAGATGTTTGTTGGCAGACATGGAAGTAAAAAGTTAAGTTGTTATTATAGCAGCATTTTTATAAAAAGCAATGAGATATGTTGTTCTGGGCTACTGTCTGCATATTTAAGAACTAGTTACATGCATGAGACTGCATGAGACCTCAAAAGAACATTTGAGCTGAACCTTTTTTAAGTTTGTTTTGTGTCATTTTGCTTCTTTATCTATGTAGCACAAAGAAATGTTACCTTCTGTGGTGCCAAACTATATTTTTTTGATATTTTTTGGATTTAAAGTTTATAACAGATGTAAGCACCCATCACCAAAAACAATCACTTTAAAACCTGTTTGTGGTTGTTTAATCATGATAGCTAAATGTTATTAGTCTCCTGATTATCATAAATAATTATTTCATGTCATAATATCACGTCTCTTTTGTTCTTAAAGTTCTGGACCATTACTTCCATCTGCTTTCTGGTTCTGCTCGACATCCTCTTGCTCTTCTGTAGTGCTGGTAGCAGCAGCAGCAGCAGGGGAATCATTGCTGCTGGTGTGTCCTTCTATTACAAAACACTCACTGTCGACAGTTTCCACCTGATCAGCTCCATCCAACTCAATCTGTGCTCCCTCTGATTCCTCTGAAGTTTGACGGGAGAGTCCCGACGCATGATGTGTGTTTACATTTGTCAATTGTTGAGGGGAATCACTCTGACACTCCTCATCTTTTGACTCATCACACGTCAAAGCTGTTGAAGTTGTGCTTTGGGACTGGCCAGTGTTAGATTCCCCCTCCTTGTCTGGTGTTTTGGTCTCATTGTTGGACGTGTCTTCCTCGGTTTTCAGGTTTGAGGTCTCGTCTTCAAGTCCCTCTGCATCACCTGACGCAGCTAAAGGTCCACACTCTTGGTTTGAGACTTGAGTTGAGCTCTGCTGATCAATCACTATTTTTACAGATGCTTCATCACCTATAAGAATAAAAGAGTCATAATAGGTTATTCCACTATCGCATAGACCAACAGATGGTGCACACTTAGCAAGTACAGTCTCATTCACCTTCACATGAGGGAGACTCTGTAGACTCGGGCTCCTGAGGATTCAATATGATGGAGTCTTTCCCTCCTGTTAGGACAAAATACTATCAGTGAGCTTTCATCAAAGTAGCGTACATTAAAGGGATATTCCGGCGTCAAATTAATTTAGGGTCAAACACACCGTAACACCGAGTTAGACACCCCCTCGAGAGATGAATGTTGCCGACTGCTTGCTTCTCTAGTTAAACCAACTTTAGTAACGACCGTAAGATAGCAATACACAGCGGTCTGAGGAACCATAAACAAACCTCAACCAAAACGCCACTCTATAGCCACAAATAATGCTCAGAACAGCACCTAACTTCATCAACAGTGCATATAGGGTCCCAACCACAGCACTAGCCACCAAACATCTTTTTAGCTTTTCCTAAATTCTTTGACAAAGAGACTAAACACAACTCACCTCCTCTCTTCCAGCAGCCGCTTGGGCCAGTCCATTACAGACTACAGTGGAGGACGCAGCTCAAGGAACAACATTTATGTAATAATATGGTGATTATTACTTCAAAGAAATGATAAAGAAATTATCATAAATGTTCTTCCTTGAGCTGCGTCACCCCGCTGTAGTCTGTAATGGACTGGCCCAAGCGGCTGCTGGAAGAGAGGAGGTGAGTTGTGTTTAGTCTCTTTGCTAAAGAAATCGGTCAAAGCTAAAAAGATGCTTGGTGGCTAGTACCATGGCTGGGAGCCTGTATGTACTGTTGATGAAGTTAGGTGCTGTTCTGAGCATTATTTGTGGCTATAGAGTGGTGTTTTGGTTTGTTTATGGTCATTACTAAAGTTCGTATAACTAGAGAAGCAAGCGGTCCGCAACGTTCATCTCTCAAGGGGGTGTCTGACTCGGTGTTATGGCGTGTTTGACCCTAAATTAATTTCATGCCGGAATATCCCTCATGAAAGTCTTTTACTTTAAATTTCTTTTACTGAGTAGAAATGTCTAAATATAACCAGCTGAGTGATGAAAGAAAAAGTGTTTAAATAGATGAAATCACTACAAGACAAACATACTTCCATATATTCCCAAAGAGACATTATAAGTCAGGCCTCCAGGAAGCAAGAGAGAAAAAGACAAAGGAAAAGATCATAAATATCTGCAAAGATTCTCACACATTCATGCTTTGATAAAATATTTATCAACATTCATTAAGATGTTCACCTGGCAGGCTCCACAGTCCAGACAATTCCAGTGTTTTTAGTTTGTTCTCCAGCTCTGCGACTCTGTTCCCAAGAATCCTGGCAACAAAAGAGTCACAAATTCACATGATCTCCCTGCCGCCCAGCTCACTGAAATGTGTTGTTTGAAGTAAGAGACTGAGGAGTACCTGTTGATCTGACGTTGGTGCTGAATCACCATGTTCTTCTCATGGATGGTTTCCAACAGAGCTGTGGCCAGAGACTTGAGGTCTGAGATGGACTGTGGAGTCACTGGCAGACTGCAGCCGTTTTCCTCTGACAGCAACAACTCCTTCACTGCGCACACAAGATGAGTCACAAGTTAAAGCACAGACACTCATGTGTAAAATGTTTTGACAGTCTCTGGAGTTTAGAGCTGAACAACATGAACTTTCTGACCTTGTTTAGCAGACAGCACCCCAGTCAGAGCACTGCTGTTCACTTTCCCACTGATCTTTGAGTTTTTTCGACACCCCAGGGCACTCTGAAACCAGTGAGGAGGATGAAGTTAGAAAAACTTTAAACGTTTTCAACCCTTAGCTTTGAGCAAAGTAATAATACATTTGTAGCTACCTTGTACTTTGTCAAATTCTTTTTCAGCAAGTTGATTTCTTCCTGGAGCTGACCAATCCGTTCATGCAAATACCTGAAAGATTATTTAGAGCAAAAGTCCAATTTTAGATAATATCAAAACTCATAATTACAATAATATCCTTATAACTCTAAGTTCATTTTTTGTGAAATCTAAACAACATAATGCGGATGTTCATTATCACTGTGCACACTGGTACAGATGATTTTGTAACCAACCTGTTCTCCATACAGAGTGCATCTATGTCTACCATTCGTTTGTCATCGTTGCCCACAATATGGTTCATTTCTACGTTGAGACGATGCGCCTTCTGCTGAAACACATCGCGCTCTGCTCGAACATCCTGCAGCTCATCTGTGAGGGACTTCACGCTGTGCTCGAGAACCTCGTTCTGCAGCAACACAGCACACAATATGTGAGCAAACCTTACAGCATTTCATCCACCAATTCCACCAAGTGTTTGCTTTTTTCATAAACTCAAAATTTACTGACATTTTTGACACATACACAGATTCAACAGACGATGCATTTGATTTATTTCTCCACATATTTGGCCAAACAACCAGACTTGAAAACACAGCTCAGGAATGGAGTGGCAAACAGTCCTCACCTGCTCTCCAGCTCTCTCTAACTGTTTGACCAGATCTTCTCGTTCGTGTGCAGGAAAGTGTCGAGGCCCGGTGTCGTCTCCCAGCCGCTGTTTGGTAATGGTCATTCGTAGAAGCTGGTGGAGCAAACAGAGTGTGATGAGCGAAATGGACCACCTAGACAAATATCCATATATGATACACTGTGTTGCTGTGATTGTTTTATTTTGAGAAGGCCCACTTTGTACCTTGTTATCACCCTGAGCCTCCAGCAGTCTTTGCTTCAGCTCCTTCACCTCTTCTGAAAGTTGACTGTTCTTCTCTCTGGAGTCTCTGAGCAGCTGGGCCAAATTCACCTGTAAAAGACACAACATGAGGTCAAATAATCAAATCAATACCAACAAAAATATGTGGGACAACCATTCACAGCTGCAAGCCGGAAAATCCCTTTAAGGTGAGGCTTCGATCCTTTTCCTGTCTGAATATTTCATCTTAATTTCACAAAAAAAAAAAGAAAAAAGATCAAACTGAAATCATCATTGACCTTCAGTTTCAAAACTATCAATGTTTCAAAAGTTCCTAAAAAAATTGACAGCAAATCAAAATCACTCACTTGATTCCTCTTCTCAGGAGGCAGAGACGGATCTCCATCCTGTTGAGTAAACAGAGTGGGTAATCATTTATTTTTTCTCCATTTAGCTGCCAACACACAGGACTAGTCCATCACTGACTGAGGTTTCTTACAATGAGCTCTCTATACTTCTTCTTGAGTCCTTGGTGACGCTCTCGGAGCTGGTTGGCCATCAGTTTGTACTGATCCCTCTCCTGCTGACAGGTGTCCAGCTCTTTAGACAGAATCAGGAGAGCTTCCTTCTTACTTTCCAGTTTACGCTTACAAATCAGAAACTGCAGGGAAAAAAAACACATTTGGCATGAGAAGATATAAGAAAGGCATCATTACAGAAAACTCTATGATCCGGGCCAGGGTGGGCTCAAAAATGCTTGACTATTTGCTGAATGAGATGCAGTAAGGATACAGTGCAGTCAGTGCATGTCTCACTAATATTTACATTAAATAGAAATCTATTTATCTTAAAACTTCTGAGAAAAACTTTTGGTTTGTGTTCATTTTTATGCCCCTGTGTGCTTATCTTATCATCCTCATGCTTGGGCTTGATTATTGAATAAATAAATAACATCCTGCTGACTTCTGATAAATAATGGTAAATAATTTATTCTGATTATTTTATGTGGACACGTGTAAACTTAAGGCTGTGTCCTCAGCTGCTTGGCTGACACCTAGCCCCTCACACCCAAATTTCAAGCACTAAAAATATCAAAATAAACATAATCAATCCAGTCACTCATTCTGAATAATAACAGGAATCAACATGAGCTACAGTCTAATTAATTTCTTATACGAACTTTAATTGACAATGTTATCACAATGATTTTACGATCTAGACAAAGAAGACAATGCCGAAAAGAGAGGTTTGCTCGTCTTTCGCTGTCGTCTTCTGTGCCTAGATCTTAAAACACCTGTGCATCATCATTATTGGTCCCTGGCAGCTCACTTCCGTTGTGGCTTTTTTTATTTGCATCCTTTTATTTTCGCAGTAAGTAACTTTTTTTTTTTTTGCATCACCACTTTTTTTTTTGCGTCATTAACTTCCATTGTGACTTTTTTTTATCTGCACCGTTTCTTTTTTTATTTGCAGCAGGCTTCGGTTTCTTTTCTTTTTTTTGCATCAGTAATTTCTGTTGTGACTTCTGACAATTAATTTTTTTTAAAAATTGCATTCTTTTTTTATTTGCAGCAGTGGCGGTTCTCGGCCACCGTACCAGGATAATGCACAGGTAAAAAACAAAAACAACACTATTTCCTCGTCATTATTTCCTGTAAACTAAGGGAAACAAACACAGCTTGGACTCAACGGTGGCTATAAACTGCAGTCAGTCGACAATCTTAGGTGAAACAGTGTGAAATAACTCAGATTTTCCTGCTTATTTGTCATTTCTTGTGTGGTGCACAGGCTGAGTGGAGGTTAGTGACTCCTGTATTTTCCTCCCTCACCTCGTTCAGCAGACCCTGCCAGTCGCTCTCGCTCCTCCTGGACGGATCCATCTCAGAGTACGCCACGAGAAGAAGATACTATCAATAAGAAATAATCAATGTAGATCTCAGGTATCCAACGCCAGTTTTAGAGCTCGGGGTCAGATTTGAACACATTGTGCATCATCAAAGCGGATTAAGTGATCGAGGGACGCGACCTGCATCACTTCCGTTCGTCGTCCTGACGTCAGAGGATCGCCGCGACGCATTTGTAAACCCTCGTAAAAATGAAGATTTTGTTGGAGACGATATTTGATCAACATAAAGTGACCGAGGTTTATTTCAATATGATCCACTTAATCTATCATCTAACCACCTTCTCAAAAAAATATAGAACTGAAATCTCGGACTCAAATGTGTTTTGTAACCTTGAAAAAGAAACAATTGTATATTTATGTTTTGACTGTATGCATGTTAAATTTTTCTGGATTGAGGTTGAAAATTTATTTGAATTGTCATCTGGATGTGAGACAAACCTGCAAAAGAGAAATATTATTTTTTTATTTTGAAAAAAACGAACATGGACTGAAGTCTTATTTTTATGTTAAACCTTTTTTACATAGATAAATGTAAATGGTCTAAAAAGAAATCAAATATCCACCAGTTTAAAAATGAAATATACTTTAACTGGACTAACAAAAAAGAAAGCGATTCGAACTATGACTTTCTACGAAGCCTTGAGGTCCTCTATATGATATGTCATGAATGTATGATCCCCATGTCATAATTTATAATATTTTATGTATTTTTGTATGCCGGACTATGAATTTTTGTTTTTCTTTTCTTTCTTTTGCAAAATTTTGATTCCTCTGAAATGAATGTAGATTCCCCATGTTCACTAATATGTATTTGTCATTGTTGAAGAACTGAAATAAAGGCTTGGGGGGAAAAAAGAGACTTTAGTGGTTCATTCATTTGATACATGAACTCACATGAACAAACAGAAAACGACAGAGAGAAATTACAGAAAACTGTCAAGAAACCACAGCTCTCCATGTGAAGCTCAGAACTCTTCATCTGATTATTGAATGGAAATAAGGCTTTGTAACAAGTAATGTAACAGGTATTCTCATGTTGGACTGATCAACACAAGGGGGAAATCTTAATTATCTTTTTGATTTAATTATTATTATTATTATTTTTTTTTTTACATTGGACTAAGTGCTCAATAACTGGCTGCCACTCATCAATATAGAGGAAGCAAAAAATCGATCTGTCTAACAACAGATACACACTGTGCAAATGTTCAAGAGCTTTTAAACACTCTTTAAAATCCACTTTTCCACTTTCTTGAATCATTTTGCCTTTTGTTGCACTTCATGTAAACATTTTCTCTGAGTCTAGATGCTGAAATTAGGCTGTAATCAATTTCCAACACAACAACAATATGGTTTGATGTTCTTTAATGCATTTACACAAACTTATAATTATATAAGCCAGACAGTTGTGAATGAAGACAGAAGGGGTAGAAGAGAAATAATTCATTAGTTTCATGAAATGTAAAATAACAATCCTGATGGCATTTTATGAAAGCTGTTAGAGAATGGCCCAACTTATTCAAAACTTTATTTATCTATTTTTGTTATTTAAAAAAAAGAAATTCTATCTTAAGCCAAACAAACTTTAAATTAATCCATACATGAAAAAAATATCACTGGATCACTGATGAAGATGATCAACAAAAGAGGACACTTCATGTGATGAAATAACACCTAAAAGAAGTTTCATGTTGTGGCGGCACATAATTAATTTTGTGATTGGAGTTCAGGACGACATTCAGTGTTATATATTTTGCATAGGAATTAGAAGTACATTATATTTTGTAAAGCAACTTTACAGGCACTCTGTTGTAATAGTGGGTAGTTACCAGCATAGATGCAGTTAGCTTGAGCTCATAGTATCTGTCTTTTCTTCAGCTCATGAATGAAAGACAGCCTTTGTTTCATGCATGTTTAAATCAAACATTATTTTCATCTTCTAGAGAGACAAGCTTTAGTTGTCTTATCATGTTGAGCGCATTTAGCTTCATTGGGTGGAGCCAAACAATTTTCTAAGCAGCCAAGCATCTGGAGAAAAAACTTTATCCAATGACATTACAGCTCTGACTTTAGCTCCTGCATGTCCATCAGCTTCTGTAACCTTTTGAAGGCGGCAGCAAGATCATCATCTTCATCGATCATACCTCTGAGTCATGGGTCAATTCCAGTTACAGACCGATCCTCTTAAACCTTACACAGAAAGACTCTGTTGGATTTAAACGAAGGAGAACCCTCTTGCAGTGAAATTACAAAGCTTACAACTGCATCGCTGCATTGTCAATAACTGAACCCCATTCATGCTAGCAATACAAGAAATGCATGTTCGTCTCACACCTAGAAAGATATATCTGGCTGCGTAAGAGAGATGGGCTGCAATTGAAATGCCATAGTAGCATCCACGCAATAAATTGATCTGAGTTACCAATTTTGTGATCAGTTTTGACCTCACTAGGCATTATAAGCTTAAGTCTACAATGATATGCTCAAACACCATAGATTTGCCTTTAAAGCTGGGAGAGAAGATGAAATTCCTGCGGTCAGTGGTCAGTGCTATGAACGACCGAGGCGACTGCACATAAATGTCCTTAAACTTGTGAAAAGTTTTGGTCTCCACGTCCCACAGGTAGATCTGCGTGAAGGAGTAATCGCTGCCGAGGGCGAGGTAGTGCCTGTCTGTGAAGGTAAACGGCTGGAGGATCATGGCTCCTCGAGAAGGCAGAGCCTGTACATCAGTGAATAGCTTATTGGTCCACTTGAGGACTTTGGAGTCACCGATGTAGCAAGTCATGGCGAGGAACAAGTCACCCTCCAATCGGAACGCTTTGACTGCCACCACATCATCAACGTTTGGGATTTCACCGTGAAGGATGAACTTGAGGGTGCTCTTGTTCCACAGGTACATGACGGGGGCCTGTGAGCGACTGGCTAAAATGAGGTATGACTTCCCATCCACCTCCACAAACTCCGCATCTGTATCACGAAACCACTCGTGAAGAAACTGGTAGGAGTAAAAACTGGTTTCATTGCGATCTGGCTGGTCAGTCCATTTGTACAGAGTGGACAGGCCTGCTTTAGAGCTATCCACAATCAAAAAGTACCAATCACCATCCATCTGGAAGACCTCGATGTCATTTGGCTTTGAGATGTTGAAGACCTCAATTGTTTGAAACTTGGTGAACTTGTTCTGCTGGTCGTCAAACTTGTAAATATGAGAGCCGCCAAAGAGTTGAGTGACAATTATCAAGACGTGGGTGTTGATCACAACTGATCTGCAGCCGACTACAGACTTCCCTATGAGGAAAGTAAGAATGTCAGTGGTGGCACAGCAACGACAAAAAAAGACCCCTGATGCTGTCTTAAATTAGAACCTGTGTCCACTTATACCTATAGTCACAACTTTTATTCAATGCAATTTCCACAAAAAATATCAAGATGTTGGAAAGGAATTGTGTCCTGACATTAGCAACAGCTCTGAGAATGGAAACATAGCCTGTGCGTAACTCCATCTCTGCTAGCCTGGCTGGGCCATCCAGTTGCGTGAATCACTTGCCGTTCCTTCCCACAACAGTCTGGACTTCCACCAATTGGGAGCCCTAAAATTGGGTGGGAGTACTTTCCTTGATAGACACACTACTGTAACCAATCACCATAACCAAACATCTGACGTCATCATAGTGCGCAACTGTGTTCCCTGCTGGGCTCTCAAGCATCAAGTAAAGGTTTGGTAATATTTCAACGTGTGCGTTATTTTCTGATTTCTGATACACGCTCCCAATTGGCCAAAGTCCAGACTGTGGTGGCAAGGAATGGCAAGTGATTCACACAACTGGATGGCCCAGCCAGGCTACATCTCTGCCACTGTTGTTGACAAATGTGAATGCTGCAGAATGCTGCAAGTGGACACAGGCCCTCAACTCTAGGAGAGGATATTGATGGAAACATATGTATTTTTGTTTCTGATATTCAATCTATTGGAATATTTGATGCGGCTCTTATTGAGGTAACTGTATCCTACCTAAGATACGGTATAAATGCAATCATCAGAAACTAAGTTCTCATCATATTTGTAACTTCCATTTACTTCTGAGCACTTTGATCCAAATGCTCCTCAAACAGGAGGAAAGGATGAATATATTGGGGACAAACTGAGGTGCAGAGATACATAATTCACACTGTTCAAAGAGTTTTTACTACAAGAATCATATCTGTGGGTAAGGTAAAAGTAAAACTATAGTCCCTAAGCTTGTTATAATGGCACCGTGTGTCGCTTCGAGAAACATTTTCTTTTTTTTATTCATGATGAGGGGAAATTACACAGACCTTGCCTCTGCACACAAGACTTCTCTGTAGGATTATCTCTTTGTCAGTTGTGGTCGTTTTCCCTGCTAAATGGTGACTATCACTATATTCATCTATTTACAATAACTTTGTCAAACCTGTAATGTTGTCAAATTTCCTGAAGTTCATCTCGATGTGATCCCATTCCATGACCACACAGCTGTTGGAGTTGGGGGCAGCCATAGCCACATAAATGTCCTCTTTGAAGGAAAAGATGTCCGCTGACATGGACTGAATGGGAATGGACTGATGACGCACAAAGTCTGTGAAATGCAGACAAATACAGAAACTGACAGTCTGCTGACAGAGTAGAAGTGCTGAAACAGAGAACCTCACAGCCTAAAAAAACAAATTCCAGACAGTTTGTGGATGTGGGGTTGCAGGCATGGCCATCACACTTTGGGAATCTTTGGAGTATTCGAAAATATTGTCAGTGTAGTGAAACAAATGAGCCTGGGACTTTCTGTGCTTATTTACATTGATAATTTGCCTATAGTTATTCTATAAACACAAAAATGAAAATCATGCCACAAGCAGTTCTCAAATATCTCTGTCCCAGTACAGTTAAAAACCTGCAAAACTAAAGCATTTCCCATCTGCAGAATCTGGTTTCCTATTAGTGCCCAGTAGTAAAAGTTAGCATGTTAGCATGTTAGCATGTTAGCATGTTAGCAAAGCAAAAGAGAACATGTTCAGGCAATAGCAACCCACCATTTCATTTTAATTGAGGAGATTATGGCTCACAAAAATGACCTGTACAGCTCTTTGATGACAGCATGATGATCTGCTAGCTTAAGAATTTTCCTAAAAACTCAAAATACATTTGTCTTTTCTTGTTTAGGTGTGTGACTCAGAGCTGGCCCAAGGCATAAGCAAACTGAGCGCCTGCTTAGGGCCCCGCGGCCAGTAGGGGGCCCCCAAGAGCAATCAAATAATTTTTTTTTAAATATTTTTAATTTTTTGCATGTATGAGTTCTGTATGATCAAATATATATTATTGTAAAAATAAAATAAAGTAATTACATTTTAGATATGTCAAAGCTCGGCTACTGTTATGTGCCTTTTGCTGTGCAATGTGCACTGAGCATCCAAAGCGCAGGTAGTTGTGGGGCAAAACAATGTCGCAAAAAAGGACAAATCTTTCAGGAGCAGAGAAAAGAAAGAGGAGGAAAGAGGAAGAAGAGAAAACACACCAAGATAAAGGTATGTTTGTATGTCATGGAATGTTAATCAAAGAGATTTGCGAAGGTGTGTGAATGATCAACAATCATTATTGGCAGAAATAGAGGGCCCCAAAATCAAATTTTGCTTCGGACCCCATTGAGACTTGGGCCGGCTCTGGCATGGCTGCACATATAAGTGTGTGCATGCATGTGTCAGTGTTGTTAGAGGCACACATGCTTGTTTTTTAAAGAGCATTCTATTGCCTGGCAGTGTCCTGCTGAATTAATTGGCAATTTACTGATTTGTATTTTTCCTCTTTTTTCCCAAAGTTTGCAGGTTCATTTATGACTGTTGTGTTTTGCATCTGAGAGTGTGCTTGTCATTTTACCTGTGGACATACATTCCCCGGGGGGAATCGGAAGATCGTTGAGTCGCTTGCCCTTCATATCACTGGGTCCAGCACAGAAGACATCTGATACTGTGGCGTTTGTGTTTTTCAGCCACATCATCAACCACTTGTTCTCACAGTTGCACTGGAAAGAGTTACCCCGCAGATCCCTGATGCAGAGTAGAGAGAAGCGGTGAAGAAACCCTCACAGCTCACACTGGCTTCACTCTAACATGAAACTGTAAATAAACTTCATAATAAAAGTCATGCCAAAACTGTGATGAACCATGAAAGAGGACGGAAACATAATCTGTTTATTCCTGCTCTCCTAATGCAGCAAAATAAAACACAGCCTGAGTCAGCTTCACTTTGGAAGGCAGTAACAAAATAGAAACCAACACACATACACACACACACACACACACACACACACACACACACACACACACACACACACACACACACACACACACACACACACACACACACTGCTGACACAACAACTGCTTACTCACAGTTCCAGTAACGAATCCAAGTCAAAAAACAGATCTCTGGGCAGGAACCTCATCTTATTATTGGCCAGGGATCTAAAGTAAAGACACAGAGACGCCAATTTACAGGATATTACTGTTATTTCACTCTCACATGTTTGAAGGGATGTTAATTCATATCTGGATTGTTGGACAGAGGACGGCAGACTTACAGATGAGTCAAATCTCGCAGACCTCGAAAGGCATTTTTGGTGATTGTTTCAATCTTGTTTCCTTCAATAAATCTGTCACATGAGTAAAAAGAATAAAAGATATGTAAGTACATTAAACACTGATAAAAATGTACAGGGTTTTTGAATCACTGAATCTGAAGGTTTCTAGTCTAATGCTGATGTTAAGAAGTTAAATGTGGGGGTTAAAGGGAATCTTGTAGGTGTATTTATAGTTGTATTAAAAATGTAATATAATGAAGCCAATAATGTTTGACATAATTCTTTTGTGAATGTGTAATTTATTCAAAAGTCTTTAATACTTATATGTTGTGTTAAAGTAAGAAAGTCTGTCAAAATCTGTCTGTCTTTTATTTATATTTATTTTTATGCTTGTTTTGTTTACTTCATGGTATGACTACAGTATAGCTCAGTGACCAATAAGTCAATTTGAAACTCTGTTCTGTTTGTTTTGTTGTTATTGTTTTGTTTTGTTTTGTTTTGTTTTGTGGTATGAAAGTTGCTCAGTGATAAATTATTAGAACAATAAAGCTTTGAGTAAGGGGCAGGTAATATAAGATGTTTCTTCTCCCTGCTCCCTTCCAACCAATGGATAAGAAATGTTGCAATGTGACATGATTTTGTCAAATTGAGAAACTGCCTTGGCTGGAATAAATCAAGAAAGAAAGAAAAAAAGAAAGAAGAAAAAATACTCACAAATATTCCAGGTGCGGAAGTCCAGAGAAAGCGTCATCTTTGATTGTAGTCAAAGAGTTTGCATTTAGAAGTCTGATCAAAAATAAATAAATAAATAAATAAAAATGAGTAACCAGGACATTTAATATGGGGCGCCGAATGTAAAAATTCAGTTCCTGTTTAACAAGTGACATTTTGTAAAGATTTAGTTCACTTTTCTCACATTTATCTCATTTTTCTTTCATTTGAGACCGAGATTGATGTAAAACAACATGTTCTTTTTATTTTTTTAAAATGTGTAGATGTGAAAAAATAAATATAGATATAAATGCTATATCTCAAACTATAAATTAAGATTTAGATTTAACATTTAGATTTTTATTTAACATTTAGATTTAACAATTCGATTTAGAATTAACAATAACAAATTTTATTTAACATCTTGATTTAAATCTAGATATAACATTTAGATTTAGATTTAGATTTGGATTTAGAGTTAACATTACAATTTAGATTTAACATCTAGATTTATATTTAACATTTTGATTTAGATTTAGATTTAACATTTAGATTTATATTCAACATTTATATTTAACATTTTGATTTATATTTAACATTTAGATTTAACATTAATATTTAACATTTTGATTTATATTTAACATTTAGATTTAATATTTATATTTAACGTTTTGATTTATATCTTACATTTAGATTTAGATTTATTTTTTCCCATCTACACATATAAAAACAACATACTGTTTTACAGCATTTTTGTCTCAAATGAATTAAAAACGAGCTAAATGTGAGAGAAGTGAGCTAAATCTTCACAAAATATCACCTATTAAACAGTGACTGAATCTTTACATTGGGCACCCCATAATTTAGATGCTTATTTCACATTGTCCCATTGTAGTGGACAGAAAACGTTTGCATTACTGATAACATTGACTTTATGTGCTATTTGTGTTGCACTGTTTGTCAAATATTGATCAGTAGTTAAAAGAGATATTGCACTCACAGCAGCTGAAGAGAAGGCATTAGAGAAAACATCCCCTCAGTGACTTCAGAAATAGATCCATTCACTACACTCCTGCAAGAGAAACACATTAAATCAAAGTCAGACTCGTGCTGGGACATCTCGACACTCTGTACCAGACACATCAGGAGCCAACTCTGCGGGGCAGAAGGCACAGGACAGACGCTTGTCTCCTTGAACACAAAACCGTCTGTTTTGATTTATGTGAAATAGAGAGAATCAGGATAATTCACCTACTAAACTGTTACTGTTACTCACAGTGAGTTGATCTCGCTCGGTATAGTCTTGGGGATCTGTGAGGTTCCGACACAGATGATGGTCTCCTTGGTGCACGTACATCCTGAAGGGCATTTATAAGTCTTTTTGCTTTCAGCTGCTCCGTAAATGAACACAAGCACCAAACCGGTCAGAAGCCACTGTTTAGCAGATGTCATGTTGCCTCTCTCTCTCTCTCTCTCTCACATGAATCTCAGTAAATGAAAGCGTGCTCTCTCAGTGGCAGCAGCAGCAGCAGCAGCAGTGGTTCTTATTCGCCTGGGCGACATCAAAATGCAGCAGAAGAGAGGAAAGCCCTGACACAGGCTGATACGGCTGCAGCTGCGTCCCGGAAGGCTACTTCGGTTTCGGACAGTGGAGGGAAAAACAAAAACACCAACTCGTCAACAACACTTTTATTCAGAGAGAGATAGAAACAAAACACTTCATAAATATTCTGCAGAGTAAAACTTTCTCTATGAGACAATATTTTATTACCTTGGTGAGGGAAATACTTGAACACCCAATAAACGACTCTTGATCCAAAAAATGGTGAGGGAGTTTTTCAGCACCATGGACAGCGTTTGTCATTTTTAAATCCACGTGATTATCTCTCTTTCTAAAGGACTTTGGCAACATCAGTTTATAAAGACCAACAAAAGGAACAAACAAACTGCAAAAAGGACCATAGTCTTTCAGAGTGCATGAATAGATTAGCCATAACATTTCTGTACGCTTAATTAAATTAGTTAAATTATAATTATCACAATCCCTTTAAGAAAAAACAACAAAGTGCTGAGTTGTTAGGTGCCCCAGGCCATCTGCTCACTGTGGTACAATGGTTGCTGTTACAAGTATACACCACTAGAGGGCAGCTGCTGATAACCAACGACTTAAAGCTCTGTTTACGTTTTTTTTTTCCCTTGCTTTAAAGTTTCTCTGTGGATATTTTTGGGATGCATTGTATAGTTTGTTTATATGCATACTATTGTACTATTTTGTGTAAAAAGTAAAAGTGAGTGTACAAGTATGTACACTTGTACAGTATACAAGTGTACATACTTGTGTATTATAAAACTGCATAAATATTGCATATTTTGATTATCTCTTTATTTTTACTTATTTCATCTATTATTTATCTCCTCTTTCTACTTTATTTGCACTGGAGTTACTGTAACAAAAAGCAATTTCCCCTTGGGGATTTGAAAGTATGTCTGATGTCTGGTTTGTAATGTAAACACTGTATTTTCAGTGTTTCCAGTGTTGAATTTTCCAGGTGCAATACATTCTTGCAGTCCCATTTTTTTTTAATCTAAACTGAAGCACAAGCTGAGGTTTGTTTTCATGTTCCTCCCTTAAGCAAATACTACATCATTTTTTTGGGAAAAAGATCCTAAAAATTGTTCTTTTTCTTTCTTTCTTGGACTTAATTTTTCCAGTTTTATCAAATACAAACAAACACAAAATAAATTCATATACATAATACAAACTTCTTTAACCTAACATAATACATGTGCTCTAAGACACAGCAGACATGATTTATTACAACATTAATTAAAATAAAAAAACAGCTTCTCAGATTTAACCATTTCTGAAGTTGGTATGAAAATGATTCACAATGTTTTCTTGTCTTTTTCACGTTATTTAATCACAGTTATTTGTGTGTCTAGTATTTGCTCCATTACCAACCTTGTTACAAAAAAATTAATGAAGGCTTTACATGATAAAGTGATGTTTAAAATAAAAAAATTAAAACATGGTAAAATTTTACACAAAAAATATTTTTATGTCATAAAAGGTATTTAATTTTTCTGATGTTTTGTCAATTAAACAATAATTCCAGATCATTTACTTCTTTAGATCTTATTAATATCTTATCCTTTATTTGTTGTTTGTTTTCTTAAGTTCAGCTCCCCCGCATTTACAGTATATTACACTTGATTCTTTGCAAACGTCTCACTTGTCGTTTTCTCGCACACCACATAGTCCCACAATTCATAGAAAGAAGTTTTCTCTGAACAATAGGGCTGTTAGTTGTTGCTGCAGGTCCTAACAAGGTGCTGACCTTTGCTGGAGAACCAGTAGTTTATGAGCATGAGTGAAACTAAATACCCGTTGCCTGAGGGGAGCAACCGTACATGTCTGCCATTGCTGGCATGATTCAAGACAGCTCTGCATCTAGCATTGCTGTTTTTAGGGCTAGAGTATCCCTGAAACACTCAGGACACGTGCAAGCTGAAACCAGATGACGCCACGGCAAACATCTCTTTGCTATTTCTTTCTAGACAACCAGAGTGATTCAGGAACTGAGAACACGGTCTCTGCGCATCACAATCCGCTCATGAAAGACACATTTAATCTTCTTAATCTTAATGGATGCAGAATTATTACTTTTCTTCATGCTTGGGATGTCTTTTTCCATTTAATGAGCACGATAAAGTGAACTTCTCTTCCCTCTGTGTACAAATCATAAACAGCCTGAACCTAGATCTGGCACATCAATATAGCTAATACATAACAACAGAGCAGACTTTAAATCTGGAAAAACAAGGATTGAATATCCTTGCACAGATGGAGGAACTCAAGCACAATCTAATCCAGACATTCTTTTACTCTCAGGATTCATTTTTTAACTTCATAGATACAAATGTTTTAAAAATGAAACAGGTTTTAGGGAGTTCAGGATTTCTGACAAAAAAAGAGAATAAAATTATTAAAAAGAAACAACAGACACTTCTTGAACAGAAGTTTAATAAGCCTGATTCCTGTGATCATAATATTGTCCCGCCATGGCATGTAGTAGAAAACTATCAATTAAGCAGTAAAGTACAGTATGGTACAGTACAGTAGATTAAATGGTGAGATTTATACTGTGTATCTATATATAAATTAAAGCCAGTAAGAAGAAGACATATTAAGAACTGATATGCAGGATATTTAAATTTAATGTGGTGCCATTTTGTGGATTAATTGTAAATGGTTTTAGCTTTTAGAAAATTCACTACTTACAATATAAATTTGACAAATCTGAGCTTTGATTGTAAAAATGACATATAATCTGTTCAAAAGAATTGAAAATGTCCTACAGGTCAGTCCTGTGAAATAAGATAAAATCAGAAGAACTTTACTGTCCAGTTGAATGCCAAATTGAAGTCAGTCATGTAGAAGTTGTCTATCTGTTGAAGCAGACATAAAAATAAAAAGTCTTTACCTTTATCTAGTATCATACAACTTGTACTTTGCACAAATTCTCATTCTTTGAAGGAAACAAATATGTATTATACTGATTTGGTGTCAATAATAACAATTTACTTTAAAAAGTAGAAGGTTCACAAGCACAGGTTACATTGGGAGATATGTGATATTTATAAATGTGAAGCCCTCAACCTCACCACTAAATGATCATTTATCCTTCTTAAGTGAATTGTCATTATCGGCAGTTTAGAGTACCGCTCTAATCCTTTACATCCACTAAACCATCTCACATATGACACTTTCAAATCCAAAGATGACCTTTGACCCTTTGAACCATGAAACCCTTGAATGTGAGGAGGGGGTAACCTGCAGAAGTGTGGTTGTGTCTGGCTGCTGGTGACTGCTTCACAGCAGGTGTTCAAGCCCTAAAAGTTCTCCAGTTCCCTCTCAGGAGCTGCAGATGACTCAGTGCTCGCTGTCAGACACTCACAGGCGATGTTAGACTTCACCATTCTGCAGAGACTCAAACCAAAGAATAAAGTATTTGTTTTTTTTTTAGTTTATAACAAGAGTTTGTGTTTAAGGCAATTATTCAAATTTCAAACAGAATTTTCAAGAATTAACCAACACAAACGCATTTATAATTAGATCAATTAGCAGATAACTGACAATCAATATAATGAGTAGATTCTTTGTTTATTCATTTTTTAATCCCTCCATTTCTTCTTTGATTCTGTGGCTGTTTTGAGTTCTTTATATGTACTTTGTTTGTTTTAGTATTTTGTATTTTTTTTCTATTCGTCCAATTACGAGTGCGTGTTTTGTTAACTTTCTTAACAATCTAATCTCAATAGTTTAGCACCTTTAAAAGCAACTGTTCAAAAGTGCTTCAACAGTCAAAGGGCGAGTACTTAGATAATAAAATAAACATTTAAAAGTCAGGCTAAATGGAAACAAATCTTGACAACTCAATAAGATGCAAAAACAAAATGCAAAACCAAAGAGTCAACGAGCATAGGGATGAATAAAAGAAAATACTGTAAATAAAGCAGATCTTGAAAGGCAGTTAAAGCAAGAAAGCACCAAAATGAAGAAATCAACTAAGTAATACCATCAATAAAAGGCATTTAAAGAGTTTATCCGTCATTTTAATTCTTTTAAAAATCCGGTTCATGATTAATTTTGGATGCAAATATGAATGTGACGTGGTGACGGATCCATGTTTTAGGGATGTACAGGAAATCTTTTATAGTAATATTAAATCATATACACTTTATAAGATTGGTTTTGGAACAACTAAATATTAAGCACTGTGTTGGATCAATGTCATAAAATCTTCAGTGAGGCAATGACGAGTATGATATGAATTCATCAATTTAAATTAATTTCTCAGAATGACTTACAGAGCTCACATTTTCAGACATTTCCCAGTTCACTTTTGTTAAACACTGAAAATTCCTTAAAATCCACGAGTACATGCCAAGCTGTCTATCTAGACCCCTGAGATCTCTGAGTGGACGAACAACTGTCTGACCACCACTTGTCAGCTCGGAGAATCTGTCACTGTAAAATCAACACTTGTTAACACCAGAAGATTTGTTGTGTTACTGTTTAACTTGACCTTCACATTCAAACCGTTATTTTGAGAGTGGGTACTTTTTGTGTTGGAATTCTCAGCAGTGAGTGACTCAGCTTTGAATCAAACTCTGATCTGAGCGGGTCAGGGCCCGGGGTTGAAAAGGTCCTCACGTGGACTGTTGGTGGCATTGATTAATGGTGCTCATGATTTAACACCTGCTGTTTTAATGTAGCCACTGTAAGAAACTGATCTCAACTATGCCTGCGTGAGTGCTGTCCCCATTTTAAATAGCTGCCTAAATTTATCAGCTTTGTAGAGGTCAGTTCAACCTGCGTATGTGTTCATGTTTTGACAGGGAAAGAGAAAACTGCAGATCAGAGATACCAGGCTCAGTGAGTTTTCATG